GTTGCATTTCTTCAGATATCGTTGTTTACCTATGTTGGTTGGTTGTTGTTGTTAGTTAGTTTGGTCTGTGTGTGCATGATATAAACATTTTCATTCATTTTCCAAAATTCAAAATGTTTGTTCGTGCGTGAATCATCACTATCTTTACTATCCTCGTCGTAGTCTTCGAAATAATTTCACATCAAAAAAAAGGAATAAAGTTTTTTTTCAAGCTACTGGCCTTTGGCATTTCAGGTGATTATTATTATTATTATCGTATTTTTTCAGGTGCCTTGTGTTGATAATATCTCATCCATCTAATCATCATCTCATTATTCATCAAATTTCTTTGGTGACTGTTTTTTTGTTTTTGTTTCGTTGTTGTTGTTGTTCGTAAACCAATTATCATCTGTCAAATATCAATTTTACTATGTTTTTTTCATTCAAATTATTTTTGTTTTTCCATTCACTAAGCAACCATCTGTTTCTAGTTTCGTCTTTGTTTCGATTCATCGATTTGATGGATTATTTTGATGATATTTGATGGTTGTTGTTGTTGTTGTTTGGGTGATTTTCATTCATTTTTTATTGGAAAATTGTTTCTTTTGAATCTGCTCTACAGAATTCGACAATAAACACGTTCAAATTTGAAACAAAAACTATTCTCTGCACGTGCATATTTTTTCTAAAAAATTTGAATTAATTAATTAAAAATCAAAACAATTATGACATCAGAACAAAACAAAACAAAAAAGTGTTCATTATCAATGGGTCATTATTAAAATGTTTTTTTTGTTGTCTTAAATGGACATATCTCATCATCATCATCATCATGATAATGATGTCAAAACCTGTTGCTACTCTGGAATGAACTTTCTGTTCATCTTCTGTGATGAAATGAACTTAATATTCAGATTGAAGATGGTCAAATTGTTTTTCTGCGTTACTAATTGATGATATAATTAACATTTTCTGTTTGTTTGTTTTCACCAAATCTCATTATTCTCATGTTTATGAAACAACAGACAAAACAAAACAAAAAAATGTCACAATCTTTGATGAAAAACAAAAAACAAAATTAGATGAACAGGCAAATTCTCTCATGGAAAAGAAAAATTTTCATTCATTCATTCATTCATTTAATCTAGATTTCCTTATATAATTATATGTCATTCAATTTTTTTTTCTCGTTTGTTATTTCTCGACCTTTTTTTTCTTTGTTCATCCAAAATTGTATTATTGTTGTTGTTGGTTTTTTTCAATCTTCTTAATGAATGAATCTTCATTATTATATTAGTTGATGAAAATTCCGAGATTTTTTTTTTGTGACCAATTCTCTCAGGTCATTTTTTGAATTTTTTTTTTGTTGTTGTTTTGTTTTCACATTCATTCAAATTATTATGGTCGTTTCGTTTTGTCTTTTATGTCAAACACATGTATGTATTGTTTGTCTTTTCTTTCTAATCGTTTTATTCGGTTTGAACTGTTTCTTGATTACATTTTTACATTTCGTTTGTATTTTTCTATTTTTATTCGAATCGGTTAAAATAGTAGTCGGATATCTGATTTTGTTAATTTTTTTTTTTTTTTTGAAGATACATTGTTTATTTCAATTGAATGTATCATCGATAAAATTTCTGTTTCGAAATGATTCATTTTCGTATTGAAACAATGATGTTTATCCAATAACGGTAAGAAAAACGAGCATTTTTGGCTTTGTTCAGTATTTCAATCAAATTTTTTTTTTAGATAGATAAAATCTAAAGCTAAATATAAATAATGTTTCATCGCTTCCGAATTCATTTTATTTTTGGCTTGCTATTTCGACTTTATGTGTCCAAGATACTTTTGTTTTTGCCACTTTTGCAGTTTTTAATTATAAATTTTTAAAAAAATCGATTATCTTATCTCAAATTTTAATAAAAATGATGACGATGGTGTTGAAAAATCTAAGGATTACATTCAATTTGTTGAATTTTTCAGAAAAAAAATTGTCCCATAGTTTACACAAAAACATCCAATCCAAATGTTGATTTTTGAACTGGATTATGATTGCGTTATATTTTTAAACAATACGCAATCATCATCATAATCTTTATTTCTATTTCTATTTTTGTGTGTGTGTGTGTGACACATTCCAAACAGTTTGTTTTTGATCATCAAATGATGGATGCAATGATCAAAAAAAAAACGAAAGAACAAGGATCTGATGATCATGAATGCAATGATCATTATTATTTAATGATGATCATGTCGAATTGTTGTTGTTGTTGTTGTCAATGGCATTAATGTTTTCTTGGAACAACAACAACAAACATTTCTATTGACCATTGTTTTCGTTTAGTTGATGATGATGCTTATATAGGAAGATACATTCAAACATTCTCTCTGTGTTTATTTCACATTTTTTTCCTTTCAATATTCATTATGGATTTTTTTCCTATTTAAAACAATATTCATCTAACGTTATGTACTGATGATGATGATGATGTGAAAAAGAAGATGATGTTATTGTTGATTATCATTTGTTTAATTTTGTTACGATAAATTATGTGAACTTATTTTCTAAAAACTGTTTTTTTATCCTTTTTTTCCTCATTTTGGTTACTTTCGTTTTGGAATTCATTCATGACACATCAGGCGATTATCATCAACTTTCCAAGTTAAAATCCGAAATAAAATTTTCTCATTTTGATCAAAATAATCTTCAACAACAACAAGAATCAGTGTTTAGTGATAAACATATTGAACATCTTAATAATCAATTTGATCAAACAGTAAATCAAATTGATTTTTGTTCATCAATCAAACCACCACAGCCATCATCATCATCATCGTTATCAATTCAATCATCATCTTTGGTCGGGAAAAACTTATCAAAAAAGCCGGTATTTTGTTGTCATTGTCCATCATCATCATCAACTTTGACAGCGACATCATCACCATCATTTATAATAGTAGATAATAATAAGGTCAACGACGTTAATATCAATCAAAATGAAAAAAATTGTGCCAACAACAACAACATCAATGGCTGTCATCATCATCATAATGTCAACAATAACCATGATGATGATGATGATCATGCCAATCGAATAGTACATGATCATCAGGAGCAGCAACAAGTACAACTACAACTGCAACAACAACAACAAAAACGTTCAAATATTTTTATCCAAAATAATGATAATAATATTTTTGATCATCCTATATTGAACATTTATGATAATAATAATGATAATAGTGATGATCATGATGATCATGATCAAAGAAATAGTGAAAAATTTATAACTAGAACAGATAATAATAATCGAAAAAGTGATTCCATTGATCATCATCATCATCATCATCGTGATAATATTGCACAAAATGATGATTTTTGTAATAAAAACATTAATAATAAACAAAATAAAATAAATTTTGTAGAATCGAATCCCAAATATTATGATCATCATCATAGTGTAGGTTGTTGCATTTATCATCATCATCAAAAACAAAATCAACACCACCATCAACATCAACATCATTTTCATCATAAAAATCAACATTCAAAATCATTAAATTGTGTCATTCATCTTGATGATGATGGTGATGACCATCATTTCAACGATCATTATTGTTTTATTAAGAAATTAGTTCATTCAAATACAAAACAACAACAATCGACAACTGTCAATAATAATAATAATAATACAACCATCATTAATGACAATGATTTTTTAGACTATTTTAAACATTCTGATAATCAAAAAAATACTACCATCATAAATGATGAATCGAATAAACCATATTATTCTGATGATAATAATACTAAGATTGTAGATAATGATTTGTTTTTAGTGGACATTAATGATAATGATAATCTTGATGATAACCATAATCAATCATTGTTAACATTTTCATACAACCAAAAATCATCATCTTCGAATCTATCAAGTTTAAGTGATTTTTATCATTCAAATGTTGTTGTTGATGAAAATAAAAAATCCGATTCATTTATAGATCAAATAACGGAAAAAAATAAGAAAAGAAAAACAAAAGAAAAATTTTCCATTTTGAATACAGGTAGTAGTTTTCAATGCCTGCAGAAATCTAAAAACAACTATTTATCATTATTGAATCATAATGAATTGAATTTAGGATCAAATGACGACCTCAAGCATTTGACAATTAAATCCAATTCAATCATTAATGATATTGAAGATAATAAACGTCAATCATTTCGACAGCAAAAAAACAACAACAACAACAACAATAGTGAATCAAAACAAAAAAGTTTTAAATTAGAAAATAAAAAAATTGAAACCAATCTTAACAAACATTTATTATCATCATCAAATCAACAGATTGATAATAAATTTACATCCGTATTATTGAGACAAAATTATCGATTAGCAAACAATAACAACAACAGAAAAAATACTGATGATAAGAATAACTTTAAATATCCATTGATTATTGATCTTAATGTTAATGATAATTGCCCAGCAACTAATGATGATAAGATTATTTTGAATAAGAATTCTAATGTTAAATTAGATGATAATTTTCATAAATCAAAACAAGCTGTTAAAATTAGTGATTGTGATTATAATAAAAAAATTCCTGACAGACAGATTGAAACTAATCCACCATATCACTGTAATAATCATAGTGGTTGTTGTCAATGGAAACGACGACCACGACAACAACAACGACGACAATATTTAGTTAATTGTCAACATCGATATCGAAATAAACGCATTCAAGATCGAAATTTGTTTTTATTGCAACAATCAACAACAACAACAACACCATTATTATCATCAGCATCCTGTATGTTGTTTAATCAAAAGAATAATAATAATAATAGTGTTGAGGGTGGTTACCACTATATGAAATCATCTGACATTTCAAAATTTCAAATATCATCATCATCATCAACAAATTTAAAATTTCATTCACTCAAACAACAACAACGACCACAACCTAAACATCAAAAACAAGGAACAAATAATGAAACAAATGATTGTTTGATCTATGAAATTGATCAAAATCAACAACAACAAGAACAACAACAATATCGACAATTTCAGGAACAAAATTTGTTAAAAATAGATCAACAACAATCATCATCATCATCATTATCGAAAATATTGAAAGGAAATAGGAAAATTTTGGATACGACAACATTTGAAACCGGTTTAAATCGAATCAAAGATAATAATTCAAACAACGATATGTATCAGAAAAAAGGTTTGATTTTTATTTTTCTTTCAGTTTCAGACTATCTATTTGATCATCTTCATCAATCTAATTAAAAATAAATTATTTTATTTGATCGATTTTCGATATAAATGTGTTTGTGTGTGTGTGTTATGCATAGATAATTGTCTAAATTTATATCATTTTCCAATGATTAGTCATAGGTAAAAAAAACACGGCAGCAATTCATTGACGTAATGGTGATCATCATCATCATCATCATGATAGAGAGAGAAAGAGGAAAGAAAAATAAATTTGAAATAGAAAATTTTTTTTTGATACGATAATTCTGATGATTATAATAATGATGACTAGACAAAAATCAGAGAAAAAAATTGGGGGAAAAACAGACTTAAGTATTTATCGAATCGTTGAATAATATTCGATTCGATGAACGAAAAAAATCCTGAAGAAGATGATAATAATGATGATGATCACGAACAAGGCTAGACTTTTTTGTTTTGTTTCTTTTTTCTTTTCCTTTCTTAGCTATCGATCAAAACAACATGTATCAATTCAATTTTAATCATTTTTTTTCATTATTGTTTATCCCTTTTTTTTCTCTTGGGTGTTGTCCTTGTGCACACAGGTATCCTAATACATTCGGCAAGCAAACAATCCGGAATAAATAATAGAAATGATATTGATATGAATCGTAATAATATAAAAAAATTAATACCGAAAAAACGTGTTGCATTTGTTGAATTTGATCCGGAAATTATTGGATTTCGTTGCCCATCAGACGATGAAGATGATGATCAAGATTTATTAGATTTTGTTGTTCAACAAAATAATCATGAAAAATCATTGAATGGAAATATTGTTAAACAAAATGGTGATGAAATCGCTAACGATGATGATAATGATGATGGTGATTCTGAAAGTGATCTCGATTTGAAAAAAATAACTGCTTCCAATACATTGTTCAATTCAAATTATGGAAATTTTAAATCCTTTAGTGATGGTGTTCTTGGTCGACCAAAATTATCATCTACAACCGATAATGATAATGGTAATAATGGTCCTGTCAAATTTAAGATATCTGATAGCTATCAAAAGCCATTACCCGAAACTGTTATCATCAGTAAACAGACCAATTCAATACGACAAATGTTTGAAAAAAATCAAAAAAATACAACAAAAAATGATGATTTAATGACAAATGTTTCAAAACCACCACCATCATCGAATATCAATCTACAAAATGCTAACAACAACAACAACGACAAGGAAAATGAAAAACGACTTGTGGTCAATTTTCGTGATGTTTCAGAACAGATCAATCATTCGAATACTGGTACGACTATCAGCAATAAAAATAATAATAACAACCAAAATGTTACGAAAATTCCCAAAGTTAAATTACAGCTTTCAAACAATAACAATCATCAATTGTCAACAATAGCCAATGGAACATTGTTAGAAAAAAAGATTAAAGAAATTGATATTGATCGAATACGTATACCTCGTGCATCGATACAAACAACAATGATCAATGTAAAACAACGAAATAATAATAATAATGATAATGATTTAGATAATTTGAAAAGTGATATAAAATGTGAAAATTATCGACATGATAATAATGATGATGATCCTCATCATTATCGTGATCATAAATTAGAAATCGACAATAAACAACATTTTCCTTCAAACATTAATTGTAAAGAAAATAATGGTGATAATGATTCATCATTAATATTGGTTGATAATCGTGAAGGATCTATATTAACATTGGATAGTAAAAATTTGTCACAAATTGATCATACAACAACAACAGATAGTGAATTATTTTATTTACCAACCGTATCTTGTGCTAGTAAAAAATTAAATACAAAAAATAAATCATCCAATGATAATCATAATCTGGATACATTATCACAATCATCATCATCATCCGGTTGTTGTTCAGTTTCGAATTCATCATCTTCATCTACATCCGCTTCATCATCATCATCATCATCACATTCAACATCGCCTACAAATATTGAAACATGTTCATCATCGTCATCATCACCTGATTCATTAGAATCTTCACCCGATTCATATGATTCATCTTCAACAAAATTATCATCAACAATTTCGGATAATGGTAATGATGAAATGTTGGAAACTGTAAAAGAAGAAGATTATAATAATAATGATGAGAAAACGTTACAAACGAGCAGCAGCAGCAGCGTACATCATGATGATAGTTCATCGAAACAACAACAACAAGGTAACTTTATTTTAAAAACGATTGTTTTTTTTGTTAATTACAATTTTTTTCCCCGATTATAAAAATCGTGTATTTCATTTTGTTTTCCATTTTTTTCTCCTGATACCTTATTTTACAAACAGCAGCACAAAAAGTTGAAAATCAATCCATCACCATGACTATCATCACTAATAATTCATCTTCTAGAAGACCGGAAATTTTTGATCAATTTCATAATCAATTTGATGATGAAAATGATGGTCCGGATGAAAATTATGTTGTTTTCCAGCCGAATCTTTCATCAAACAAATCAATTGTCAATGTTGAAACAATACAACCAAAAGAATCAGAATCACGACATACAAGTACCATAGTTATAAATTCGAATGGTTCAAGTGAAATTACAACATCTATTCTAACAAATAGTTCATTAAAACATTCTGATTCTAGTTCATCAGAAGATAAACGTAGTCGAATGTTAGCCAAAATGGCACTCGATTTACAGCAACATCGTAATATTCAAGATCATCTTGATTCATCATCAACACCAACTTTTAATTTATCAAGATCTGGTTCAAATCAATCCAGTATTGTATCATCCAAAACAAATGAATCTTTTCGTGAACGTTTAATTCGAGAAGCATATGAAACAAATGATGATAATAATAGTGTTGATAATCATCGAAGTGAGGGAGTGTTTGGAAAATTTATATCCAGTAATAATAACAAAAAAGGTTCAATATCTAGTGATGATGATAGCAGCGATGATGATTGTGATGCTAATGACGATAAAGATGATAAAGAAAGTGTTGATTTTTCCGATTTCAGTGATATAAGTGATCGTATAGATGAGGATGATAATGTATGCAATTTTGATAATTCGAATGAAAAATTTTCCAATCCTACTGCCAAAAAATCAATTTCAAAATTATTTAAAAATGTTGTCACATTTAATTCAAACAATCAGAAAAAATATAAAAAAATTATGCAAAAAAATCTTCGTAAAACATCAAAATTTATCACCGAAACAACACAACAAATAAGAATGGATACTAGTGATATGGTTAGAAGATTAAAAACTGATAAAAAATCTGCAACATATGATAAGGATGCTCGCCATGGAAAATGGAATCTGATGGGAGGATCAACATTGCCATCAAAATCACAAAACGGCTTCAATGGATCATCATCAAACGAAACGTTGGACGAAGAACCAACATTAGTCAAAATTAAACGTCTTGAATCTACTAAATATCAAAAACCACCTTCTTTATTACATCCAAAGAATGTAAACGATGTGCCAGTTTTACCACCTAGATCATTAAAATCAAAAGTCAATCTTTCATTGAAAAATATTAACGAAGAAGATGGCGAAAGTTCACCGTGTGCACCACCACCAACTTCTCCTAATACAACTGAAAACGATTCTGAACCACCTAAACCGCCTATTCGACGAGCAAAAGCAATCAAAAGAAATGCAGAGCTTTCAGTGGAAAAAGCTTTATCATCTTTAGAAGATAAGTTGAATGTCATCAATAATGATGCCGATAATTTGGATGATCTCGTTAGTATTATTGAAGATTTTCGAGTTTCATTAAGAGATTGTCGATTCTATCGTATAAATCTACTTCCATTAAATGTTGAGGCTCATATGTTGGTAAGTTTTTTCCTTTTTTAAAATTTTTATTGCATTGTTATAAGATTTTTTTTACAAATTTCAAATATTTTCATATATAGACATCAAAAACTTTTTGGGTAACCTGTTATGATAAGAATTTTCTCCAACGTTATTATGGTGGTCATCCGTGTCTTTTATTGCAGAAAAAATGGACCGATTTTCTTACCATTAGTGCATTTTGTGACCGTCTTAATCGTTCTTTTGCTAATGATAATCGTCAAATGTTAATCGATTCTATCGTATTACAATCTTATTGTATTTTGGCTCGATTCGAAACCACCCGTCATGATCATCAACAATCATTATCAAAAAATCCATCAAAAGATAAAAATCGTCTATTAACTGTTGGTGACATAAACGATGCATTAGTTGGAATCAGTGTTAATGATGACAAAGAAATTGTTGATGTATTATTATTGTTGCCATCCAAAACAATCGAGGTTGATAATGAGGAAACGAATCCACTTGAATTAGATTCCTTATCAATGACGCAGGCATTTTGTTTACAAGTATTTATAATGCGTTTAACAAGGCTTATTTCTTCAAATCAATCGGAAGAAAACAAAAAGCTATACAATCAATCAAGTCATTATCAAAATGTTTCGAAACGTTCACATACGTTTAACACTTTACATGAACTGAAAATTCTATCGGCCATTGATATATTTCATATTGTTGATTATGATCAAAAAGATGAATCATTAATTCACAAACAAATTAATTCATGGTTCGATGATCATAGTCAATCTATTGAATTGAAGCGACGATATTTTCCAACCAATAGTGATAATTCAATATCGATTCTTGATTATTTGGAATTGAATTTTCTTGCTAACACATCAAAACAGATGGCATCTGATCTAGTGTACAAAGATCGTTCGGAATAATGATTTTTATAAGCCAAAAAAATATTTTATTCGATGTATAAATAATTTTTTTTTTAAATTCAAAATAATTGTTTTTATAATTGATCTTCAATTTTCTATCTTAAATAATAAAAAATCAAAATAAAATAAAAATGTTAAAAATATTTAAAACAAGAAAACAAAACCAATATTCAACATTTGAATTTATTATTATTGAATGTGGTTGTTTTCGGCTTTTGATAGATTATCTTTTTATTTTGTGGATCATCACCATTTGCTGATATTGTATTTGCACTGGGTGTTGGTGTTATTTCTTCGGAATCTGTTTTTCGACAACACCATATACAAAGACCGGATTGATGTTTTGATGAGAATGTTATCCAACTTAATATTGATACACCAATCGATACGACTGATATGCCCAGATAAAGACTAATTAGGCCACCGATATAAATCTTGATAAATAAATTGAATAAAATTAATTGAGTAATAATAAAATAAAAATCTTACCAAAAATTCAATATTTGCAAATTTTGGTACATGTTCATTAATGATTTGAAAATTTTTCGGCGGTAATATACCAATGGTAAATGAATGACTTTGTGATTTATCATCTTCATCTCGTTCACGTACACGAGCCGTACGAACATCATATTGTACACTTTCACAATCATCCATTTGTCCACATTTATAACTACATGATGCTAATTCCGATGCATCTAAACCTTCTTCAAGATGTCCTGATGAACTCCATGAATTAGTCCATGTTTTAGAAAATCTATGCGTTACATTGTTATCAGCATAAACATCACCTGGCCAACCATCGGCACGTTGTACATAGGTTTTTGTTTTACATTCTGTCATACAATCACTTCGACATGCATAACCATCTTGACGATAATCATAACAATTTGTTGCGTATGGTGGTGGTAATAATTTGGTCATTTGTCGTTCAAATGATACGCTTACAAATTGATGTTTATCTGGATCTAATTGTTGAATATTGCTTGTGCCAGCAAATTGATGTGACACTATTTAGACATTGTTAAACAACAATATATGTTAGAATTTTCAAATTTCATTATTATTATTATATTGATTTTTCACTTACTTTCAGGTGAATGAATATAGATTAATCCATTGAACATAAAATCTCGATTCAATTCGATCCAAGCTAAATATTTAAGATTAGCTGCAGCATCTTTTGGTATTTGATAATTAATATCATGATAAGCGGTACGATTTAAAAACAATGTAAAACATTTAAATTCATATGAAATAGTTTCATAGATTGGATTCAATGAACTACAATTAATACGATTATAGCTTTGAAGATCCCAATTTGGATGCATTAATGTTGATGAATAATAATCTTTATTTGATAATCGATTTGGATATTGTCCAAGTGGTGTGGCTAGATGACATTTTTTAAAAAATTTTTCTTTCGATACGGTTAGATTATGTTGTATGTCAATTGTTTGTGAATGCAATGATCGTAATAATTTATCACGATATTTTCTTTTTTTTAACATCATTGCTATCTGTGTACGTGTTTTGCCTTAAGATTGAAAATACAATAATAATGAATAGTTTTTTTTTGGATATCGTTTTTTAAAAATAGAAATTTTTCAACTTACCGACAAAATCATCATAAATACTTGGTTCAATTTTGATTAATTTTTCAACTAAAATTGTACTAGATAGTTCACTACAAACAGTAATACCGGGTAAATGTACAAACGGTGATGGATCAACACGAATATCTACCGTTGTTGGATAACGAAGATATAGATTACAAACAATATATATTTGATATGCACATATTACAGCAGCAAAAATTGTGATCGTGATACGAATTGTATTACGAACATTACGTTGAACACTTTGAACTTTATTCATTTGTACGGATAATGATTTGAATTCGTTTGTCGTTTGTCAACAACAACAACAACAACATTAATGATAACAATAAAAACATAATAATTATAATTCTAAAATTCTAAAATTAAATTAAACAATTAAGTTAAATTGGATTCTTGTTATTAAATGCTATCAAACTGATCAATTAATCAATGATCAGATCAATTGAAATGATTTGATTTTGATTGAATTCTATGAATCATATAAAATAAAATGAAATCAAAGGTTTACGGCGGTCACACAATAAAAAACAAACATTTGAAATAATCATCAATCAATCAAAAAAAAAGAATCAAAAAAATAAAAACTTTCATTGATTTAATATGTTGCGTTATACGTTGTCAACCTGTTGATTTTTTGTTTTGTTTTGTTTGTTTTGCTGTTGTTGTTGTTGCTGATAAATATGATCTAGTAGTTGTTGTTTTCAAAGATTTTTTTTGATTTGATATATCTATATAGTTTTGTGATTTTTTTTTTATTTAACCAAAAACAAAAACCAAATGATATTAATAACCGACAACGGAACAACTATCTAATCAACATATTGTTGTTTGTGTAGTTGTGAGCAATTGTATGCACGTACTGCGAGTATCACAAGTTGGATATATAGATTTCAACAAGAAATATAATATAAAATCACAAAAAAAATCAATGAACATCACTAATTACATAGATACAGATGCCTTAGTGATGATGATGATACATTGTTGATATAACATTGTAAATGCCACCCATTAATTTAAAAAGAATTTTAATATATCAATCAGTCATAAATGAAAAACGAAAAATCCCCACCCGGTAAAAAAAAGTAATCAGCATATATTTTCAACCCTAAAAAAACAAATGATATACACAGACATTACAAACAGATCAATCGAAATGAAATATCTATTCAACCGATCAACAAATCTTGATGTCATTCTTTTATTTCACTATCTATTGCCGACATCCGTTTGAACAGCTTTTCCAAAACGAAAAAAAAAATTATTAATCATTTGTGACCACTAACAACAACAACAACAACAACAACTAAAACAACAACATTGTAGTTGATCCATGAATTTGGAAAAAAAAGATATTATCATAAACAAATGAATATTGCTTGCTAAACAAATATCAAAATAGATATATTTGATTGACTGATTATAATCAACCATATCGTACATTGATTATTATCATTATAACCAAGAGAAGAAAAAAAAGATCAAAATTCATTGCCATGGTCGACAAATATGTGAACAGATAAATTTTAACTATTTGAAGAAAAAAAAATATTTATTAATAATTATTATTTTCTATTTTGATAGAATCAATCAATGTTGATGATGGGTAAACATGTCATTCATTTGAAAAAAATATGCAACAGGTGTCAACAAAAATTGAAACATTATTTTTTAATTCGAATTGTTGAACAAAAATATGTCGACATCACCTGCGGTGCACGACCAATATTTGGATGTGATCCAAAACCATATGATTCATCAGCTACCGTGATCAAATTGATCATGTTTTCGATAAAATTTTCATCTTCCTCATTGAATACTTGTTGCATATTTATTATTCGTTTTTGTACCAATTGTTGCCAACGTTGTCTGATTATAAATAATTTTTCCAATTCATTTCCGCTTTCTTTATCATCATCATCATCATTATGAATTTCAAATTGACCATTCATACATTCGATACAGTTTTTATTACAATTATAGTCCATAGAATTATCATCAATAAATAAGATGAATGTAAGTGGACTGATTATTGTACAATTTTGTAGATAAGACATTTGACCACATTGAATTTTTCGATCGAATAAAATTAATGCTCCTTTGGATTCGATGTTATTCGACGATACATTTAGAATAGAATTTGGTTCCATATAAAGTATCTCATTAAAATTTAAACCTCGAAATTGGCGATTTTCAGAGTTAATAATTTGTGCAAAATGATCCGATACTTGTCCAGCAGTTATGGCTGCTAATATTAATGAAAAATTATCTGAATTTGAATTCAAATAACGTATGTTCATTAAGCCTTTTCCTTTCACCAGACCAATTGCTCGAAGTTGGCCCAATATTTTCGTACGCAATGAATAGATCATTTCGAATGTAGCAAAACTTTCTTTAAATTCATTTTTATTTATCATTACTTTAGCCGTTTTAGAAAAGATATGATTGGCCGAACTGTAAGATTTTGCATTTAAACGACAAATCTCTTGCCACTTTTGAAATGCATATACAAAATTTAAATGATCAGAAATTTTCGATATTCGATGCATTTGTGAATTGTTCATGCCATTACGAATTGAATGAAATTCATCCTGTTGGTTATCCTCATCCAGCAATTGTAATGAATCAGCTTGTAATTGTTGATAGACTAGGATTATAGGATGTGATTCAACTTCTAATTTCAAGAAAAAACACTAAAATAAGACTTACGTGATTTAGGCGAAGACAATGCACACACAATGGTCAATATTGGATCCAAACATCGAAGTAATATTGAAAAAATAATCATTTTTGCATAATGTGGTTCGATCGAAATATCAATCAACATTTGACCCAATGTTGTCAGGTTTTCGTCCATATCTAAAACATTAATATTTCGCATGAAATTCAATGCACGATAAATGATTTCTTTGTTTGGTGGTAATATCATTCGGTTAAAAATATCCATCAAACAATCAGTATTTTTAAATTCAAAACATTTAGCAGCAAATATACAATGATATAATGAATCATTTGAAGAGATACTGAACGGACCATTCATCGAATCAATTTCATAATCAAAAAATTCATTACGACGATAAAGATTCCATATAATAACAGGAAATTTTTGATTATTAGCTAACAAAAATTTTGTTTCCATGTTTTCAGTTGGATTAGGAACCATTCGATATAAAGTAACATCACTAAATAAATTTGGCATCTTCATTAAACGATTTCCAGTATTGATAATATAAATGATATCTTTGAATAGGATTGAATCAACATTAAATGTAGACAATATAACTCGTATATGATTAGATGATGATGATATTTCAATACCGGCATCCAATTCATTATTCGGTACATTCGGATATAGACAGAATATGGTAAATTCAACTTGTACTTCAATCATTGATGAGATTATCAATTTACGTAATGTACTAACATGATTATATGATGGTAACATTATTAATATTGAACCGATTGAAGATTGACCCATCGTACTCCAATGATTATGATATAATTGTTTGATCATATTGTATAAAAGTTGTAGAATTAGATCATAGTTTACTACCGAATAAGATGTACTATAAGATTTATTCATTGAAGTATTGACTGTTGTTTGTGGTTGACGATTAGAAAAATTCAAATGACGATGAATATGTAAATTGAATGATTCATTCTTAGTGTAAAGATGTACAAATAATAATTGAAATGATTGTTGTCGACGAAATTGGATGGCCCATTGAATTGGTTCCAAACCATTCATCGATGGTATACAAGGATCGGCACCCATTCTTAATAATTGATAAACATTTGAATGATTTCCACGAACAATGGCTGTGATCAATGGTGTAACACCTTCAATTCGTTTACATTGATAATTAATTTGCCATGGAAACATTTGAAAAAATTCAATCATCTTATTAATTTCAACATTTTCTATCCAACATTCGTATATAATTAATTCAGAATGATTTTCATGTATCGATGTTGTAACCTGTTCATTTTCATGTTGAATTTCACATGAATTAGTTGCAATGGAAATTCGTTGTAAATCATCGAGAAAAAAATATTGCAAATTAGATATATTATAATCGATTGAATTCCTTTCAGCCATATTACTATAGAATATATTCGGACCAAAATAATCAATCATTTTTTGTGAACGTTTAGAATCTTGTGTTAGAAATATTATATTTAAATGTTTCAAACTATCGATATTTTCTTTAAGAAACAATAAAAATAGATTGAAAAATAAACTTGTCAGATCATTGACATCGATAATCAAATGGGTTAAAAGACTCATATCTAAATCTCTTGTCAATGCTCGAATAAATGTAGCAATTTCGAAAAATATAATACTATTGTTCAACGATGTTCTTCAAAAATGAAAAATATAAAAAAAAATGAATGAAATTAGTTACTAAATTTAAGTGATTTTTTGTTGTTCTTATTCATTCATTCATTGAAAAAAACATACTTGCTTTCCAACATGATCTGATAACCAATCGAATTCCATTTATCATTGGCCATTTGTTTGATTGCCAGTGCCATCCAAAATGTCATGATTGTTGATGATTGTAAATAAACAATACGACATGATTGTTGTTTTTGTGAACAATCATTATTGATCTGTATCAATAAATCGAGACAATCATTTTTACTCAATCCATTTAAGATCTGTATTTTCGACGATCCTGACCATAATAGTGATGGTGATGTAAGCAATCGATTTTCGATTTCATTGTTAACAATATTGATCGATGATCCATCATTGCATTGTTTGTGTATAAATTTCGGGACAGTTGGTTTTGTATCGAAATATGTAAATAGATTAAAATTACTATTTCCAAATCGTTGTTGGTGTTGTTGTTGTTGTTGATCATTCAAGCGGGAAGTTTGTTTTTTCAATTTGTTGATCGAAAATTTTAACAATAGATCTTTGATTGATTGCACTGATTGTAATTTTAAACAAATAGGAGATCGATTATCGACAAGCACATTTGAAGCACTATCGTTTAATCCAATTTTTTTCGATGATCGAATGATTGAAATATTTTCAGTGTTCGGATAAAACCAATCGGCCATAATATTGAGACGAATCTCCGAATCATCCGAAGACAATGATTCATAAAGACATTCCAATTGATTACTTGATAAACAATCGGGCAATCGAAGTGCTAAACAATGAATATTTATTAATCATTTTAACTGCAAAATGTTCAACATGATAATTACCTTTTATTTTATCATCAGAAAATTTCTCTTTTACAATATTCAATAATCGATCCGATAAAAATGAATCGATATTTTGTACAAATTTATTTAAAGCCTCAAGATTCATATCAGACACGTATCATAATAACGTGTTAAATGAAATAGCTACACAGGCATGGTTCAACGTGTTTATTAAAAAAAAATTCGATAAAATTTCGAATTCTGAATCTGTTAGCCTCTCTCTCTATTTCTCTCTCTCGAACTATGTGATAATTCTCAAATTGTTTCAAAAGTTCTTCGATTGATTTAGCAACGAATGATGAAAAATGAAAAATGATAAAATTTTATTCATGGCTCATAAACTATTCGACCATCTTCCATACAATGAAGATAGCCACGTTCTTGTAATGAATTGACTATGTTTCGGAATTCATCCGTATCCAATACAATCGACTCATAAGGTGTATAGGCCAATTTCAGCCGGATATTTTGTTGCAATGTTTCGAGGTTAGCAACGCAAACCATCCATTTCAAAGTTCGTATAATAGTTGCTTCGATGACCAAATATTTGTCCATGATTCGATTGCCTCCATCAAAATGTTTTGACGAATTCGTTGCATTAGAAACGGTTTCATAAAGGCTTAAAATTTTCTCTATATCATAGCTGAGTGATAATTGTTCTAATTTGATCCAATTGATTAAATTTAAATGATTTTCTGTATTCATGATTTCAATGCCTTTGAAATGATCGTTGAATATAAAAGTTTGGCAAGACAAATCAGTAGTAACGTGGTCGTTTGTTGTATTTAAAATCAGTAGTAGTTTATATTTGATGAATACTTCCAATGAGGATTTTAATTGGTCTGATTTCAATTCAGTTGTTTCTTCCAATTGTTTATAACTGCACATATCAAATTCATTAAAAATCGATAAAATTGTCATCTGTTTAAGTGTAACAATAAAATGAAATTCACAATTTTCTGAATTAATATATTGAACCAATGCAGAACAGTAAATTGGCTGAAGGGTGAGAATTTTCTTTGGATTTTTCTGCAGGAATTGTTCGATAAAAGATTGATAAATGGTTATGAATTCGTTTGGAATTCGAAATGTACGTTCCAATTGCAATCGATCAAGATTCCAAAGTGAAGAATTCAATAAAAAGATTTCTATTTCGTCACCTACAGAGTGATGAGACTTAAGATAATCGTTCAATAAAATTTTCACATTAAAACTTAAAGGACTATATGGATTGATTATAATATCAAAAAAATTTGCAATTCGTTCGATATCTTGTAACATTGAGCAATTGCTTAGGCCGAATAAAATTCGTTGACATAAAAAACGACGATTGTAGTAAATGATAGCAGATTTATCCTCAATAAACATTAATAGATCAAATGCTGATTTAATTAATGTTTGTTGATTGCCATCTATCAGAATAGTTGGATCGTCCAGATTAATTATTGAAGCAAAATGTATTAGCAATGATATGATGCATGCAAATGCATTGTTCGAATTCAGATAATAAAGATAGGCATCATTCAATGATCTATAAATAGTTGTTTCGTTTTCGAAAACTTTTTCAATAATATTGTAGCAATATCGAAATAATTGATGACAATCATGAACAAAATCAAACGTTAATTGCCAATTATAGTGATTTGATTTCCAATCACTCAACTTGATCGATGTTGATAATTTCAATCGAACAAATTCGCCAAAATTTTTTGCTAATTTTTTCAAAATGTTTTCATTAAATCTGATCATATTGAATAGATTTTGAAGATCGAGCCAACGTTCCGAATCAATCCATTGTTGAAATCGATTAAAATCACAAATAACATCTTGATATTGGCCAATCAATTCAGAATACAATAATTTAGCCTCCATCTTAATTAGATCTAAACTAAATGAATAATGTTTGGCCAAAGCAAGTTCGTCATTGATAGCCGATTTAACAAAACGGAAATAACCAATCAAATCAAATTGATCGATTGCAAGATCGTCATTAATTAACTTATTTGATACATTTCGATAGACACTTTTCAATCGTTTCAAATAAGGAAACCCAAAACAACGATAATAGATTATTGGATTTTTACAATGACCATCGATATATTTCATTAATTGGAATATTTGCTCAACACGGTTATTTTGTTGATTAGAATTTTGCTTCTGGTTTTGAATTTCACGCCAAATCGATTCGAATAGAATATCTTGATGATTTATTATGAAATTTTCAACAAACATTGACATTAATAAGTCGATGGTGTGATGTTTTACCAATCGATAGGTTAATCGTTGAATCGAGATAGTCATTGCATAGAATGAATTTATCGAATGTTGAAATTGAAACCAACAGTAAAGTAAATAATCTAAAAGATTGTCATCTTTATAATTGGGTAGACAGGAGGCCCATTTTTTAACCACAGATTGGCAACAAATGATCCAGACCGAAATCACCGCTGCTATCGATAATCGTTCAATTATTCGATTGACTAGCATATTTATTGATTGAAATTCATCATTTTCATAATAACATGATGATTGAAATAATTTTATGATTCGATCTTGTAATTGAAGACATTCTGAATCATTTCGACAAACAATATTATAATGTTGTCGTAATTTTTCAATAAAATACAACGACATTTTTTTGATCCGATAATCATCTACAATGGAATAAAACTTACAATCGTAATAATTTGAATCATTATTGATTAATTGTTTGAAATTAAATCGAACATTTTCTAAATAATTAAAATTACAAGGATTTCCTTCGATGTCACATCCTTTATGAACTGAACCCGCTTCCACGTGGTTGTATTTGTTTCTATTCTGAAATTTTATTTAATTTTTTATTTATTTGTTTCTAAAATTTTAGTTTTTATTTGTGAATTTTAGGAATTAGATTTTTTTGAAATTATGCTAATTTAAAATCTTAAGAAGATGGCTTATGAACATCCAGAAGAAATTTCCTCTAATCATTGGTCTATGTTTCAAACAACATCTGAAAATGGTTACGATTCGGATAAAATTGATTCAGATATTGAAGATATGCTTTATTCATCGATTCATCATCAAACGATCAATTCGGAGGAATTAAGTTTCACTCCGATAAAACCAAATGAATCATTAAATAACGATGACAGAAATGAATTATTAATACCGAAAATTCGAAACATTTTCAACGAAAGAAAAGTTGTCAAGAAAAAGAAAATTAAAGAGCTAAAAATTCTTAAACGAAAAAATCAAGATGATGAACAACAAAATGATGCTCAGAAACTCACTGTGAAACAAAACAAAATTTCATCTGATCAATTCGACATTTCTTATGGTCATAATATTACATTAAATTCTAATGATTATACTGATTCGAAAAATGGATTCTATCTAGAAGCAAATTATGATAATGAAAATATTGATGAAGTAATGAAAAAACTTCCAAAAGATCGACGATATTGGAAAGTAGGTCAACAAGATCTACAATCATCATTTTTTCAACGACGTGGTCGTCATCGACCTAAACAATGTAATTTATGTTTTCAATTCGGCCATTTAGATCGAGTTTGCCCTAATGTATGTATGAATTTGCTGATTGATTTGTTTTATTCATTAATTTATCAATTAATTTACAGAGGATAAAAAAATGCTTTATCTGTGGCGATGAAGATCATGAACAGAAATCGTGTGATAAAAAACTAATTTGTTGCAAATGTTTTATGATCGGCCATACAAGTAATAATTGTGCGAGCAAAATACAATGCAAACTTTGTCACATCGTTGGTCATAGTCAAGAAAATTGTACATTTCATTGGCGAAAATATTTAACAGTTGTCAACGAAACCGACGATCATAAAAATATTTCTATCCAATCTAATGATATTACCATCAATTCTAAAGTGTCTTGTTATAACTGTGGTATGAGTGGATCTCATTTCGGTCATGTAAGAATTGCCATTTGATTAGGATTATTGTTTTATTGTGACTAATTTTATAATTTTTTTTTCTAGGAATGCAAGTCCTTGACCATCAATCGGAAACGAAACGAAATTCCATCGCCTATTTTTAATCTAAAACGTAACAAAATGGGTAAAAAACAGCAGCGAAAACAACAGCCAATTTCTCCTGTTTCTGAAATCAAACCATTTTTGTTAAATGTAACAAATGGATCTAATGGCAATGTTGATAGTGATGATTCACTGGAATATGTTGAAAATATGCTAAGGCAATCGAATCCATCAAAAAATATAATAGATCAATCGAATATTAGGAAAAAGAAACGGAAATCATTCAAGAATGTCAAAAACGGTCAAATCAATGCAGCAAAACAATCTAAGAATAATTCCAAAAATCAACCTTTGAATCAACAAGTTGTTAATGGCAATACAAAGAAAAATAAGAAAAAATTGAATTCCAAAAAATCAACGAATAAGAAAATTAAGAAAAATGAATTTTTTGATAAGATATTTTCGATGAAATTGCAATCAAATGATGGCAATGTGATTAAAAGAAAAAAATTAAAAACTAGAAAAAAATAAATTATTTTAATTTAAAAAAAAATATAGAAATGATTATTTATTTAATTACAATCAAATTAATAATAAGTTTCTTGTTCAACCCAACCACCGGGATTGCGTCGTAAAAGGAAACGTCGTACTTCATCGAATAAGAAAATTAAAAATGAAAATGGAAGTGCTAATAACCACCAGGAAAATCTATGGAAAAAAAGAAGATAATTAATGCAATAGGATGAGACATTATTTCTGCAACAACAAAAAAAAAATTCCAACATACTTTAATGGTTGAGTTCGGAGTATAATCGGCATACCCGGACAATATGTAAGAAATGCGGCCAATGCGGTTTCGAAAAATAATGCAAAATTCAATACTTGATTTCTAATTTCAATGAAATTTATCAGTAAAGGATAAAAATTTAAGCCGAAAAATATTAGTATAATTACCCCATTTTTTGTTCAATAATTGAATTTCGTCTTGTTTTTCGTATGATTAAATCGGCCCATTGTACAACAACAATACTGACAAAAAATGCTGTATAACAAGTGTGTTCCAATTTTTTACGCTGTGAATATGTCCATTCTTGACCATTAGCATCCAATAAATCATTAATATACATGTTATCCCATTTTTTACGAAGACCAAACACAATCCAGCCCCAGAAACCGTGTTCAGCCATAATGACAAAATAAGTGAAAAATCCGGCTGAAGCTTCAATTATCCCAATTAATCCGTATGAAGCAAATATTAGACGAGAATTGACTAGTTTATCATGTAATGGATCACGTGGTTTTCGTTTCATAATATCCGATTCGGCTTTTTCATATGCATAAGAAATGGCTGGTACCATATCTGTACCAAGATCGATAAACAGAATAGTAATTGTACCGAGTGGAAGTGGTATATCAAATAATATAAAACTAAGAAATGGTGTTATTTCTGGAATGTTTGATGTTAAAGTATAGGCGATTGATTTTTTTAGATTATCAAAAATCAAACGACCTTCTTCAACACCGGTAACAATCGATGCAAAATTGTCGTCCAATAAAATCATATCGGCTGCTTGTTTCGAAACATCTGAACCAGAAATACCCATAGCTACACCAATATCAGCTTTTTTCAATGCTGGTGAATCGTTAACACCATCACCAGTTACAGCAACGATTGCACCTTGACGTTGACAGCCTTCAACAATGATTAATTTTTGTTGTGGTGAAGTACGAGCAAATACAATTTCAGTATGATGTCGAAGAACATCATCAAGCTGATCATCTGACATATCTTTCAATTCTTGACCATGAATGACAGCAGCTTTTGCATCACGTGGATTAACACTTGTAATTGGTACTTGTAATCTTGATGCAATATCTTCGATAGTTTCATTATTCTCTGAAATGATACCAACAGCTTTTGCAATAGCTTTAGCAGTAATCGGATGATCACCGGTAACCATAATAACTTTTATACCTGCACTTCGACATTTAGCTACAGCATCAGGTACAGCAGCACGTGGTGGATCAACCATTGAAATCAAACCCAAAAATCGCAGATCATTCATTGGAAAATTCATATCGTCCGCATTAAATACATATCCTTTCGGATATTTATCTTCATTTAATTCAAAATCACACAATCCAATCACACGTTCACCCATTCCTCCCAATTGCATATAAGCATCATTGAATGCTTTTCGCCATTCATTATCTAAATGTTTTTCTTCACCATTTATAAAGATTGTTGTACAACGATCAAGAATACGTTCAGGTGCACCTTTCATGCACAATATATAACTTCCTTTTGCATGATAATGTTCATGTATGGTTACATGATATTTATTTGTTGAATTGAAAGGAATTTCACAAATTTTTGGATTCTGAGAACGATAATCCATAACATTTCCTGTAGCGATTTCCATACATTTTAGAATAGCTATTTCCGAAGCATCTCCTGTACATTCACTATAATAATAAAATTTCAAAATAAAACTATAGTTTTTTTCGAAATGAATTTTGTTAAAATCTTAACTAACCGTTTAAGAATCGAAATGTCAGATTGATTGGCTTTAAATTCAGCACGACTACATAATGTTACTGTACGTTCTAATGCTTTCCATTCATTAGAACTTTTATCGATTTTCGTTCCAGATTGATCTTCAGTCGTATCTATTTCAACAATTTTATTATTGAACCACATATGTGATACTGTCATACGATTCTGTGTTAATGTTCCAGTTTTATCTGAACATATAGTTGAAGTTGAACCTAATGTTTCGACAGCTTCTAAATTTTTAACCAAACAATTCTTTTTGGCCATACGTTTTGCCGTAAGTGTTAAACATACCGTTACTGTTGCTAATAAACCTTCAGGAACATTTGCCACTATAATACCTATTAGAAAAATGACTGCATCAACAATACCATAACCAATAGATAATGCAATAATTAAAAAACTAACACCTAGAAATACAGCAACACCAGTGATAATATGAATAAAATGAGAAATTTCTTTGGCTATTGGTGTTTCACCGACTTCCAATCCGGATGCTAGATTAGCAATTCGTCCTAATATGGTACGATCACCTGTATTGACTACAATACCAGTAGCAGTACCTTCTACACAATTTGTTGAAAAAAATGCCATATTTTTTGTTTCCAATGGATTTTCATGTGTATTTTCGGATGATCGTAGTAATGGTTCAGATTCACCAGTCAATGATGAATTGTCTACTTTACAACCTTGTGAACGAATAATTCTTAAATCAGAAGGTATTCGATCTCCTCCTTTAACTTCTATAATATCACCAACGACCAATTGATCTGCTAAAATTGTATGTTTTTGTCCATCACGAATTACGATAGCATATTGTGGAACTAGATTTTTAAACGATTCCATAATGGCCGATGATTTGGCTTCTTGATAGTAAGAAAATACTCCAGTTATAATGACGACAAAAGCAAGAACAATACCAAGATAAAGCTAACGATGATAATATAGTTTTATGATAATTAAACAATAAATGAATATCTGTAGTATGTATTTACATTATCCATTTCTTCTGGCTGAATTGCTGTGGCGATGAAACAAAGAATAGCACCAACCCATAATAGCATGGCAAAACCACCAAATAATTGTTTGCAAAATTTTATCCATTTTGGTGTTGTTTTTGGCGGTGTAAGAGCATTCGGACCATCACGTTCCAAAATTTCCATAGCTTTAGCTGAACTATGACCAAAATCCGGATTTGTGATACCATAACGAGCATATAATTCTGCAAACGGAATTCGATGTTCATCCATTTTGACCTCTTGCTTAAGATCATCAAGATTTTTTTCAACTTTTGATGATTTACAACCCTTTCATTATATTCAATGAGAGAGAAAAAAAAACTTGAAAATTATTTGGAAAAAAATGTGATTAAATAATTTTACCATTGTTGATTTTCTGGTTGATAAAATCACTGATTGAAAATTTCAACGAAATTTCGATAAATGTTAATGAAAAAATTGGCGTAATCAAAAAGCCAACAAATGTCATTTAACTTTAGATTCGGATTTTTTAATCAATAATTCAGTCAGAACAAAATCCATACATAAAAATACTAACAGTGAAAAGAATAAAGATGAAAAAAATGAAAAACAATATTTTAAATCAAAAGCGATTATCCAAATCACCAGACTAACAGAATCATAGACAATGGTTTTTATATAGATGAAACTTTTGGAAATATTTTCAATAGATTTGGACATTGATTTTGTTACAATATCCATCTTTATTATCTGATAATGGTTTAATTGTATTATCCATAATTGTATTTAAGGTCGGTTCACCTTCGTTCAAAAAAATTTTAAAAGAATTTTATAACTCAAATACTAATTACAATTACAACTTATGATTATTTCCTTGTGTAATCACCTATAGTTACTAGTTATTTCGGGTTTTTTTACAAATTTGTAACATTAAATACAGTTTTTTATACCTTTGTCATGGCTAATTGATTTGATTTGAAATTTATTTTTATTTTTTCAATGGAAAGAAATAAAATTTGTACCTTGTTATCGCATAACATTTATAATCATCATTATTATTTCCATTATCATTATCATTTTGGTACATGTTTGGTTTGTCATTATGTCAATGACGACCGTTTGAATTTTGATCTTGATTATCGGTCCGTGTAAGTGTGTGAACATGATATAGATGATAACATTGAAAACTGAAAATTTTCCGTAAATTTTATCACATCAAAAATCAAAAATCAAATCTAAATTTAGAACAGATAATAATGCTTTAATGTGATGAATTCAAATTCTTCGATTGACACCTGTTATAATTTTATTTGTTTTTTTCTTTCTTTTCGCTACGTTTTATCTCATTCTCATTGAAAAACCATAGGTTGTAATAAAAAATTGAAAAAAAACTCATCAAATATTATTAATTGAGATTTTTGTACAATAAATCTGACCCTATACAATCATTCGTTGTTAATCGTTGTTTTTTCCGATTTGATCTTTAGAATTGTATAATTTTAACATAATATGATCATAGTTAAAGTGAATAAATTGATTTATTAATGAAATTGATTATCATTGAATAAAAGTGAAAAACAAATTCAATTATACGATTCTACTTCAACGAAAGAAGTTCTTTGCCATTTTAGCCTTGAATAATCTAATTTGCTCAATATTCTTTTCTTTTTCTTTTCTTCTTTTTTTGATGATTTATTCATGGTTTTTATGGTTGCGCCATTTTTTTGTGTTTTTTATTTTTGATTGTCTGCTGAAGTGAAACATTTATCTTCATTGCCATCTTTTCTTTTATGTACAATTTATTATTCTGATCATCATTTGAATGATCTATTAATCAATATTACAATGTTCAAAGATGATGTAAATATTCTCAGGTTTAATTACCAAGGTTTTTTTCATGAAGTAATAAATTCGAGAAAATAAAACCGGTTATTTTGATGTTGGTTTTTTTTTACCTAACCTGGTTGTCGATAAGTTTCGTTGGATGGGTATATAAATTGAACACAAAAAAACAATGACCAATATCATAATTGAAAAAGTGAAAAACAAAAACAAAAATGATGATGTTAAAAGTAATTATTCTGATTGTTCGGTTTTTACATCAAGTTTTTTTATTGATTTTCTTTTTTTTTCTTTATGATTAGGCAATCGTTTTATTTGGCATTTTGTCTATCGTTTTGGGCCAGATGAACATCGGTACTGGTTCCGGTGGCTTTGTTGGTCATCGAATTGTTTCGAGTGGAGGTTTTACTGGTAATTCTGGTTTGTTATCAGGTGGTGGATTTGTTGGTCATCAAAATGTTCCAATGGTTACAAGTGGTGGTTTTGTTGGCCATCGTAGTAGCATTCAATCATTTCCTTCAAATGGACGATTTTTTTATTCATCACCAATTGGATCATCCAGAATCATGCCAAATTCAATTTCATCAGCTCCATTTCGATCATCGATTTATTCACCAGTTCCGATGATTGCCACCGCACAACCATCAATGCCAGTATTTCGACGATTTCGTCGTAGTATTGATGGAATTCGTAATTATGAAGGATCACAAACAGTATACTATGGTACTGAACAACAAAGCGTTCAACAACCAAAACAATTATCATCATCATCATCATCATATGGTCAATCATCAATGAGTGGATATAATTATGGTGCCTCGGTTGAAGCCAAACCAAAACAATTATCATCATCATCATATGGTCAATCGTCAATGAGTGGATATAATTATGGTGCATCGGTTGAAGCCAATCCGAAACAATTATCATCATCATCATCATATGGTCAATCATCAATGAGTGGATATAATTATGATACATCGGATGAAACCAAACCAAAACCATATCAATTTTCATTACAAAGTCAAGATGATGGTACTGGTACTGCTAATTGGTATCAACAAGAACAATCAAATGGTGATGGTGTCATTGTTGGATCATATACTATTCAAGATCCTGTAACCGGTACTATGAGAATTGTAAATTATCGTGCCGATGATGATGGATTTCATGCAGAAATTCAATCAAATGAACCAGGTGTTGTTGATTCTAATCCGGCTGATGCATCCATACGAACAATCCAAAACAATGTTGGTTCAGTTCGTTCGGATTATTCCGCTGTTAGTGGTGTAGCCAGTAGCTACAATAAACCACAACAACAACAACAATATAAACAAAAATCTTATGGTGTATCATCAACTTATTAAAAATTGTTTTATTTGAATAATCCAAAAATCTTTTTTTATAATATTAAATCGTTCATTCATCATGAACCGAATGGTAAATGTTGATGAATTTGATTATTTTATCTTGATGAATGTTTCACATCATCAACATTAATTGATTTGGAATCTAAATAAAAGCATTTTCTTTGTTAATTTCCCACGATTATTTTTCGTATAATGATTTTCTGTCTCTCTATTTCAACAACAACAACAACAAAAAACCATAACAAAATAAAGAAAAACAAAAATCGATTAAAACAAAATTCGTTTACAGGAAAATTTTTGTTTTTTAGAGATAACAATTATTGATAAGAATGAATTGAGGAAAAGAAAAATGAAAATGACATTTTTCTATATTTATGATATGAGAAATGTTTTGTTTTTTTTCGAAAAGTTGGCCATCAAATAAAATTGAAACGAAAATAAAATAAAAAGATACAACAATATACAGAATTCCACGAAAATCCAACATAGTGATATTGATCAAATATTTAACAACAACAAAAAAAATCCATTTTGTTTCCTGTGTTTGTCAAATTGAATTTAGCATTTTTAAAAAGACAAGATTTATTTAAATTTAAATTTTTCGATAATTCTCTTTGGTTGTTGGATCGCTATCATCTATCATTGAGTCATCTTGAGTGTGAGTGTACTCAGGCATTACTCAACATTATGGTTGCGATTCTAAAAAAAAAACAAAAATCAAGCGGAAAATTTTTCTTTTCCATATTTTACTTAGGAAAATGGAGCGTTGATTTTACTTTGTTGTTATTTGTTTGTGTAACTGGAACTGATTTTAAGTAAAGAAAAATATTTTTGTTTTTTTGTTTTGAAATTGATTTATGACAACGACTGGAACGACAACAACAACATCGACGACGAAGAAAAGAAGAATATTAAATGTGACAACAACAAAAAAATCGACCATTGATTCGATATGATAAGAGAATAGAAAAACAATGAAAGAAAAAAGGAAAAGATGGAAATATGTTTCCTTTTGAGAATCCAAACAAAACCTTGAAAATCTATCAAATTTAAAATCTTTTTTTTTTCGTTCGTTTGTTTGTCTGTTTCATTGCTGTTGTTTTTAAAATTCAACAAAAATGGTCGGGTGTATTATTTTTGTTTTGAAACAAAATCAAACTTAAAAAATAAAACAATTTCTGTGTTTGATGTTTAGTTGTTGATTCTTTTTTTTCTCATTTTAATGATCAAGGTTAACAAAAAAAAAAAAAGATCATCATCACTTAGCCATTTCAACATTGATCCAACAACGATGTTACCATCATCATGTTAATTTTATTCATAAGCCAGATTCTTTTAAACCTAAACATTTGTGTGTGCATATGCAGACTTTATGCAGACATTCAAAATACGATTCGATAAGCAGAATAAAAAAGCCTTGAAGCAATCGAATGCGAATAAAAAATTATCATCCTAAATGATGATGATGGATCGTTTTATGATTGATTAATGCAATTCAATTTATCATTTGTCTGTGTGCTGTGTGTATTGGATAAGAAAAAAAAATTTGTGAAAGCAAAAATAAAAAACACTTAAATTTTTTTTAACGAAAATAAAAAAAATAAATTTACATTTTGATCAAAAAGGAAAAGAAAACATTCATTTCGATTCAGGTTTTCTACTACTGTTGTTCATAGATATAAAAAACGTACATACACATTTTTAATTGCTAAATTTAAATTAATTAATTCATACTAATTACATGTTATTATCATTTTATAATCATCTTAGTTTCGTTTCTAATTTTTGTTTTCACAAAAATATGTGATGTGTATAATATTCCATCACTAACACTAATCGATTAGATTTTTATTTGATATCTTTTTTTTTCACTTGAACAACAAAAAAAAAACATTTGTCAAATATCAATCATAAGCAAAACAAGATAGGGGAAAAAAATTATTAAATGCAACCAACTGATCAGACCAGTATACATTACTTTCTCTTTCTTGTTTCAAAATTCATTCAATGCAATTCTATCTATAAGTTTGAACCATAAAATAAATATATTGATTTTGTGTGTAGGTGTTTTCGTAACAAATTGAAAATTCAAAAATGAAAGGAAAATCTCCACCTATCATCATTCTCATAGACTATCATTCTTTTTTTTCGATAACAAATAACCAAACATCATCGAATAGATGAATAATGATTATAAAACAACTACAATAAAATAAACAAACCAAAAAAAAACAATATGAATATGAAAGGAAAAAATTTTCATTTTATTCACGCCATTGCAACAAACACACAGGTAAACACATAGACAGGGAGAATAAGAGAGAGACAAGCAGTAAGAAAGAGTAACGAAGAAACTCAATATCATCGACATCATTGAATCAAAAAAAAAAAAAAAATTTCTTTTTGGATTCAATTTTTTGCAATAATCATATAAATATTGTGAAGGAATCGATTCGCAATATCCATTTCGTTTTTGTTTTTGCTGTTTTCTTCACTATTTTTTTTAACGTAACGAATTAATTCATTCAAACGATATTTTGATCTGTGACATCGGTGCATATTTATTGACGATTTTTTGATCAATCTTCATCCTTTTTTTCTGGTGAACCACATAGTATTGATTTTTTTTCAAAATAATGATGAAATTTATGATTATAATTTCAACAACAATGGCTGCAATGGTTATCGCTGCACCAAAACCACAGGTATTATATTCAAATACATTTGGCGGTGCACTTGGTCCATTATCTACTGGTCAATATCGACCAGTTGCTTATTATTCACAATTACCACCATTAGCTAAACCGATTGCCTATACAGCCGCACCAAAACCGATTCGTTATTCAGCACCATCCGCAGCATTAGTTGAACATGAAGAAAATTATCCACCACAACCATTTAGCTATTCATATGATACTGTTGATGAATATGGTACACAAATGACTAGACAAGAATCTGGTGATGGTGCCGGAACTGTACGTGGTTCATATTCATATCGTGATGCTAATGGTATGGCACGTATTGTTAATTATATTGCCGATCATAATGGTTTTCGTGCTGAAATTCAAACCAATGAACCAGGTACACAAACATCGAATCCAGCCGATGCGGTTATTATTTCATCGAATCCATCTGCTTATAAACAACAATAAATCAAATCAATTATTAAATTTATTGATATTATTGATATAAATTTTTTTCTGAAATTTCGAAAACAAACATTGGAAAAAAAATCTACCCAAAAAACTGCCATTAAAAATTCATATTTCTATTTGAATATTGATAATCGGAACAAATATTTTCATCTTTTTTGGTTGTTTATTTTATTTTTTTTTTCAATAAAAATCATTGAAATATCCACAAGATGGCCATACTTTTTCCCCAAAGAAAAAAATGTCGTCAATGATTAAAAATCAGATCAAAAATTTTTGAAACTTTGAAAATCTAATGGATTGAAAGTTAATGAAATTTGTTTCGTTTGAATATTCAAAAAAAAAATGACGTCCTTAATATAAAATCTGTCTGACCTTTTGCAATGGATGCAAATTCTTCTTTTTTATTAATGGATTTTGTTGTTATCAATTTCAATCAAAAACCCGACTCAACAAGGTGAACAAAAAAAAAATGTTAAAAGTTGAAGAAAAAAAAACAAAAAAAAAGCAAAATTTTTTACTTTTTAATCACAAAAATTAAAATATTTCGTTTTTGTTGTTGTTGTTTTCTGATCTGATAAAGTTATTGCGTCGATATGGATCATATCCAATAATTTTTGTTTTTGTTTTCGTAACTTTTTTTTTGTAAATTGGTGGTAAAATTATATAGGAAAAATGAAAAATTTCAATCACATCAATCGATTAGTTATTGATTTGTTGTTGTTGTTGTTGTTTTTTTCGTTTTTACTGTTGAGACAAATGAAAGCTTTTTTTTTGTTGGAATTAAATGTGTGTGTATTTGCATGTGTTATATCATTGTATGTTTTGGGATTTGTATTTATTTGAAACAAAGTATTTAAAAAAAATTAAACTAGAATTGTCTTTTTTTTTTTGGTATAGGATTTATTTTGGTGGTTGTGCTTGTGCTACATATGATGATCGATATTCAGCATCTGCTGGTGATGATGATGCTGTACCTGGTTCATTGGTTTCAACTTCAGCACGGAAACCTTTTTCATCGGATACATATTTAACAAGACGTGTATAACCTTCGGGTGTTGTAAATGAATATTGACCGGTAACAATACCATTTTCGCTAACTTCATTTCGTTGTAAATTCATGCCAAATTCATCAGTTTCATCGAATGAAAATGCATAGGGAGCAACTGGTGTGCCTGGTTCATAGTAATCATCTTCAACGGCTGGGGCTGGAGCAGAAAATCGTGCTGGTTGTGCGGCTGGTGCAGTGACTTGAATTCTTGCTGGCTGTGGAGCTGGTGCAGTGACTTGAATTCGGGCTGGTTGTGGAGCTGGTGCAGAAACTTGAATTCTTGCAGGTTGTGGAGCTGGTGCAGCGATTTGAATTCTTGCTGGTTGTGGAGCTGGCGCAGAGAATTGAATTTGTGCTGCTTGTGGAGCTGGTTGTGAAACAAATTGAATTGATTGTGGTTGTGGAGCGGAAACAAATTGAACAGCTTGTGGTTGTTGAGCGGCAACCAATTGAACAGCTTGTGGTTGTCGTATCAATTGTAAACCAGCACTAGCTGTTGGAACAGCACCACCGGCAATCACAAATTGTGGTTGAGCAGCTGATAAACCAACCTGAGCACCACCACCAAAACTGATTGGAATTAAACGAACAGTTGATGGACCTTGTGGAAGAAATTGACCATAAGCAATATTGGCAACAGTTACCAAAACAAAAACAACCTAACAATTCGATTGATAGATTTCAAATATAATTTTTAATTAGCTCGGGATAATAATAATAATAATCAATAATAAAAATGTATAGTGAAATCGAACCTTAGTGAACATCATTTTTTTTTCTTTTCTTAGTGAGCACAAATATCAGAGATACACAAAAGAAAATAACAGAAAAAAAAACAAACAAACACAAACACGAAATGAAGATGAACAATCAATCAATAACTAAAATTAGATTGTGATTTAAAAGAAATCTGATTTATATAGTGGCCGATCAATTACAACATTTACATCGTTGATCCAGAAATTTTTCGAAAAAAAAGAGTTTCATAAATATGGGATGCTTGTTCAGTTTTTTCATTGATTCATTATTCAAAAAAAAAAATGTCTTAATCGTTATAATATTGTACCTGTAAAATGTATCATCTTTGTTTTTCTCTGATGTTCATCATCATCGTTATTTTTCACAGAGATTTTTGTTAGAAAAAAAAATTCCTTGAACGTCATTATCGTCATACAGAAAACTATACACACACATGATTTCCATTAAAAATTTAGAAACAAAAATCGATTGAAGATCCATAATGGATGGTCATCATCTTTATCATCAAAAGTGTATCCAATGTGTGCCTCCTACATTGGATTTTTCATTTTTCAATCCTCTCTTCAAAACGAAAAAAATTGTCGTCATCAAATACGATGATGACAATTTTTTTTTGTTCGTCGTTGTTTTGTTTCTCATCTGATTGAGATGTTAATTAAAAATTTTAATTTCAATCTGATAAAATACTGTATGAATTATGCTATAAAGAGAATATGGAATTTTCAGTTAAAAAATGAAATTTTTCAAAAACAAATTATTCAGTTAAAAACAAGGGGAAAAAAATTGTTGGGTTTTTTCTGCTTTATTGTCAAGGTTATTGCCAATACACTGTTATCCTTTTTTTCAAAAAAAAAAGACTTAGTTTTTTAAAAAAATCTGTAATTTAAATTTTTTTTTTTTAAATTCAATGATAGAACAATTTCAGTGCGTCAATTGGATTGACGCCTACATTGTTTTTTTTCAAGTTTCAAAAACTAAATCCAAAAAATTTGTTCTTGAATTTTATTGCTTTTTTTCTGGATCAAACAAAAAAATTGAAGGCAAAAGTTGGAAAACAAATAAACGATTTTTCATTATGGAATTGAAAAAAAAATTCCAAGAATTGTCAACAACAAACAACTAAAAATATCATCACAAGACATCCTTTATCTTTCCTGTTATCAAAATGCAGCTAATTTTTTAAACATAAGAATTTTTAAACCATATTGAAAACCATATTTAAGGATTCATGAATTTTTTTAAAAAATTATAAACACATCGACTAACTGTCGGATGTTTTGAAGTCAGAAGAAGAAAAAATACCTGTATGTTGATCTTTCCTTCATTTCCACTGTCAAACAAAATTTCTGAATTTTCTGAATAAAAATTTTGTTTGAAGTAAATACATTGAATGAATCGATGTTATTGATAAATTCATCCTATAGCTATCTTTGATCTTGCATTAACAATTATCGTCAACAATTTTTTTTTTCGTTATCATCATCAACATCATCTTCATCGTCGTCATTATCATCGTTGTTGAAGACGACATTATTTATTAAAATTAATTTTTTTTCTTCTTTCAATAAAGAAGTTAGAGGGGAAAAAATCCGATCAAATCAAATTCAATAATCATTAATCTTTGTAAGCAAAGTCAACTTTTTGTTATTGCAACAAAAAAATTCACAAATATTTAATATAGTATTTGGTGGATGGATTTATTTTATTTTGGATTAGAATTGTCATTGCACATCTTTAATCAACAATTTCGAAACGAAGTTGCAAAAAAAAATGAATGTAAAATCAAATTCACATCGATAATGGATCATTGAATTTTTTTTCTTCTTCTTTTTGATTTAAAACAGTTAATTTGATTAACATCAGCGACAACAACAACAACAAAAATTCTCATCAAATCGGTCAATTTATTTAGTTAATAATCAGAAAATTTGTTTCGCTTCTGTTGATGTGATTGGGAGAAAAAAGAAAATAAGAAGAAAAAAAATAACAAATATTTGCTGAAGGATAATAGTTTTGGAAAAGAAGATGATGAAATTGAAATTGAAAGAAAAAAACTGATTTTCAATTATCTTCAAATCAATTATTGATCATTCTTGAATGATAAATTCGATTTGAAGGAAGATTCTTTCAAAAAAGAATGCTACAGTTTAATTATAATTCCAATTAGAAAGAAAAAAGAAAAGGATCAATATTGATTCGGATTTTTTTTTTTGGATACTTTTCAGAAAAATATCCGTATCAATAAGAGATGAATTATTTACGAATGTAGAGTTGTCACTTTCAATATACATTGCCTAGACATTGATTTATTTGATATTTCTTTGGAATAAATTTTTCACTCCGTGTGTTATTATTAATGAAGACAGCTGAAAAAAATTTGTTTTTTTTACTTCACACTATGTGTTTTACCTTCTGGAATTATTGATAACAGAAACGATGGTGGCCATTTTTTGATTATATTTTTTTTTGTGTACAGCATTCTTGATGATAAATGTTAACCTTGAACAATTTTCGGCAACGACAAAAAAAAAGTTTGGATCGATGACGATGATGATGATCTTCATCCACATTGATTGTCAGCTTCAATTATGATCTTGTTTAATCCATTTATTTAAAAAAAAAATAAAGTAAAGATGATAATAATTTTAAATAGTATATTTGGTGTATAAGTTAAAATTTGTATTTTAATTAGAATTCAGTTTGATTTTTTATTTTCTAATCTGGAAAATCATTCGATTTAGATTCTAAACTTGAAATAAAATTTAAATTTTCTCGCAATAAAACAAAAATCTTTTAGTTTTTTTTCACTAATCATAAGGATTGAATTTTATTTTTTATTTTATTTTATTTTATTTTTTGATATTAATCAAATTCCAAAGTTAAAATTAAGGTTGATTTATTCTAACCATCCAGGGTGTTTTAGGAACGACGTACACACACATGGATAATGGCAATTTGATCTGTTTAAGACTTAAACTTTAAGTAGTTCACAACCATCATCATCATCAGACAAAATCCAAGAGATTCAACAACAAATCTTGTGACAATATTGAAAATGAGAAATGATGATAATTTGTAATTCAAAATAGAGAAATATCAAATTGATTATCATTTGTTCATATTCAAATACAAAAAAAAAGTTCATTTATTTGGAATTATTTTGCTTTGTATTCAAATTAATCCGGAATCAAAAAAAAAAGTTCAACTATAATGGGGATTATAATTGTGTTTTGAAAATGTCACCATCATATTTGTTTTTGACTTAACATATGTAAATTGGAATCATTTTCTCTGTAAAATCATCCTACATATAAATAACAGTTTACAACAAAGATGTTCTTACTATTTGGAAAAAGAATCCAATAAAGAATTTGATTCCTTATTTGGAATATTTATTTGTGTTTATAAACATATAAAATCCTACGATATTAATAAATCAGATTAATTTCAGATTGTGAAACAAAATATTCATCAAGGATTCACCATCTTTAAAATTATCATGTTTTTTTTCGAGTACGAAAATGTCAACAGCCGAATTAAATATTGCTCAAAGCTTAAAACAAGAAAAAAAAATCAATTTTGCTATCTTCTTCCCAGAAACAAATAGAAAAAATTTCAAAACAAAAAAAAAGCGAGTAAGGTTACATTTTTGTTTTCTGTTCTTTTGTCCTTAAGAGGATTCAAATTATGCAGATTATGATTACAAACGTTTGTTGTTGTAGTTTTTTTTTGATTTTCGATGATTTTTTTCAATTTTTTGTTTATTGACCGTTATTGAATCGAAGACCTAATTGTAATCACAAACAAGCAAGCGCGTAAACACACAAACAAAGTGTGAAGTATGGCAATAAAAAAATTTGTGATTGTTTGGTCATTTTCCAAACATACTTGGATAATGTTCTTATCGCAAAATACTATTTAGCTAGGACTACTTTTAGTGTTATCGCGATCGTTATCAAACATTTGGATTACGTTGGATATTATTTTTTGGGTATAAATATTGGGTACGAATACCTGATTGATCATCAGACACTTGTTGACATTCGATCATCAAACAACATTGAATTTCATTTTCAACAACAACAAAATATTTCAAAATATCAATATGAATTCAATGATGATTATAACATATTTGACTATTTGTGTATTGATCGTTTTGGTTGGTCATAGTCAACAAAGACCATATGATGGCCAGAATAATGGATATGGTATCAACGGATATGGTAGTAATGGTGGATATAACAATCCTGGATATGATAATTATGGTTATGGTAATCATCAACATGATCAACATGGCGGAAACGGTATGATGAGAGGACAAAATCCAAATGATCAACAACAATTTAATGGCCGCAATAATAATGATGGTGGTAGTTCTAATGGAATGTTGAAAATTTTGGGCAATTCAATGAGAATGATGGGCATTGAAGATGAATCGAAAACAACCATTTTGAATCGTGAACGACGTAATTCTAAACAATATTCAGGACCAGCATTTTTTCCAATGATGCCACAACAAAATCAAAATGATGATGATTGGCTAACAATGCTTTTGGTTTATTTGATCAAACAATTTGGTTTTGCAAAATAATTATCATTTATTAATTCATTTATTGATTTACAGAATTTTTTCTTTCAAATTCAGTATTTTTATATCAGCTTACTTTTTTCTCATTCTTTTTACAAAATAATTGTGATCATTTTTTTTCTTATCTTATAATCAATATTAATATGTATTTTAGTGAATTGCAAAAATAAATTCGTGAATTTTCCAGAAAATCCGATAATATTTATCAATGATTTTTTTCAACTATACTGAGTGTGAAAAAATATTGCTTGAAGCTTGCATTTTGTTTTTCATTCGACTTTTGATCCCTCACAAAAAAATTCTTTATTTTTTTGTTGAAATATCACTTAACAATAGTCAAAAGTCATAGTTTTGTTTCTTCCCTGTCCCCAAGCAAATGAAAATCTTGCAATTTTGAATTATATTTTTGTCATTTACACTTTTTGAATGAAAGATCTTATCTTTGACACAGACACACACAAACACACAGTATGAGGTATGATAATAATAATAAAATATTTTTTTTATGGATCAAAATAATCGTTGAAATGTACAAAGTTTAAATGTCAAGTGTCATTGAATAATGTAAGCACAATAATATTAGCTAGGGCCAGAAGCTTGTTATAGACAAACATTTTCATTCATACATTCTTTTCTTTTTTCGGGTATAAATATTCAACTCAAATGCCTGATTGATCATTATACATTTGATCATTGAACAGCAAACAATTTCATGTAAAACTTCAGCTAAACTTCGTTTGATTCATCATAAAAATATGAATTCAATAACAATTACATCGTTGATTGCCATTTTGGCGTTGATTGTTTTGGTTAATCAAAGTGAACAGAGACCATTTGATGAAAAATTAATCAACGATGGATTTGGTAATGATGGTCATAGTGGAAATGTCGATATTATGGAAAAATCAAACCTGGCTGATCGACAACAAACTGATGACAACAAAAATGTTAACACTGATGGAATCTCTGATGAAAATTCTGCGGATTCATTGGTAACATCCGAACAAAACATCGAAAAAGAATCAAAAATACCGATGGCCACTTTAAATCGTGTACAACGTCATTCTCATCATCATCATCCGGCGCCAGCAATTATTCCATTTCCAATTATGCCACCACCACAACAAAGTCAAAGTAATGATTGGCTAAAAATGCTTTTGCTATTTATGCTTTTACCACACAGAGCATAGAATTTTTTGAATCCGATTATCATTCGATTATTATGATGCGAAATTTTCTTTATTTTTTTCCCATCTCATTATTTATAACCCTTTATCTTACATACTTTACCTACTATAAACTGTCATTTATCGTTTCCTAAAAGAAATGCATGTTTTCATTATCATTTTATAATTTGATGCTCAAATAAATTTGCTCATTATTCATCCAAATGATTATTGTTCAAATTATTCGCATTTGTATTTACATTTGAACTTGTATGATAGAAAAATCATCATGGTTCAGATTTTGTTTCACACACTGCATTGGTATAAATTCTCAAATCAATCGATATTGCCAAATTCATTTTATTAGTTGATTTCAATCAGTTCATCATCGATCCTATATCCACCTTAGAAAAAATATTTTCTTTTTCCAGAATGAATTCCACAACAACGATTGTATTGTGTGTTACAATCATTTTTGTATTGATTGCTTTTTTTGTCGATCACAGTGTACAATATCCATATTATAATGGTGCTGGTAGATATGTCAACAACAACAATGGTTATTATGGTAATCAAGTCGGTATGATGGGATATGGTGGTAGTAATATTGGTGCAGGCCATTATGGTCAAGGTCGTATGATGGGCTATGGTCAACAACAATCAATTGGCAGAGGTAATTACGGTATGTTTGGCAATGGAATGACCATGATGGGTATCGAACAAGAACCAAACATTCATATCTTAAATCCTTGAACAACGAAATATACCAGCTGATATTGAAAAACATCAACCCTGCTTTCTTGACTAATCTCTTCCTGATATATAATCAATCGATCTCTTTTTAATTGTACTATACATAAAAATGACAATTTTTTGTTTATTTTTTCCTTTTTGGTTTTGAAAATTTGAAATAAAACTTGTATTCATTTTATTATATTATTGCATGTTTTTTGTCGTTCGCTATGGATTTCAATTTTTCAATCATTTGAGGTCCGGATAGTTGAATTAAATTGTAAAATATTCCCTGTTCATTTTGAATAAGATTCAAAGGTGTATCAAATTGTTCAACACGACCAGCATCCATCACTATTATTCGATCTGAATCGATAATTGTATTCAATCGATGTGCTATTGTTATAACAGTACAATCGCTGAAATTATTACGAATAGTTTGTTGTATTAAAGAATCAGTATGATTATCAACATTGGCTGTAGCTTCATCCAATATGAGAATTTTATTTCGTCGTAATAATGCACGTGCCAAACAGATTAGTTGACGTTGACCAACGCTCAGGTTATCACCTCCTTCCGATAATTGATATTCAAGTTTTTCGTACATTTCATTAACAACTTTTTTTATCTGAACTTTTTCCAATGCATTCCATATTTCTTCATCACTATGTACGTCGAATGGATCAAGATTTTTTCTTAAAGATCCTATAAATGCAACAGGTTCCTGTGGAATAATTGATATTTTTGATCGTAATTCATGTAATCCAATATCACGACAATTAACACTATCGATTATGATTTTACCATTGATTTCAACCATTCGAAACAATGCTGTTATTATCGAACTTTTTCCAGCACCAGTTCGACCAACAATACCAATCTTTTCACCACCATGAATTTCGAAACAAACATCTTTTAGTACTGGTTTTGCTGAATGATTATAATAAAGATAAACGTGATCGAAAATAATTCGACCATTTTCAGGCCATATTGATGGAAATTTATAATTCGATTTTAATGGTGCTTCGGATTCTAAATCTGTATATTCCAGAATTCTTTCAACCGAAATCATTCGTTTTTCAGCCTCTATAGTTGCTCTAATTCCTGGTTGAGTTTTACCGATTAATCCAAGTATTGTTGATAATATTAGGCCTGCAGTTCCACTTTGTATGTCTAATTGATTATTATTATTATAAAGGATAAGTAAATTTTCATCTTTTTTCTTACCTTTATAGGATATCATTATAAAAATGCTAATAATGATCATATAAATCATACAAATCAAATCCAAACAAATGCCAGTAAATTTCATCGAAGCAAAACAAGTAAAATAAATAGCTGTATGATCATTTTGATAGCGATAAAATTGATGGATAAATTCATCGTTTACATTGAATGAACGAATTGTTGGCAAACCATTCAATGTCATTGTCATATGATTGAATAATGGATTTCGAGCAATATTTTCAAAACGATTTAAATCTTGTGCTACCATTGTATATAAACGACGAATAATTAGAATGGATGCAATCATAATGAAAGCCGGAAACATAAGATACCAATGTGCAATGGATACGATAATTGTTACTCCCAATAATGATACTATGAACTAAAAAAAAATTGTCAAATATCATCTTTTTTTTTATACGAAACAAATTGAAACATACATTAAGTAAATCATTTACTGATTGTGGTAATTGTTCATCAATAATTCCAATATCTTTTGCAAAACGATTCATTATACGTCCGATAGGAACATTATCATAAAATGAAATCGGTACACGAATCAAACTGCAATATAATTTTTTATGTAAATGAATCGATGCATTGATGCACATAATAAATATGGTTATTGTTTGTATAATCATAGCGATTAAAATGCTGGTAACTAAAGTTGAATAAATCATTACATCATTAAAACGATGATCTTTTATATTCATTAAATCTATTTGTGAATTATTTCCCATTATCAAGTGTTCATTACGATTCGTCCATTGTGAAAGCCAAATATCCGTATAATAATATAAAGATGATGTAGAAATAATTGCAACGATCATTAATGGAAATCGAAACGGTCCAACACCGGCCCGAATATATTTCCAATATATTTCTCTTTTGATTGATCCTTTACTTGTTTTAGTTTCTTCTACAATTTTCGGTGTTGAACTTTTTTGTTGATTATCCGAATAAACATTACCGATGGTCATTGAATCATTTGTGGAAATTTCGGAAATATTTTCAACAATATTTTTCGGTTGTAAAAATGATTCAAGATTAATTGATTTTGATTTGATAATTTCATCATAATGATCAAATATTAATTGTCTTCCATTATCTAATACAAGTATTTTTGATGCATTCTTTATGAATTGTGATTGATGTGTAACCAAAATAATTGTCTTTGATTTTAAATAATTCATTATACATCTTTTCGAAAAAGAAAGAATTTCATTTTCTTTTAATCAATTTCTATTACTGATTAACAATAACATACCTTTCAAATATGTGATTGGCCACTTTAACATCTACAGCACTCAATGGATCATCCAACAGATAAATATCCGCTTCACTATACAATGCACGAGCTAATGTTAATCGAATTTTTTGTCCACCACTTAATGATACACCTCGTTCACCTACTAAACTTCGATCACCATGTGGTAACTGTTCAAGATCATATTGCATTCCGCATACATCGATAATAGTTTTATATTTGTTTTTATCATATTCTCTACCAAAAAGTATATTATCACGAATACTTCCATTCACTATCCATGGATCTTGAGCAACATAAGCAATACGGCCATTTAATTTGATCGAACCTTTTGTGATTGGAATTTCATTCATTAATGACATAAGAAACGTACTTTTGCCTGAACCAATCGAACCAATAACCATCACTAATTCACCGGGTTCGACATTCAATATTATATTATCAAGAGCTGGTTGTTTATTTTCTGCCATCCAAACCGCTGAAACATTTTCCATTTTTATAGCCATTTTATCCTCCTTTAATTCTGATGTTTCATTTTGATATGTGATCGTTTTTGGACTGAATTCTTCCAAGAGAAGAAAATCCTTGAAAAGGTAATCAAATAAATGAAACGAAGGAATATGAAACGCAATTCAACTTACCTGAATTCGATCACATGAAGCAAACATTTCAAATAATAATGTCAATGCTATGGGCAATCCTCTTGATGATACACAGCTAGTTGTTTCAATCACATTCATTATGACAAATACTTGATCAGCATTCAATAGATTTCCATCATAAATTACATAGGCAGATAACATTGCAAATAGAATTATATGACTAGATATGAATGCTATTACTGAATTGATAGCTTTCAATATTATACCCAATTTTATTTGAATTATTTCTTGATTTCTTGCATGATCAACAAGACGGCTAAAATGTTCTTCCCATGCATACATTTTGATTACACGAATTCCTTTTAATATATCCGAAATGATTCTTAATCGTGTATCGGAAGTTTTTGCAATTTTTTTCCGTAATAATTGAAAAATACGTCCAGTTATCATATTCAACGGAATGACTAACAATAATAAAAATAATCCAATAAAACAATATGAACCAATATAAATATAACAGATGTACATTCGTACGATAAACATTAAAGGAGAAACGATTATGTAGCTTGAATAATTACAAAACTAAAATGGATAGATTTTAAACGAATAATTATCTAATTAAACACAATTACATACCTGATCAATACGTGTAACATCATTTGAAATTAGATTCAATATTTGACCAATAGTTGTTTGACGAAATGCCTGTTGATGTAGGCGAATAGCTTTACGATAAATCATTGTACACCATGCAACACGAATTTTAATTGCACATCTGATTGCTAAATATCTATCTGGATGTCTTAATAGAATACAAAAAAATGGTATACACACCATAGCCAATAGATAAAGGCAAGCTGATTGAAATTCCTCATCATTTGGATGTGAAAAAAATCGAATCACACGTGATAATAGTAAGGGTTGAATTGATCTAAGGAAACATTCTCTTATAATTGTTATTAGAATACTGCCAATAAGATGCCATGGAAATGATCGAAGTGTTGCACGAATAAAATTTGGTTTTGGACGTTTCAATTCTAATTGCCAATAATGTTCAAGAATATTGGATAATTGTCCCGAATCATCGGATTGTGAACATTTTGGTAGATCGGATAGTTGAATTTCATTATGAATACCTTTTATGAACAATGGTAATACCCAACTTTTTTTCAACAAGAAAAAATTTATCATTAAAAAACTGATAATTAAATGAAATAATTTTAAATTTAAAAAATTCTTACAGGTTATAAATACGGACAAATAAATTACAATTTTCAAATGGTGATTTTTTTGTCATAATCATCGATTGATTTATTGTTGCTTGATTTTTTTCTTCGTTTGAAGATTTTAGATTCATTTTAAATTTATGTTACGTTTTAAATGATGATAGTTTCGTCGTTATGTGTTTCGTTTGTTGTATGCTCAGTAATGGCCGCTGTGGATCAAGCATAGATTATCCGATACCTGCTCGGAAAATTTTTGTTGGTCGGATTTTTTTTCCTCAAATGTAGATGGTTAAATGATAATTTAGCAAAGTAATACATTCATTTGGCTATAACATTAATCATAAAAACTGATTTTTCACATTCCAGCGATGTTTTTTTTGTTGTTGATCATCAAAATTTCAAAACAGTTTATATTTCGAAAAATATTTACCTGTTTATAAACGATTGTTACATTTTGGGGATTTTTTCCAAAGAGTTTTATACAAAAATTTTTCGTTTTTTTTATTATCATCTGATGTTATAAATATTTGAAGAATTATCTCATTGAACCACAATTTGTTTATGTTATTTAGATATTCAAAACAATCAATAAACTATTATTCATCATTAACCGGTTTTTATAAAAAAAAATAATTATTATATTGTTGTGATGAGGCGCTACAATATTAAGGTTTTTTTTTATTGGATTTCCGATTTTATTTTCGGGAAATCGAGATCAGGGATCTTATATACTTAGATTACCTTGTCATATTCAATGTAAGTTGTCCTAACAAAAAAGAATAAATAAATAAATAAAATAACAAAAGGGAAAAAAAGGCCGAATGTATTTTATGATTTTATTGCCATGAAAACAATTGATCAAACAATCCTAATGTATTTTTGAAAATCCAAATACAAAAAAAAAACAATTTCATTTTATCACCAAAAGATGGTAATACTATCGGAAGTCGATTGATGTTCATTTGTGATTTGTTTATCTTCTTCTGTTATATAGCGTATAGTTTTTTTTCAACTTGAACATATACAAATATTGCAATATATTCAATCGTTTTTTGTTTTTTGTTATATAATGATGTTATAGTTAAAATGAGTTTTGTCTTGATGATATTTATTTCAGCTTCAATTTATTGATCATCACACTTTTGAAACGTTGTGATGTATCGAACAAAGATCTCTAACATTTATTACTTATTATTATTGTTCCAAATCATAGAACTTTTTTTTTCGCTAGTTATTTCAAATCTTAAACTTTGAATCCATCACAATATTATTGATTGTCATATGATTATCAAATTAAATCAAATTGAATCATGATCATTCAGCTAATCACACAATAATTTCATATCATCAATTTCAATCATTCGATTTAATATCATTACAATCACATTTTTTTTCCTATTCCATTTGTTATCAATTTAGTTTTGTTATTAAGATAGGTAATTGAGGCATTTAAAAACCACAACACGATTTGTGCACAACAAGACAATTTTCCGAACAATATGTTATATTTTAATGATAAAGCCAAAGGAATTCTTTCTGTATTCGGTGGTTTTCTTATCCATCTAATTCTTGGAACTTTTTATACGTTGGGTAATGTCAACACATATTTGACATCATATCTTCGTGTACATGTTGATCCAACTGTTACTTATGCATCATCCATATGGATCAATGCAGCATTTCTATTGGGCCAAGGTTCATTGATGATGGTCGGTGGAATATTGGAAAATAAAATTGGTCCAAGATTCACTTGTTTGATTGGTTCATCAATATTCAGGTTAGTTGTTTGTTAGATGCTTTAAAGATCTTAACTAATCATGTTAATAGTGTTTCCGTTGGATTAACTTATTTCACAATCGATTGGGGTTTCATATGGGTTGTATTCACATATGGATTTCTATCTAGTTTGGGTGTTGGTATGGCATATGTTGCACCATTAGCTGCCGGTATGAAATGGTTTCCTAAACAAAAAGGCCTTGTGAATGGAATTATTGTTGCCGGATACGGACTTGGTGCATTAGTTTTTAACTATGTTCAAACTGCATACTTGAATCCATTGAATCTATCACCAAATCCAGATGGTTATTTTTATGCTGAATCAATTCTTTCACGTGTACCAAATTTATTCATCTTATTATTTGCAATATATATTACTGTCCAATTGATTGGATGTTGTTTGGTATTCACACCACCTCGACAACCAAATGAAATCATTTTTGAAGAAGGTCGATTTTTACTTATAAGTTCACCGGATGATGAATCAACATTTGAAGCACCATTAGCCGATAATAATAGTTCTGGTTTGAATCCAAATGGTGGATATAGTAGCTGTGAAGATCAGGATGGAAATACTATTATGAGACAACCATTACAACAAATGGATCTTACATATAAGCAAGCCATTCGAACTAGAGAATTTCTACTGGTATGTTATTTTTTTTTAATTCTATATGGTTGATTGATTGATTGTGTTTTCAGATGTGGTTAATGTTTGCACTGAGTACACAAGCCGTACAATTTGTCAATACAATGTACAAAGCATTTGGTTCACAATTCATTCCGGATGATCATTTTCTTGCATTTGTCGGTTCAATTGCATCAATATTCAATGCTGGTGGTCGTTTATCATGGGGCCTATTTTATGATAAAACATCATTCCGTACATGTATCAATACATTATGTGGATTATTATCCATATTGATGTTTACATTCCAAGTTTCTAGTTATTATCAAAGTAAATTATTATTCTCCATATGGGTGATTTCTATATTCTTCACATTTTCTGGAATATTTGTGATCTTTCCCACCGCTACCGCACAAGTATTTGGACGTTCACATGCTGGTACTATCTATGGATTTTTATTCACAGCTCCGGTACGAATAATTTTTTTCCCATTTTTTTCAAATTGTTATTGATTATTGTTTTTTTTCAGGCATCCATATCCTTATGTGGCGCATTTTTGATTTCAATCATATTGAAAAATTTCGGTTGGTTTGGATCATTTGCCATGATTTCAATATTTTCTTCATTGGTGCTGGTATTGTTGATATATTTTCCTCGAGATATCACACATCTTAGAAATCGTGTTAATTTTACTTGAAAACCAAAAATAATCATGATGAATTTTAATAAGCATTTCGAAGCATAATATCATCGATTGAATCCTTTCAAACTAGTCAAATCATGGATTAAATTCAAAAATGAAATATGACCTTTAATGTGATTGAAAATTGCATTTTGTTTTTCCCCTGTTTTTTTTATTGTCATTTGTTTTTGAAAATTGTGTGAAATATTAATATGTATCCAAAAAACAAAAATGTTTGGATTTTAAATAATTCATTATATAAATGATATGATTAAAAGAATCATCATATGATTGATTTTATGGTACGCACATATACCAAAACTAGGCTTTAAAAAATCTTTGATTAGATTTTCCTAAACATTGATAACAACATTGGTTTTGTTATGTATGTTTAATTTTCAATCGATTATTTGGATAAAAAATATGTTTATTTTGCGTTTCATGGCATACAACAAAATGGGACCATCATCATCATCATCATCATCTATGCGGATATGTTTTATACAATTATTATTTGGTTGTTTAATGATTTTAGCAACAAAATTACCGGTAGTAACACAAGATGATAATAATAATAATTTATTATTGGTTCAATTTGTTTTTCGACATGGTGATCGTAGTCCAATAAGATTATATCATAATGATCCATATAAACGTAATGATTTTAAAGAAGGACTTGGTGAATTAACTAATCGTGGTAAACAACGTATGTTTCAATTGGGTAAAAACCTTCGCAACCAATATCAAATGTATTTGGATTCGATGCCAATAAGAAATGTTCATGCAAGAAGTTCATCAAGAAAAAGATGTCAAGAAAGTTGTGCACTACTTTTGGCTGGTATGTTTCCTCCACGAAATGATCAAGAAATTTGGACTAATGATGATAATATTGGAAAAATATGGCAGCCAATAGTAATAAATACCGTTGAATCGAAACGTGATTGGCTTCTATTTCCCGAAGCAGAATGTTATGAAGCTAGACAAGAAGAAACCAAAATCGATGAATCTCCCAGGATAAAGCAATTCTTGACCGAAAATCAACAATTTATTCAAAAACTTGAGCAATATACCGGCACGAATTTCTCACACTGGCTTGAAATCGGATATCTTTATGATACGTTAACTGTGGAACAAGAATATTTTGGTTCAAAATATATCAAACCTAATTGGATTGATCAAATGGGCAATGATACAATTGAAAAGCTAAAAGAATTTCATGATCTAGAATTCTCTGTATATGGTCAATCGAAATCATATCTTAAATTACGAATCGGATCTTTAATCAAAGAATTAATCGAAAATATAAACAAAACTTTAAATTCTAAAAATTCTGACCACTGGAATAAACATATCTATCTTTATAGTACTCATGATACATTGTTGGGATATCTATTATCGGCTATCGAATCGAATATTGGTCAACCAACATATGCAAGTGGCTTGGCATTTGAATTGATAACAAATGACCAGAATCAACCATTCATCCGTATGTACTACCTAAATGGAACGGATAATTTTTCCAAAAATTTGCTTGGAAATAATTCAAATTCGAATAGATATTATTCTAAATGTGATCAAAATTGTTTATATAATGATTTTATTCAAATGTTTTCGGAATTAATTCCAAAAAATATTGAACAAGAATGTTCAATTGATTCAAAAATTCTAAATAAAAATTGTGAAATTTGAATTTTTATTTTGGACACGTCTTTTATGAACGTCTTACTTGGCCATGGATCGAGTTATTTTTTCGAGGACCGCTTCATTTTGTGTTTTTTTCGTTTAATTAATTTGGAATTTTTTTTTATCTTAATCTTTTTTCTCATCGAAAAATGGCCAACGAATTATTGACAACGATTCCACAAGATCTACGCCATCTTCGAGCGTGTCTGCTTTGTTCGCTCATCAAGGTAATCATGAAATCAATGATGAAAATGATTTAATTCAATATATTTAAAATTTGACCATGATTTTTAATTAGTCATTCGAACAATTTGAATTTCATGGCTGTGATAATTGCGAAGATTATTTAGGAATGAAAAATAATCGAGAAATGGTCTATGATTGTACATCAAATAATTTTGACGGTTTAATTGCGTTGACAAATCCCGAAGATTCATGGGTGGCTAAATGGCAAAAAATTGGTAAATATTTTCTTTTGTCATTCGTATCTTTATTTCTATTAACCTAATCACATTTCTATAATTAGGTCGAAAATGTGTCGGCATCTATGCGATTAGCGTATCTGGACGTTTACCAGCGGGTATTGTTCGTGAATTAAAAAATCGTGGTGTTATTTATCGTTCACGTGATCGTTCATCGAATGTTTAATTTTATTATGAAAGTATTTTTTGATTTTTGGAAAAAATCATACAGATTAAGAATTTCATGTGTAGATAATTGAAAATTATCATTATTTCTGTATATTTTTATTTTTATTTTTTCATTCATTCATTTTTATTTTTGAATAAAGTATTAAAAAAATTCAATAATTTTATTGATAAACTTTTTCTTTAAAAATACCTTCGCTAACAAATTTATCAATAGGATTACGATCTGTAATTTTTTCATTACTAATTAATCGTACACGATTACCAACGGCAATCATTGCTTCGATTTTATAATCATCCGATTTTAAACCGATTGCACGTGCAATTTTTTCTTTATCATAACCGGACATTGGATGTACGACAAGACCACGAGCAGTACCTTCTAATGCCATTAACATCCATGAAGCACCAGTATCGAATGTATGAGTTTCCACTAATTTTTTCTCTCCTTTATGTATTTGATATTTATTGGATAAAACAACAATCAATGCCGAAGCATGACGAGCCCATTTTTGATTAGCCGGTACTAAAGCATTAACAAATTTGTCCCAATACGGACTATCACGCATTGCATAAACATAACGCCAACTTTGTACATTATAATATGATGGTGCCCAACGTGATGCTTCAAACAATGACATTAATGTTGATTTTGATATAGGTAATCCATTCATTTCACGTAATGATCGACGTGCCAAAATCATTGGATGTATTGGATATTGAACCTGTCGTCCTTTCATTGCTGTTACATCATAATGATAAACACCAAATCGTCCATCCCTTAAAAATGGACTGGCAGCAATACCTATTCAACAATAAACAAAAAAAAAATCATTTGACATTTTCAACAATATGATGATGATGATGATGAAAAACTAAACCTTGTGAATCGACTTGTATGAATGAAAAAATTGTCAAAAAAATTATAAATTTGATAATTGAATAAAACATTTTGTATGATGATGATGATGATGCTTTTAGGAATACAAAACGTTTAATGATATCGTTTGATATAAAATTTTTTTATTTTATATTTAACAAATGAAAAACAATGAATCGTTGAATGTTCAATTAAGTAATAATATAAAAAAACCAATTTGTAATAGATGAAAAAATACGTATAATTAATTATTACAATGATTAATTATTATTGGGTTGAGAATTTCAATTTGTCGGGAAATTTCACACATTATGATTTATACATCAAAATTTCCATGCCTCACACTCAAACACAGAATAGGAATAACGATTATTTATTTCAAATCTTGAAGCCATTACAATCAAAAAAAAATTAATGACCAATTTGTAAATTCCCACCTCTTTTTTTCAGGTATAAAAAAAGTGAACAAAAACAAATCACTTTCTTTCCGATTAATGGCTTCAAATAATCACCTCCCTTTAATTTTATGTTTCTGTTCATCATCATCATTATCATCAGGTCATAATTTCATTTCAAAGATATTGAAAAAAGGGAAAAGAATTTCCTCCCTTTCCCATAACAGAAAACATTATTGCTAACAAATTAATAAAAAAAACATTTAAAAAAAATTTGTGTTAAAAATGAAAATAAATTTTTAAATGATCCAATGAAATGATTTTTTTTTTGTTCATTTATTAAATACGGCATTGATGATGGCAATGGATTTCTTTGCACATTGATATGATAATGACATTCGAAGTGAGGGAGAGAGAGAGAGAAATTATAATTGTTTGAAAATTTTTGAATGAATCCAATTGAATACTCATAATCAAATGGCTACAAACAAACAAGCAAACATATCCATTATCCTTGAATGTTTTTTTCTCTCATTTATATTCAATAGAATTTTGTATATTTTAGCTTTAAATAATGATGATTATGATGATGATGATGACAATGAAATGATATCTGTGTGTTAATGATTTTTTAACCTGTTTCTTTCTTTATTCAAAAAGTAACCTTTTTTCTCATTATTATTATTATTATGTTACTTAGTATTAAAACACGTGTGGATGGTATCATCATTTATCATTATGATTAATTTAATTGTTTGGCGAAAAAAATGCTAAATTTATTTAAATTTTACACGCGATTCATTGGAGAAAAATGGCTTCTTTTTTTCGGAAAAAAACCCTTTACTTATGAGGAAAAATTCATAAGAATCATTAGAAACAAATCGATGATTCATTCATTGGTTTGGGGAGATTTTTTTTTCCTTTTTGATTGTCAATTCAAAATACAACAATTCCTAATACACACAATTTGTTTGATAAGAATTTTTCATTCGAATATGTATAACCAAACAACAGCTACAACAACAATAATAATGATAATAATTTTTGTGTCAGGCCATTTGTACGTACAATGACGAAATCAATATTAATGATAATAGTAGTGAAGACAGGATATAATAAACAGGAGGAAAAAATGATTTTTTTTACATGTTTATCAATTCATTTTGGATGTCGAATATTTAATGAATAATTTGTTTTGATTGTGACATGGATATGGGTCCAACAAATTATTAGATGTTTATATTAATGAGAAAAAAAGTGGTTTTTTTCTACATCTTCTGGGTACGAAATACAAAAAAAGAAATAATTTGTTATCGACGCATTTTTTTTTCTTCTGAACAAAATGATTGATTGATTATTTATAACGAATCATTGGACGCGTAAAAGATAAAGATAAAGATAAATTAAAGTGCTTGTTTTCGAGACGATAAAATTTGCTTTAAAAAATCCGATTGTAAACATTCACAGTTGTTAATTTGGTTTGAGCTGAAAATATTTTTCTTCATAATAATAATAATAATAATTTGCATCGATTATATTCATCATCATGATTGAAATATTTATACGTCGCCTACCTGTGACATTAGGCATAATGATTATATCATTTGCATTCGTATTGTATGTGATTTTTGTTTTGTTTTCGTTCTAAAATTGTTTCTAATAAAATTTATTATTTTTTTAAATTAGATGGATGATTGCCATTTCATTGAATCAAGTTCATCCATTTTTTCCATTCATAAGTGATCTTGGCATTACACAACCCGGTTCATCAATGTTTACATTTTGTCTTGGTTTTGCTTCACTTTTACTTCTTATATTTGTCATCTGTAGATATCGTTTAACACGTTATCATTTAAAAAATTATAATGCTGAAATAAGTTGGGCAAATTATTCACTTGCTACCGGTTTAATTATGGTTGTTGCTATGTGTACAACCGGATCGATACCAAATGATGAACCAAAATATATACAAATTCTACATAATATATTCGCTGCTTTATTATTCACTGCAGTACAATTTGATATTTTGATCGAATTATTTATTTCGCGTCATTTACCAAATCAAGCACGTGTATCGAAATTACGATTGGGAATTTTAATCATATCATTAACATTTGTTACTTTATTTTTAACAACAATGGTTATTTCATTTCAACATTTTCCACAATCATTTTTGGATAAATCTTTACGATTATGGTGGTCATCTGATGATCCTGGATATATATGGCATGTTATAAGTGCCATATTAGAATGGCTTGTTATCATTATGCTTGGTCCACATGTTATGAGTTATCGTTCATTATTTCAAACCGATATCAATTTAAATGAAAAAAGTAATTGTAAATGTTCATAAAAATGATTGTTATTAATAAAATTTGTTTAAATTATTTTTAAATAAATTTCAATCATTTAATTCATCTTTTCTATGCATAAAAACCCCAGAAAAATGCACCAATTATTATAACAATGATGGCAACTATATTGGTTAATTGAACAAAACGATTATCATCTTTAGCAGCTGCAGCATGTAATTCGGCATCCGTTTTCCGTTGTTGTTGATCATTGACAACAATAGTATTATCATCCTGACGAATTTCTTCACTATGACGTGTGATATAAGTCAATCGAAATAACTGAATTATATTATATTTTTGTTAAAGTTAATATAAAAAAAAAACATTATATTCTATGCTGAATTTTTCAATGAAATTTACTTACACGTTTAGAATCAATTTTTTCTGTAGCCAAACTAATAATAATAGCCAATAACATTGAAACGGTGAACGAAATGATACCAAAATGAAGGTAATGTACTTTAGTGATAATGGATGGCCGTCTATCAACAATATCTATTGTTCCACATGTTGGCACTGAATAACTATATTCCAATATAAAACGTGTCAAGCCGATTAATAGGCCAACAATTAATGACCAAAATGCACCGGATTCAGTGATACGTGGCCAAAATAAGGCCAAAACATATATAGCACATAATGGTGGTGATAGATATGATGTAACACTTTGTATATATGGAAATAATTGACTATTATGTGATTGTTCTAATATTGGTACCCAGATTACACTGATGATCACTAATATGGCAACAAAACAACGTCCAACAATAATCTGTTCAGTTTCATTTGCTTTTTTACGGAATCGTAGATAAATATCAATGATAAAAATTGTTGATGCACTATTAAATATAGATGTTAATGAGCTCATTAATGCTGCCACAATTACGCTGAACATTAATCCGGTGGCACCTGTTTAATATCATAAACATTTCAAATAAAAAAAAAAATAGTATATCATATCATACATTATCTCACCTTTTGGTAATAGCATTATGACTAGATATGGATAGGCAAAATTTGTACATCCAGATTGACTTTCACAAATTTTTTGACAATAATCCGGATTGGAACAACCAATTTGATCTGGAATATAAAATAATGTTTTGTTTTTTTTTTTGTTTAATCAAAATCGCGAATCATGCACTCACTTGGCCATAAAACACGTGCTGCCATTCCAGGTAATACTAATAAAAACATTGGTGTAATCTTCAACAATGATGCCAAAATACAACCAGCTTTAACATGAGTTAGATTACGTGCAGCTAATGCACGTTGTACAATAACTTGATCGGAACAAAAATACCATAAACTTGATATAAAAATGCTAATAATACCTGGCCATGGAATTTCTGGATCAGTAGCCGGTCGAAATAGATTACGATAATATGGTGTTATTGAACTACAAGTTAAACAGGAATTATTAGCTACCGAAGCATTACAAGCACCAATAAATGATTGACTTTCCAATCGATCAGGTAAACCATCGATGGCAAAATTTTTCATTAATTTTTCATAACCACCAACAGCTTGAACACTTGTCACGGATAAATATATTGCACCGATAAGCATTAATGCTGTCTGTATAGCATCCGTCCATATGACTGCCGTTAATCCACCAATGATCGTAAACAATGCCGAAATAACAATCAAAATAATACAACCAATAAGAATATTATCAATTTTAAGTAATAAACGAATAAATATTGCACCAGCATATAAATTAGCTGATATTTTTGTAAAGATATACAGAATTAATGTTAACACTGAAAGATAAATACGAATTCTTTGACCACCAAAACGTTTTTGAAGATATTCAGGCATCGTGCTAATATTACTAGCCAAATAGACTGGCATAAAATACCAGCCAAGTATTAATATTGTATAGATTCCAACATATTCAAATGAGGCAATTCCTATTCCAGAACTAGCACCCGATCCGGCAAGACCAATAAAATGTTCGGAACCAATATTGCTGGAAAATATGGAAGCACCAACCTAGAAACAGTAAAAATTTTCAATTAATAAATTAATTGGAAACAAAAATTGTTCTTACCAAAAGCCAATGCATCTGTCTTCCGGCTAAAAAATATCCATCAACAGTCTTTTGATTGTTTGTTCTTGATGACTAAATCAAATTAAAAAATCATACAGTTGAAAAACGTGATATAAACAATTTTTTTGTGCATATTTCAAATGAAAAAATATAAAATATTTTATCAACAAACCCAAAAACCAACAGCCAAAATTAGAACAAAATAAATGCCAATAGCAAGATAATCAGTCCAACCAATCGAAACGGAAAGATCAAAATCCTTTTCATCATCATTAATATTTTGATTTGATTGATGACAAATGACAAATGTCATTGATAATATCAAACAAAATAACAATGAATAACGGAAGATAAATTTGAATGAAAATTTCATTGTTTGAAATAGGAAGAAACAACAAAAAAATTTGTAAAATATGGCGTTGCACTATTATTTTATTTTTTTTGTAACGATGGAAAAGACTAATGGGATTTTTATGACATTATTTCCATCGGAAATTTTTTAAAAAAGGATAATTTTCACGATCATCATGACTTCCATAATCGTTTTTTTTCTGATAAATTTATCATTTTTACAAATTTTTTATTACCTCTTTCCCTTATGTTGTTTTGGCATTTTCAATCTATTAAATTATCAATCTTATTCCAAGAAAACCTTTTTTATGAGACTATAGATAAAGTCATTATTTGGAAATGCAAAATTATTTCAATAAAGATTAATGAGGAATATTGGCAGATTTTTGGGTAGATCATTTTTTATCTTTTATTAATTTCAATCAATAATTAGAAATAAAAGTAAAAAAGAAAATCGTTTGATATTACAAAATAATGTGTGTGTTAATTGCGACAAATAAAAAAAATAGAAGAAAGAAAGTATTATCAATACAAAAATTATCAAATTAAAAGAAAGAAAGAATTAAAAAAATTTGAGATACGAAATAAAAGTCTATTTAATCAGAATATCGTCGACTTTTTATTATTGTTGTTGTTGTTGATTTTATATGAAGAATTTAGGTTTGATGAAAGATTAGTCGGTTGATAATGATCAAAAATCAGTTTGTTGTTGTTTTCCATTATTTTCCATTATTAACATTTTTATTGGTCATATTGGCCATATTATTATTGATTTCTTCATCATTTGTTAAACCATTTGTATTGGTTGTTTTTGCTGGTAATTGTCTGCCATGAAAATTGGCCATAAATTCAAAACCACCAAGAAAATCATACACAGGTGATAAACAAGTTTGTGGTATTAATGGTACAAGACATAGAAGCCAATCCAAATAGCCAGGTATGACAATCTGTGGACTATTGGTAAGAATTGCTTGCATAATTTTATTGACAACTGCTTCTGGTTGAATAAATTCAAACACTCCTGGATGAGCACCAGCAAACATTCCAGTTGAAATAAAATATGGTTGTACAAGTGTTGTTTTAATATATTCATCAAGATTAGCTTTGGCCAATTCCATTCGTAATGATAAATCCATACCAACATTGGCAAATTTTGATGCACAATAATCACTAAGAGAACATACACCAATACGACCAGCAACTGATGCTATTGTAACAATATGACCATTTCGACGTTTAATCATATCGGGAAGAAATGCTTTAATGGTATAAAAATGAGCCAAACTATTTACTTTGAATGTCATTTCAATTCGTTCGTCCGGTATATCAAGAAAATTCTGTCCAGATACAATACCAGCATTATTGATAAGAATATCGATAGGACCTAATTGTTGTTTGACTTGTTCTGCAGTTGTATAAATAGATTTTGAATCACAAAGATCAACTTTATATAAATATAAATTTTTTGTATTTAATTTTTCTTCTTCGGCCATTTTTTTCGTAATTTCCATGCCATTTTGATTAACATCCCAAATAATTACTTTTGCACCTAAACGTAAAAATTTTAATGTCATTAATTGACCGATACCGCTACCACCACCAGTAATCAATATATTTTGATTTTCAACATTTTTTCTTTTCATCATTGACATTGGTATGAACATTTTGACAATCGATTCCAATATATAATAGATAACTAATGCAGCACTTTTAAATCGATTACCCGTAACACGAGTTGATATTTGTTTTAGAACCATTTTTTTTCAGTTGTTTTTAGTTTTTTTTTTTTGAAAATAATCAGTTATATCTGTGGACAAACAAAAAGAAAAATGAGAAAAAATAAAATAAAATTGAGAAAATAATGGTTGAAAAAATGAAAACAGACGCACCTACACACAGAAACAGAAAATAAAAATTAATGAAGATTATTATTGCAATAAAGTCAAAGTATTTATATAAGAATCAATCATTTGATAATCTGTCGATAAGCGTGCGGCTATGTTTAAAATTTTTTGATATTAAATTATTATCCAATGGGTACAAAACTAAACTGTGATGATGATGATATACATAAGAAACATAAAACTTTTTCTTTTGCTCAATAATCAATAGGATAAAATATTTTTTTTTTTGGATAAAATCCAGAAAATAAAAAATCTATTATCAGCTGTTGCTGAATGCGAAAAGAAAAGTTGATTATCAAGTATATATGGACTTGTAATCAGTGGTTTTTTTAAAACCAAGAATAATAAATGATTTGAGATAGTAAAAATCAAATTTTTTTTTAAATATAATGTTAGATTAACATATAGGCATGACAACAACAAGAATGATGATGACTATGACAACCAAAACAACAACAACAACATTATTGATGATCAAAGATGCAATCAATGGTTTTTTTATTGATTAGGGTACTAAAAAAAAATTAAAGATCAACAATAACAACAATGTTAGAAACAATAATTTTTTTAACCAAAAAGTTCAACAAACAACAGCAAACAAACAAAAAATGTGCTAAAAATAGTGTCGTTACTGTGAATACCCCTTGTGCGGTATAACAGGTTTTGATGGAAGTGTTGAAAAACAAATAATAAATGAAAAAAAACATCAAGAAAAAAATGTGCTAGAACCTCATCATTAGCATATTTAAAAAATATTAACTGTCTTTTTTACCTGGAAATTACATTTTTTTTCCTCATTAAATTCAATCAATACAACTGCAATTTATCTAATAATTAATCTAGCTGATAAGATAATTAAGAGATTGTTGGAGATAAATGTTATCATTATTTCAATATAAACAGAGAATGGAGGGAAAATAATTTAAAATTTAAGAAAATCAAGAAAAAAAAATACCAATGTAAACCACATTGAAAATCGCAATAAACAACCAAATGAATAATAATGATGTGAGAAAGTGTGTGAGAGAAAGAAAAAAACAATCGATTCGAATCGATAGTTTTATCGTTGAATGAAAATATATTTTTTGAAATTTGAACCTAATTTTCTTTTATCCAATCGATTTAATTTGAAATATGATTGATAGAATTTAATTAACTATACGTAATAAATGTATGAGAAAATGCTAATGTAAATTTTCAACAGCAACAACAAAAAAAAGAAACTATTTTGATTAATTGATTTGAACTTGGAAAATTTTCAAGTTCTTTCATCACCATCAAATCGATAAATTATGGGAAAAAAACATTTTTATATTCACTTTTGCAATAGTTAATTGGGTTTGTTGGCCGAAACAAGGAAAAAAAATACCTTAAGATGAGAGCTAATTTTAGAGATTTCTGTTATTTTAATTAATCAATCACTTTTTTTAGGACAAAAACAAATGTAGCAGCAGAAGCAGTTGATTGAATTATCAAATGAAAATAAAAGTTTTAGATTTTTTTTTGAAAGCATCAAAGATTTACGATACATACAAATGCAAATTTTAACTATATTTGATCGAAGATAACGGTGAAAACGATGAAAATTGATTCAATGTTGATATGAAAAAAGAAAATCAAATTTATAAACAAACAAACAAAATTTATAAATGATAAATTTGCAATCAAATTTTCATATATGATGATGACAACAACAACAAAAATATTGAATTTGAATATTGTTCTCGAATGATCGATTTGGATTTTTCGGAAAAAAATTTCTATTTATATACCTGCAGATATGGAAATGATATTGGTGTTTTTGTGTTACAACAACAAAACAACCCACGAGCACACTGTTCGTCACATATAAATTGAAACCAAAATTAAAATGAGGGTGGACTGATCGATCGATCGATCGATTGATAATCATAAAATGATATGGCTAATGTAATGGTAAAATTTTTTTTCTGATAAACTGTTAAGGATCATTAAATAAGCCAAAAGCAAAAAAAAACAGCCAACATTTTAAAGCGTTAATCAAAGTTTTATGATTTTAAAAATAAAGGAATTTTTTTTCCAATATCCTCAATATCAGTTTCAAGTGTTTATTTGGGACAGTTTTTGAAAATCAATACTGTTGATCACCATAAACACAGACCGGAGTTTAAGGTTTCTGTGCAAAAAAAACTAACCAAAAAAACCAAAAACAGTTGCGATAAGATTGACATACATTTTTTGTCACTGATAATAAAGCACAGAAAACCAAACTTTGTATGTAAAACTAATGATTAGATTTCGTTATTTTTTCCTTTTTGGTAGCTTAAAATAAGATTAATGGATCATAAAATTTAAATAAAAATATTGATCCATGTTCGATAAAACTTTGAATATGCAAACCGAAAGGAATTTTACAAATAAACAGATCAAAAATTCCTAAGGAAAAACAAATGACGTTTGCAATCTTGAAAAGAAAAGATTGTTTTGAAAAAAAACTTGATAAAAACACGACAAGAAAATAGAAACAAATTCGCAAAAAAAATTAAATTATTCGCAATAATGCCTGAAGATATACGTGCACAGATTTGAATTAATCAAGAAGCTTATTTATTGACTGTCATGATAATGATGATGATGATGATGATTATGATACAGCTATCTTTGATAATATAATGACTAAAATTATTAACAAAGATAGCCGTAATTCGTTTGTGTTGTTACTTTAATTAGAATTTAATGATAATCAAAATGAAATTATTATGTTGAACATTGAAATTTAATGATGATTCTTACATAATCATAATCATCATTATCATGATTATGAAACACACATTGTTTGTTTAACAGAAAACACACACACACACATTGAATCAAAACATTGGATTTTTCTAACGAGAATTTAATGGACAACACACGGGCATTTAGAACAATTGATAACCGAAATTGAAATTTTTAAAAAAAACTTTTATTTTATTGGCAAATACTTTACTTAAGATACACTTGAAACTTTAAGAATTGATGGAAAAAAGTGATAGAGAATGAAACAGAGAGAGAATGAAAAACTAAATGACAAAATGAAAATCAACAATTCAATTCATTCGATTGAGATAAAGAAAAATAAGTCAACAAACAACAACAGCAGCAACAGGAAGAAGAAGAAGAAGAAAAACAAAACAAATACAATGACATCATCATGAGAAAATTGTATGTGTAGGTGTGGCTGATGGATTTTCAAAAAAAAATTTTGAAGAAAAACAATCAAAATATTTGAAAGATGTGACATTTAAGAACAAACATAAACTTTAAATGTAAATACTTTAACATGAATCCATATTGTTAGATTTTTCTTCTCTTTCATTTTTTTCTCTTTCACACAATCAATCAATAATTTTCATTCAACATTGATAAAAATAATCCGTTTATTGAAATTATTTTTTTTTGTTGTTGTTGTTGTTCCAAAATAATAATAACATAGGGAACGAAAAAAAAGGGGAGATGACAGAAAAAAAAACATTGATTTTATTTACATGTGTGTGGACTCTGTTCTCTTGTTGTTGTTGTTGTTGATGTTGATGATGATGATGAAAAATTGATTCAAAAACAAGAATGAGAGAAATGGACAACGTATTGAATGATGTAATCTTTTAGCTGATGAAAAATTGAACAATTGAACTCTCATTTTGATTTTAAAATGAAGAGAGATGTGTTTGTGTGTGATTGGATACAACTAACAAGAAAATCAACGTGCTTGTATGTATTGTTTGTTTGTTGTTTCATCAATGTTTAATAGTGAAGAAAAAAAAATTATGAATGTTATTCAACAATTCAGCTATGCAATCATCATCAAACAACAACAACAATGAATGTTCATTTTATTAAATTTCAAATGTGAATTTTTTTTTTTTGAAATTTCAATTGAATAATAACCGATTGAGATCTGGTGATTTTTTTAACATTTTTTTCCCCATTTATACTATCGATGTTCAAATAAATTGTTTGCCCTACGACAATATAAAAAAAATTGATTACGACTACAATGATGATGATGACCAAATAATAATAAAGAAGAAAGCAACAAAACGTATGCAACAGAACCATTTCCATTGAATCAATGCATTTCATTTCATTGACCATCATTGACAATCGACAAATGTTGCAATAGAGTAATTACGATTGATGACGAACAACAAACAAACAAACAAACAAACAAAACGGGGGAAATAAAGAAAGAGAAAGAGACATCATAGACAAACAAAAAAACCAAACGTAATTCAACTTTGCAATAAACATTGTTCAATTTAATCGATTAATAATAATGGTGATAATGAAAAATAAATTAAATTATAAATCAATCAAATGTAATTATAAACAATCATCATCATCATTAATAATGATGATGATTATAACCATAATGATGATGATAATGATGATGATTATAAATGTTAATCATGTTAATGGTTGTTGGTGTCGACCAGAAACTTTACCTGGTTATTATTGTGGTGATGAACTTGATAATTGTGATGCAAATATTGTCTATGAATGTGATGATAATGATAATGATGGATTGAATTTTAAATTTGGTCGACAAATTCAACAACAACAACAACAACAGCAACAGCAACAAATACAACAACAACGACGACAACGATTACGAAAACGACCAATACGAAGACAAGTTGATGATTGTCGTCAAACAAGCTGTATACGTTCGACTGATAGAAATCCAGCATCATGTTGGAAAAAATTAACAGCATCAATTGTAGTTGTTACTAATTAATTTTTTGTAAAATTATTTATTTTTTGTTTTAAATTTCTATTTCCATTATCCATTATAATCAAATAAATTCAATTCAAATGGGTTATTACTTACATGTCACCCGAATCTTTCATTCAACAACAATGAACAAAAAATAGACAGAAAAAGAACCGAATTTAATGATTCAATTCAAAAAAATAATCGTAATTTCATAAATGCTTTTCGTACAGTATTTTTATTTGATTTTTTATCATTAGATTTTTTTCCATCGTCATCATGATCAATATTTTCCAATTTATTATCATCATTTTCGGTCAATGATTCAATATGATCCAAATCATTTTCTTGTTGTAATTTTTCATTATTCATAATCGATTCATTATTGATCATTGATGATTGATCATTATTTTCATTATCATTGTTGGTTATTCGATTTCCATTATCATTTTTATTGTTGTTGTTGTTGCCGTTGTTGCTTGTGGACAAATTTGATTTTTTAAATATATTTTTTACACGATTTATTTTGATCAAATCATTTACTGATGATAATTTTCTTTCACTTTGTTGTTGTTGTTGTTGACCATCATTATTATCATCATTAATGTCGTTGATTTCGATTTCGATTTTGACCGATGATTGACTATCGATTGTTTGATTGCGTGATTGTTGTCGGTGAATTTCACTATTATTGTCATCGATTTTTTCATCTTGTTGTTCCTTTTGATGATCAGAAACGAAAGAAAAAGTAAGATTTTCAAATTTTTCGACAAAAAAATTCAATGTAAATTCAAGATAAAATGAAATAATCTTACATCTTCTTCCGGTATTACATCTGTTATAATATTTTTCCGTATCATCATTGTCACTGGCTTTTTATTAATCATTTGGCTTGGCTATTCATCATAATCATCATTTTTTTGTAAATTTAAAATCTTAAAATTCACGAACAAACAAACAAAGAAAAAGAAGAAACATACCATTGTTTCGTTGAGCATTTGTCTTGATGGTGATTCGGTCATCGATCTATCAATCAAATCATTATTATCATTCGAACCCCAACCAATACCACGTTTAATCCATTTACGCCATAATTCAACACTTGTTTTACAACGAATACCAAAATTTCTACCTTTTTGTCGTATTTTTATAAACATTGATCTTGATCGTAATGGTATACGAAAACGTCCGTTTGTTTTTCGTTTTATACTTCGTTCTCTGCTATTTGTTTTATTACAACTAACATTAGATCGATTATCTTCATCCGGGTTTTTACGTCGTAATGAATTTTGTTTGGAATTACGATGACTACGACACCCATCATGGACAGTTGTCGTTGCTGATGATGATGCTGCTGCGGCTGCAGCACGACATGGTCGTTGAATTTTGTGATTTTGTTGATTTTTCTTCGATCGCGTACGAGTTTTGATTCGAGATTCCAATTTAGATGATGATGATGATGATGATGATTGAGAATTGATTTTTTTATCATCATTATCATTGTTTTTAGATTTATTCAAACGGGGACAAATCAATTTTTCTCGATTATCATCAACATTATTATCATTATTGTAAGGCAATATTTTTGACATTTAAAAACAAAGAAAAAAAAAATCAAATTTTTTAAATTTTCAATTGAAAAATCGTAAAATGTAAAATTGAAGAATATTATATTTTCAATAAAAAAAACAAAAAATTCTTATTCGAATTGAGAATGCGCTGTTGAAAAATTTTTACATCATTCAAAATTAATACTGTCAAATTAAATTTTCATTTTTCATTCAAATTTTATTATCATTTGGGGTTAAATAACATTGAGCTTTTATTGAATCAAAAATGAAAATAAATAAAATAAATCTTCACACAAACAAAAATGGAACGAAATTTATATTGAATAATCACAGTTAAATGCAGAAGAAGACAATTAAAATGAAGAAATAAACAATTTTTTTTTTTGGTTGAAAAAAGACAAAAATTTCAGCAACCAAACGAACTTGTAATGTAACTTTGAATGAGAAAGAAAAAATGAAAAATACTTTTTCAATATGAAAATGATCTTGATTATTATCGTCGGTATAATGTTCGGTGGTAATTTTCAACAAAATTCAAATACATTACTGGACACACTATATACACACACATTTTCTATATAATAATTGCCCAGATAATGATGATTATTAGAGATCAGTCGGTCATTTTATTCTAAATGATATATCTTTGGTGTTCTTTTTTTTGTTGAAATCATTATTCCATTATGATCTACTGTTACTTGATTAGTTTTGGTTTTATCAGAAAAAAAAGCAGAATGATATAATGAAATGAATATGTAGCTTGAATGTTCGTTTCATTGATAATCTTCAAAGGTTTTTTCGTTTTATTTTGTTATGGTTGTTGAAAATCTTTTCGCTGTTTGAAATCAATCATTCTACGTAGTCATAGATTTGTTTTGGTGTTCCAGAAACATATATTTTTTTAAGTTCTTTTTTCATTTTCCGAAAAAAAAATTTGATTCGGATATAAATTCGGATTGTTTTTTTTATTCTTGTTTGTTGGACTAATGATACTAATAATTTTACCTTTTACAAAAATATTCTTTATGATTAAATTCAACTGAATTGCATTTATTTATTCATTAAATAACTGGATGACAAACTGTCTGGTTGACTGACTGTGTCACATACCTAATCACACCTGGATAACTGTAGAAAAAAATGAAACCTGCCATGAAATGAATGAAAAAAAACAAAACAAAAATTCAATATACCAATGTGAAGGTAGGTAGGTGTAGAAGCATGCTGATGATTCTAATCTAATAATGTACTATGAATAACCATAGGAATTACAAATTTCAGCCATTGAAATAATGCTATTTCTATATATCCATCTATGTGCAGGAGAAGGAATGAATGAAGGAATTTTTTTTTCAATTGAGTGAATTGTAATGTAATGCTAATCAAATTCTTGTTCAACAACAACAACAACAACAAGAATAAAAATATAATGATAATAATTAATATATTTTTACTAATGAATTCAATGGATAAAACAAAAAACCATAGTAACCATACTTTTTTTTAATATAGCGTGACCTAGAACAGAATTGACTAAACTGAATTTTCATTTATCATCGTGATGATAAGAACCGAGATACCGACTAAGAGAAGAGAAAAAACAAACGTCCGGAAATCCCCGGTTAATTATGGATAGAAAATTTGAATAGAAAAATTTCAACGTAAAATAATAATGTACATCATTTTTTTTTCCTTTTTTGTTGAATCAATTTTCTATACTTTTTTTCAACCAAATGATAATGAACTGGACACAATGATCAATTTCTTGCCTATTTTGGAATCATTACCATAATGATGATGATGATGATGATGAAAATCAATTATTAATATTCAAGTTTGTATAATCATCATCATTAAATCAAATGATGAAAATTGATGAATGTAGAATATTTCGCCAGTCTAAATTCATATGAAAAATGGATAAAAAATTTATGTGATTTGATCATCATCGTATTGTAATATCCCGCCACTTTTTATTTGGATAATTTTTTTTTCAGAATTACCCGCGCCATCTTTCGAAATCATTTCNACAAAACAAAAATTCAATATACCAATGTGAAGGTAGGTAGGTGTAGAAGCATGCTGATGATTCTAATCTAATAATGTACTATGAATAACCATAGGAATTACAAATTTCAGCCATTGAAATAATGCTATTTCTATATATCCATCTATGTATAGGAGATAGAATTCAGAATGAAGGATTTTTGTTTTTTTAATTGGGAGAATTGTAATATAATGCTAATCAAATTCTTGTTCAACAACAACAATATAAATATAATGATAATAATTAATATATTTTTACTAATGAATTCAATGAATAAAAAAAACCATAGTAACCATAGTTTTTTTTTAATATAGCGTGACCTAGAACAGAATTCTAAACTGAATTTTCTTTTTCTATTATCATCGTGGTGATAAGAATCGAGATACCGACTGAGTGAAGAGAAAAAACAAACGTCCGGAAATCCCCTGTTAATTATGGATAGAAAATTTGAATAGAAAAATTTCAACGTAATTTTTTTTCTTTTTTGTTGAATCAATTTTCTCTACTTTTTACAACCAAATGATAATGAACTGGACACAATGATCAATTTCTTGTCTATTTTGGAATCATTACCATAATGATGATGATGATGATGATGATGAAAATCAATTATTAATATTCAAGTGTGTATAATCATCATCATTAAATCAAATGATGAAAATTGATGATTGTAGAATATTTCGCCAGTCTAAATTCATATGAAAAATGGATAAAAAATTTATGTGATTTGATCATCATCGTATTGTAATATCCCGCCACTTTTTATTTGGATAATTTTTTTTTCAGAATTACCCGCGCCATCTTTCGAAATCATTTCGAATGAGTGATTTTTTTTTCAAAAAAAAAATCAAATGAAAATCCAGATTATTTTATTCAAATTGATGATTTTGTTTTTCCGGTTCATTTGAACTGATGATGCTTACTTTGCTTTAAATTACTAAGTTTTTTTGATTTAGTTTTAACAATTAGTATGCATCATTTATTTAGATGATTTCAAATCCAAAAAAAAAAAAAAAAATGAATAACTAATTTTAATGACGAACGATGGCGTTACTTGAGTCAATGAAATGAGTGAACAAAAAAACAAAAAAAATTCTCATATTCATTTTCTTCGTATCAAATTAAAACACGTCAACTTTAAATGAAAAAAATGTTAAAATCATTCATTAGCTCCACCTTATTGATAACTCAAATCAATACATTGACCTGCTAAATTAAAGGGCGTAGCTAAACCGGCATTCCAATTTCATTTCAACTATTCCAATCGAGAAGTTAGATTTTTAGTGGTGTGTGTTGCTTAATGTAAAAGTGCGTTGGTGTTTGCATTGGAATCGTATTTTTTTTTAGTCTTTTTTTATGTATGATCATCATTCATTGAATTTACAATTTACATCGCATAATCTTTTTATTGGTTTGATATACCTGCTGTTGCTGTCGTTGTTGCCGACTGGATTTTTATCATCATCATCATCATAGTCTTCGTCATTATTAGAGTGTTGTGTTGTCGTGGCATTTATTCTCTCATTCATTGTCTTTTGGTTCTTTCGATCACGTTTTGTGTTTGTAAGTTTTGTTTCTAATTAAATTTTTGTTTATAACTGTCATAATTTTTATAATTGTAATAAATTCTTAATTGACAATTTCAATTTATTTTGTTTTTTTTCCTGTGAACAGAAGGTTTATTGTGATTAAATTGTCAACAAAAAACAAACGATAAAATAATGATGTTTAGATATGTATTGGCCAGCATATTTTTGGCAACAATCATTCATTATACAAATGCTTCCGATGTTCTTGATTTAACTCAAGAAGATTTCGGTTCAGCCATTCAACAACATGATACAATATTGGTTAAATTTTTTGCACCTTGGTGTGGCCATTGTAAACGTTTAGCACCTGAATATGAATCGGCTGCAGCCAAATTGAAAAATAATGATCCACCAATACCATTAGCAAAAGTTGATTGTACTACTGATGAAGGTAAAGATGTTTGTAGTAAATATGGTGTTAGCGGCTATCCTACATTGAAGATATTCAAAAATGGTGAATTTTCATCCGAATATAATGGTCCACGACAATCCGATGGTATTGTCAAATATATGCGATCAAAAGTTGGCCCTGCATCACGTTTATTCTCGGATAAATCATCATTGGAATCTGCCATGGAAAAGGCAACCGACGTTATTGTTTTAGGCGTTTTTGAAAAAGATGGTTCTTCTGATATGCAAACCTCATTCATGAAATCTGCCGATAAACTTCGTGAAAATGTCTATTTCGCTCATGTATTTCAAAGCGATGTGGAAGATGTTTACAAAGTTGATCGATTGGCCAAATTAGATGAACAAATTCGTTTGAATTCAAACAATGTTCTCGTTATCCGACCAAAATTTTCGAAAAATAAATTTGAATCCGATATCGTTGCTTATTCTGGCAGTGGAGATTTAACGGAATTTATTCGTTCAAATTTTCATGGTCTTGTTGGACATCGTACACAAGAAAACATGGGCGATTTCAAACCGCCAATGATTGTCGCTTTTTACGATGTTGATTATGTGAAAAATCCTAAAGGAACTAATTATTGGCGTAATCGTATACTTAAAGTTGCTCAAAATTATAAAGATGAAATAACGTTTGCCGTTTCGAATGCTCAACAATTCGCTGGCGAATTAGAAGAATTTGGTGCTGAACCACCACGTGATCGTGATGCTACACCAGTTGTAACTGCACGTAATGAGAAAGGTGAAAAATATAAAATGGAAGATAAATTTTCGGTTGATAGTTTGGAAAAATTTGTTGAAGATTTCCGTGGCGGAAAATTGGAACCATTTTTAAAATCTGAACCATTGCCCGATAATGAAAATGCCGGTGTTAAGACAGCTGTTGCCAAAAATATTCAAGAATTAGTCATCAACACTGATAAAGATGTTCTTATCGAATTCTATGCACCATGGTGTGGTCATTGTAAAAATTTAGCCCCAACATATGAAGATCTTGGTCAAGCTATGAAAGATGAACCAAATGTTTTAGTTGTTAAAATGGATGCTACAGCTAATGATGTTCCACCAGAATTTACTGTTCATGGATTCCCAACTATATATTGGTATCCAAAAAGTAAAGTAGCACAGAAATATGAAGGTGGTCGTGATCTACAAAACTTTATCGAATACATTGCCAAACATTCGACTGAAGAATTAGTCGGTTATGATCGTCAAGGACAGAAAAAATCTAAAGAAGAATTGTAATAAAAAATAATTACCATTTATTATTATTCAAACAGAAAAGAAAATCTTTCAAACACACGAATATATCTGATTATCACCAACAATGACATCCATAATTTTCTAATTTTTCAGAATTCTTTTTTTTCAATCATTTTTTAAAGAAAAAAATTTAGTGCCTCTATCACACATTTATGCATATGATTAATTTCTTTCGTTTTTTCCTTTCTTCATGTGTTTTAATTTTCTTTTTTTTTCTCATTTCCAAAATTCCATGAAAAAATTCCGTAACATGATTTGATCTGATTTGTATATGATATCGCCATGATTCTTGCTCTTTCTCTTTCCTCTTTCTGGGATTTTCTTTTTCTCATTTCATTTTTAAATGATCGATATCATTTGTATATTTGAAAAAAATGAATATTTAATAAAATAATATGAAAATTTTATTTATTTATCTGAGTATAATGAGTTGTGGCTAGAATTTTGGTCAATATTGAATTCAATATTGCCTCAACAGTACGGTACTAGTGTTTATGAATAGTTTGAATCTCATGCTTGTTTTTTATTTTGTTTTCATTTTTTAGAAAAATTATCACCGATTTAATTTTTTAGGAGCAGAAAAATGTTACCCGTACCAAAATTTTTACAAAAAAATCAAAATGATGAACAAAATATGAATCATAATCAAGGATGGCAATCTTCTCACAAGACGAATGGAAATAATTTTCAACGTCCGATTAGAAATTTTAACAATTATGGCAAAAGAAAATGCAATCAAAATTCAATCAATATTCAATGTGATTTTGATGATTGTCGATTTCAATCAGCCAATAAAGATGAAATGTTAATGCATAAAAAAATTAATCATTTTCAATTATGTAGCCGTTTTAATGATGGTTTTTTAATGGATTCACCTGAAGAAATATCAAAATGGCGAAATGAACGTCGATCTAAATATCCACGTTTATCGAACATTATCAATAATGATGGTAATGATATTAATCATACAAAAAATAATCAACCTAATCGAAATCATAATAATTCAACTTATCGTAACAATAACTATCGTGATCGTCGAAAATTTCAGCGTCATTCATTTTCATATTCGCAAAAAAATCATTCGAATAATCGAATTCATAAACGTAATTCAATTGAAAATAAACAAAAAAATAGCACAGTCAAATCTTCGCTGCCAATCACATCAGAACCTTCATCGTCATCGCTGAATCTAATTTCGGGTTATTGTAGCGGTAGCAATAGTGATCATTCGGATTATGAAGAATTGGAACAAAATGAACATAAAATACTATCATCAATGATTGATGAACTTATTGAAAAAGTTGAAAAAACAAAAATTGTTCCAAAGAAATTGAATAAAACTATTTCGAATAAAAAACAAAAACCAACAATACAACGGCAACCATTACAATATTCGAATCTAAATCTATTTCAAAAATTAATGTTACAAGATGTACGTCGAATAAAATCCGAATTATTGCAATCATTGAAATTGTTGGTCGATACAAATTTTCTTGAAACAAATTAATTTTCTTTAATTAATTTTAATTAAATTATATTTTTATACATAAAAATAAATCGATTATGTTGAGAAAAAAGTGATTTTGTTTTTATTTAAGCCAAATCATTTGACAAAAAAAACATAGATAGATACAATGCCATCACCAACATTGAATCATATCGAATGTGTATCGTGTCATCAAGCATCATTAGATAATTGGCATAAAATCGAACGTTATTGTAATTGTTATTGGCATCAATCATGTTTGACACGTATTATTCAACATCGTCAACAAACACATTGTCCAAATTGTCGTGAATCATTTCAAAAAACTGGCCTATGTCGTATCGTAAAACAAGTTCGTCCATTTATGGATTTTTTCTGTACACCTGGTGCATTCGCTTTGTTAACTATATTTTTGATGGTATTCTCCTATGGATTACAATTTTTATTGATCATTACAACAAGTTATTCAATGGCAAGCGCAATGAATTATAGTAAAATTGTTCAATTTATCATTTTTATACCGGGAATAATATATGATTTTTATTATATTCTTTGTTTAATCATTACAATATCAATTATGATTACATTGTTTCGTTTTTGGCGTGAAGAAAATCCAATCATTGTTATTGAATGGATACCAGCAAATACAACATCAACATCAACATCGACTACAACAAACGTTGTTCGTACTCAACCAGATGTTCCATCCAGTTCGAGTAGTAGTGATGCACAAACCATACCAATCATAGTTACTAGCCGAAATAAAAATCCAAATCGATCAAAGAATCAACCAATATCGAAATCGGTTATTGTAAAGATAACATCATAATTTTAGCGTTTTCTTCTTCTAATATCGATTCCTAAATTCGTGTATACATAAAAATAAAATAGCATTTTTAAAAATTAATTAGAGTTAATAACAAATTAAAGAAAAAAGGAGTTTATGAAATAAATTGTTTTGTCTCAGACTGGGGCGATTCATAAGAAATATCATAGAATTTTATGATTATCATAGGGGAATCAATCATCACTATAATCATTTATATCATCAGTTGCATTGAATGGATAATTGATTTTTTCTTACCTTTTTTTTGTCAAATTCCAAATTCATAATGGCCACGTGGTTTCGGCATGGTTGACACGCTGAACCTAATAATAATGATAAGAAATTATTAATTTTTGATTTTCAAAACGAATGTGAACATCAGCAATGGCACAATCTAAGACCATGAAATAATTAGCCAGATTGCTTCCTAGATGCTACGCAATTTAATTTTGGTCATATCAAATTTTTTTTGATAAAATTTGGCACAATGTATGTCGTGATTTTAAAATAGAGACATCATTGCGTGGCGATTGACCATTTATTGTTGAAAATTATTATCGATGATCATCAAACTTACCATGAAAAATAAACCAATCATGAAAGAATCATGAAAAAAATCTCAAAAAATTATTGCAGAACCATACTCGATAACAACGTGCTCGGATATGGAAGATGAACACGCTGAAAGCATGAGAATTTATATCCAAAATGATCATAATTCTCGACATGCGCGTTACAATGTTCAAAACAAAAAAAATGTTTTTAGCGACATCTAGTTTCTTTATGCAATTTATTTCGATGGAAATTTTTGTACCCCAATTTTTTAAGCTTGTTAAGCATCATTTTTTTTCTTATCTATCCATTTGGATTCTATATAACATTCGTTTATTAATGCTTACAATATAGAATCGAAATTTTCATTTAGATAAAAATACATCAACAATTGAATCAATCATTCCTTTTTTTGTATTATGAATGTTTAGATTGGCGAATTATTTTGTTAAAACGTAATGGAACTTCGAAAAAAATTACATCGTACTGATCAAATTTTAATGGTCATCATTTTGGTTGGATTTTTACTTACGGCTTATGCATTTTATATTGAATTGAAACATGAATATAATCATTCCTATCAAGCATTATGTGATGTGAATCCGATCATCAGTTGTACAAAAGTTTTGACAACTAAATGGAGTAAAGGTTTTGGCATTCTACCCGAACCATTAGCCTTTCGAAATCCGATATTTGGTTTTGGATTCTATACTCTATTTTTATTAATGATTGCAGCATTTAAACCAAATACAAAGATTTGTAAATCATTGATAATATTGGCAATTCTATCGAATTTGGCTACAATTTATCTCGCCATTTTGATGATATACATCATTGAATTTTATTGTTTAGTATGCATCTTTACATATGTTGTTAATTTTCTTTTACTTATCTATTCTATTGTTCGTTATCGAATTGTCAAACAATTACAATCAAAATCTAAATTGCGATAAACTTTTCAAATAAAATTCTTGATTAAATTTTTATCCGCACGTTGTTTATGAATTGGCAAACAGTAAACATATTGAATATTTCTTGAAAAAATTCTTGCTTTGTTTATTCTGCATAATAAATTCTACAAAGAATCTCAATAATTCTTAAGATTCTAAAAAATTATTTAACTGCAAATGATTTTAAAATGAAATCTTTATCATTATTCGATCAAACTTATCCATACATTCTAATCATTACAACTATTCTAATCGTTTTTCATAATTCACTTGACTGTGATTTCACATTTGATGATACATCGGCTATCATAAAGAATCGTCATGTCCATACAAATGAAACCGATTGGTTTCGTTTATTCGATGTCGATTATTGGGGAACACCAATTCAAAGTGAACATAGTCACAAATCATATCGACCATTCACATCATTAACATTTCGTTGGAATCATCTATTGTCATCAGCATTGAATCCATATGGATTTCATTTGACAAATGTATGCTTACATATAATTGTTTCTTTTATTTGTTTCGAATTTCTTTCATCAATGTTGGGTCTACAAAATCGATGGCCAGCTTGTTTATTTACCCTTTATTTTGCCATTCATCCAACTAAATCTGAAGCCGTTACCAGTATCGTTGGCCGTGCTGAATTACTATGCGCTTTATTCATATTGATCTCTTTGTTTTGTTATCTTAAAAGTGCATACATAAGTTTTGCTATTTCAGTTCTTTTGGCTTCATATTCGAAAGAACAAGGAATGACAGCACCGGCTATCTGTATAGCTATTGAATGTCTTGAATTAATGATACGATTTAAATCATCGAATCATTTACCATTCAGGTTTAGATTATGGTATTCATTGTGGAATTTGAATATGATTAAAATTATTGCACTCATCACCTATACAGCAACATTGATCGGTACTCGTATCTATTTGACCGGATCATCATTGCCCATTTTCACTAAATTTGATAATCCAGCTTCGTTTGAAGAAACACCTATTCGACAACTTACTTACAATTATCTTCTGTCATTGAATGTTCAATTGATGCTGTGGCCACGTTGGTTATGTGCCGATTGGACAATGAATTCCATTCCATTAGTGAAAACATTCGACGATCCACGTAATGCTTGGACAGCTATATTCTATTTAGTTTTCATAATTCTATCTAGTCGAGCTTTTTATTTGGCCATCAGCTGTCCATCAAAACGATCATCAAATATTGATCGATCCAATCTGCTGATTTCATTAATTCTCATTGTGATTCTATTCATTCCTGCATCGAACCTGCTATTTCCAGTTGGTTTTGTACTTGCCGAACGAATTCTTTATACACCAAGCATTGGATTCACTGCATTATTGGCCATCGGTTGGTTAAGAATTCAAAATTATTTTCCACGTTCTAGATTGATTCGATTCTTATTGAATCTATCGACAATATTAATGCTAGTCACATTTGCATTGCGTACTTATGAACGAAATTTTGATTGGCGTAACGATCTTACCTTATTTAAATCGGGTTTAAAGGTAAATCCTAATAATGCCAAATTATATAATAATATTGGTCATTATTATGAACGTCGTGGTGAATGGTCAGAGGCTATAAAATATTTTCGTCGAGCAGCCGATAAAGATCGTGAAGATATTGGTTCCGAATTAAATGTAGCTCGATCATTGATACGATTGAATCGTTTAAAGGAAGCTGAAGATTTACTATGGGCAATCAAACCTCGTGTACGTACATCGATATTGAAAAATCGTATGGTACCACATTATCTAAATATTTGGATAAATTTAGCACATGTAATCAGTTTAAATCAAACACGATTACATGAAGCTGAGAATCTTTATCAAGAAGTTCTAACAATTCGAAGTGATTTTGTTGATGCCTACATAAATCTAGGTGAACTTTATATTCGTAAACATTTATTTGATCAAGCAATAGAAACGTATGAAAAAGCATTGAATCGAGCACGTCATATTGATGATGGTAAAAAAGCTGATCTTTATTATAATTTAGCTGTTGCAAAATCATTAAAATTAGATCATCAACAACAAAAACCAAATGACTTAAAACTTCGATCCAAATTAACGGAAATTGTTCAAGATTTAATGGTTGCCATTTCTATTAATCGCGAACATCGTGAAGCTATCATTAATTTAGCCATATTACTACAAAAACCCGAATTTCCATCAGATAATCAAACTGAATATCGAACATTTGCAATCAATGCATTACGTAGTTATTCACGAAGTAATGAATTAGAATCATTCCAATTTAATATTGCCATTACATTGTTGGATCTAGGTGGACCAACAAATCGTATGGATGCAATACATCATTTTAAACGTGCAGCTGAATTAAAACCAGATTTTCGTAGCGCACTCTATAATCTTGCATTATTATATTATGATTTCAAGGATTATGAACAATCATTATTCTATTTAAATCGTACGCTTGAACATCATTCAAATTATACAAAAGCATTATTATTGACGGCCGACATTTATAGTCGTATGGGACGTTTAGATGATACCGAAAAGGTGAGTTTTTGGTTTGGGTTAAACATTTTCATGACAAAATTCATCTTAATTTTAATGTCAAATTTTTTTCTTTTTCTTCTTTTTTCTAAATAGACATATGCCAAAGTACTTGAAATGGATGAAAATAATTATGAAGCTATTCATAATTTATGTCTGATCTATAAACAAACTCAACGGAAAAAAGAACAAGAAAAATGTCTATTAATGCTCAATGATTTTAATTTAAAATCCATTTTGTGATACATCATCATCATCATTCCAGATTCAATTTTTTATTTTTTTTTTCTTAACAAATCTACGAATATGAAAAAAAAATTGTCCTTATTTTTCATTCATTAATCATTTGTTGTAATTGTTTGATGTATTTGATAGTCATCCTAAATACAAAGACGACAAAAAAAATTATTATTATAATAAAATTATTAAAATCAAATTTACCTTAAGGCTTCAATTTTTGATACACGTTTGCCATGTAAATGTCTAGGTTGTATATATGGTAATCGATCACGTAACATATCGAATGCACGATTCATATCTCTCATTCTTGTACGTTCACGAAGACAGGCATTTTTTCGTTGCTCTTCTTTGGAACCACCACCGCCGCCACTTGGTTGATTCAATGATGTTACTAGATGTGATCCATTATTAATGTCATTTGATGCATATTTAGGTTTATGGCCACTATTCATATTTATTATTTCCGGCCATTTTTCAATTGATTGATACTTTGCATGATCATGATGATCATCATTATGTGATAAACAATAAAAATTGTTAGATTCCAACAATGTTGAATTTTCAGTTGACATCGATTTTTTTATCGATGATAATGATGATGATGATGATGATGATGGCTGTGTCTGCAATGTTTTTGGTTTTATCATAGCAGTTGTTGGTCCATGTTTCGATAACCAGGAAAGATTTTCTAGCCATCGATTATGATAATAATAATGATTGTGGTTATGATGATCATCATAATCGTTCAATATATCTTGTTGATTATTGTTGTATTGATAATAATAATAGTAATAATTATTATGATCATAATATGGATCATTCAAATTATCATGGGTCATCATAATTTTGGTTGTATCAATCGTTTTTGAATCATCATTTTCATTGTTCAATACTGTTATTGTTGATAATGGTTGATGGTTGCAACCATCGTTTATGATTGAATAAAATTGTCTATAAGATTCTTGATTCGAATAAAATTGTAATTGATTTTCATTTATCATCGATGATGATAATTGTGATGAAGTTTGTATATTGAAATCATTATTAACGTTTGGTAATGTTTTTGCTGTTGTTGTCGTTTCGCTATGACAATCAAATGAATCATTTTGGCTAATTTTTTTGTAAAACAAAACAGAGAAAAAATTAAATAATGAAAAAATTGTGATAATAAAGATAATTAGTGCATCACAAATCGATCCAGGAAAAACGCTTAAACAAAAACAAAAATACATAATGATTGCACCGGACATATATGGTCATTAAGGTTATTTTGTTTATCATATATCACATCATCAATGGTCGCCCGACCATTATCGCCATCATCATCATAATTGAATAATAATAATCATAGAAAAAATATGATCCCAAAAAAAATGAACGGAAAAAAATGGACCAAAAAAAACATTCATCCATCAACAAAAAAACAGTTTAATGTAGTGTTTTATGGATTTTTTGTTTTTTGTTTTTCATTTATAATGTTTTTTCTTCTTCTTTTTCGTCAATGTTTTTTGTGTTGTTTTTTTATTTGTAATTTTCATGTGAAAATTATTCATTCGAATGATTTATTAAGTAAATGTTTATTAAATGTAAAAGAACAAACGACATTTAAACACACACACACACATTGATGATAATTGCGACAACAACAGACAAAAAAAATACCGGAACAATAACCGAATAAAACTGATGGTAATGATTAACTTAAAAAAAACAATTTCTATATTGAAAAAGATAATAGAATAGTTTCTTACATATCCATGAAACGTTTGTATTGTCTTCCTGTTTTCGTTTCAAAGCATCACACACACACACACATCATATTTTCTTTCATTTACCTGGATCATCTTCATCTTCATTTTTCTTTCCTACCTTACCTTACGACCATCACCAATCATATATGAATGAAACTCATGCTGTTAATTCTTTCTTTTTTTTGAAAAACTTTTTGGCTTTGGCATGCATGTTTTTTGTTTTCTGTTTAATTGTTAGAACAAATGTAAAGGGATTTTTTTTTGCATAAGAAACAAGGAGTGTTTTTGGTAAATTTCATTATGCAAATTGGTTTTCTCTTTTCGTTTCCTTTTCATTAGACAAATGAAAAAAACATTGACATGACAACTTTTCACACTAAGAAATTGTTTTGTTGTTGTTGTTGTTGTTATATAATATATAGTAATCGTATGGGAATATTTCTCATTATCACTTTTTTTATTATATCGCGTTTGGATGCGTGTGATTTTAGTAGAAAAATATAAATATTTTAAAAACATTACCATTGAATTAAATGGATATCCTGATGATGACTGTAGCTGTCATTATCAACATGAATAAATGAATTTGGTTCCGTTATGTTGTTTGTTACTGGCATAGTTTTTATTGTTTCATCAATGATATTCGTATCATCATGAATATGATCATTACAAATAGCCATAATATCAATTTTATTATCCGAAGATATTTTCGACGGTATGTTGGTCGATGGTAATGATGATGAAATATTGATTATAATGGATTCATCATCGTCAACTAATCCATTATCCATTACATATTTTGATGATGATGATGATGTTGTTGTTGTTGTGATTGGCATCAGCATTGTTTGTTGTTCACGGATCATTTTCATATTGTTGTCATCATCATCATCATCATCAACAACATCATCTTCATTGCTGTTATGGCCAACATTAACAGCAAGATGTCCGCCTAAAATTTCTTGTTGATTTTGATAAGATGACATTATTATGGGAATAACAACTTGTTGTTGATTTTCTTGTTCATATTGTTCAGGATGATAAAGATCGACAGTAATTTGTTGTTGTTGTTTTTGCTGTTGCTGTTCTTGTTGTTGTTGATGCGGAACATTATCCACAGTTTCGTTTATCCAATTTTCTGCTACTGGATTTTTTTTGGTTAAGAAAAACGAAATTTTTTTTAAAACAATGAACTTTCAAAAGATGATATAATCATATAAAGATTACATCACATTCCATAATTATGATGATAATGATTCAAATCGAGGTAAAAAAGAAAAAGAAAAAGGAAAACATTTCCGGTAGTTGAATTTGCTTACCATTTTTACAACTGGTGAATGCAACAGGTTCTTCCATCATTCATTTGAATAGCAAAATTTTGTTACCTGATTCGTTCATAAATGATGTTGAAAATTTCGGAAATTTCGATTGTTCTTGATCGTCGACCATGTCGATGTTTGCAAAATGAAAATGAAAAGAATGATTACATCGATTTTTTTTTTGGTTACAATGTAAATTCGGATTATCAGTATCTGGTGCCATAATCCAAATATCAAATTAGTCAATAGAAAAAGCTGTATCCAAAAACAGGTGTTTTTTTTTTGACTGATTGTACCCATCAATATCATTTGGAAAAAAAATTGCAATAAATAAAATTTCGTTTTCCCCCGTATAACACAAATTGAACAAAAAACAACAATCATGATATGTCACGAATCAATATAAAGATTGTAATCATTCCATTAAATATATATCGAAACGAATGAAACAATCGATTTATCATCATCCATGAAACAATTATCCTGGTTGTTTTAGATGAAACAGCAAATTGAATATCATGATATTAATAATGATAATAATATGACAAACACGAATGACATTAAAAAAAAATCTTTCTTTCTTTCCTGTTTAAAGGTAGATGAATTTTTTTTTCTGGTTTTATCATTAAAAAATCCAAAACAAATTAGATAAATGAATTTTTTTTTATTATCAACAAATGTTGCATTGTATTTGTGAATGATCTGTTTTATTTCCTGTTTCAATTGTATTCGATTTTGTTGTTGTTGTTGTTGTTCCTATTTCAACACAAATCGTTTCATTTTAGGATATGTTTTAAGCCAAATTGTTTTTCCCCATTTTTTTTCCAAAAAAAATTCATTTTCAATTTAATTCATTATAAAATGAATGAATTATCATGATCTTTATTGGTGAATTAAACTGACAAGCAAAAAATGAAACATTTAGTCCAGATATTGTGTGTTTGTATAGATAATCTTTTCCAAGCTTGTAACGCACCTTTTTTTCCTCCTTTCACTATATATATCGAAAGTGAACAATATCCTGTTTTTTTTCTTTCTTTCCATCATTTATGGTCATCATCATCATAATAATCATTCATAATCATCAAATATTACGAATAAACCAAAAAATGAGGAAAAAATAAATCCATATAATTAGTCATCATCATCATCATCATCATCATAATTATCGTGAACAAAAATTAGATGATGATGATCATAAATTAGAGCATTAAATAATCAACAACAACAACAACAACAACAAAAATTAACTGTGAATTTTTTCAATTTGTTTGTTTCGATTTGTCGGTTGTTATAAACGAACAACAAAAATCCAATAAATCAGATGAATAAAAGAACTGATTTATTTGAAAATATTTTCTTCTTCTTCTTCAAACTACACACCCACCCACACACAAACATTTGAATGAATTGATTTTCTATGTGTATGTTTATCAATGGTGAACCAATTTGATCAATTTCAATTCAATTTCGAATGTATAACGATGTTTTTCTGTGTATGTGTGTGTGTGTGTGTTTAGATTTTAAAATTGAAAATAATAATAACACAGTTTATTATCAAATGTGCACAGGATTTTTTTCTTTTTCTGTTTCTATTTCTTGATTTTTTCACTTTTAAAAATATATCGAAAAAAAGAAGAAGATATTACTTACACAATAATCATAATAACTGTAACGGTTACGGCCTGTTTATACAACAATAACCATCATATAATAATAATGTAACCAAAATGACCATTCAGTTTTCATTCTTTATTTCTTTTTTATATTGTTGTCGATTGTTAAATTTAACATTCACATCACTAGAAATTTTGTTTTTTTTTCTACTTAAATTTAAATTCAATTTCTCTCCCTGTGTGTTTGAAACGTAACATTGGTCAGTTATCATTATCATCATCATGATCGTGTTTGTCATTGTTATTATTATATTCCATTTTGGTGACCAATTATGACAATTTTTCTCTTCATCGTTATTCTTTTTTTCGCTAAATTGATGATCATCGTTTATAAAATGAACAAAACTATTCATCTTAAACAGGAAAATGACAACATTCCAAACAACCAAAAAAAAAGATGATTATTTTTAAACATTCGAAAATCGACACAAGCGCCACCACCATCGGATGTTTATTATTCGAATTCGAAGAAAACGCGGGAACCCAAAAAATATTCAAAGAAATGAAATCAAATGGAATTTTTTTTCATAAAAAAAAAAATTTTATTATCATTATTGTTTTGGAAAAAAAATCTTTACATAGAAACAATGAATCAATTGAAAAATACTGTAATGAAGAAGAGTATATGAGATTGAGAATAATAATTAAAAAAAAAGTTTGAAATAATAAATTAACAATTAAAGATTGTGGGAGAAAAAAAAATAGACTATATAAGTGTGAGGGGAGGTTTGTAACATTATGAGATGCATGATGATAATGATGATGATGATGAACATAGTGTATGAAACAATAAAACGAAAACTGTTGCAATGTTGCAAAAAAATGATGAGCAAAAGAAAGAACAATTTGAATTTCGGTTTTTGTGTTTTGTGTTATATAAAAAAATATTTATGAAAAAAATTATTACAGAAACGTAAACAAAGAAAAACCAAAAAAAAAATGTGATAAAAATCGATGATTATTCAATCAATCAATCATTTACATAAATATGATTGATTGAATATAAATTGTTTTCTTTTTCTTCCGTTTAGGTTTTTTAGATTTCATTTTTGGTTAGTTGTTAAGCGAACAAATGAAAAACGAAATTGGATTGAATTTTGGAACAAGAGAAATAAATGAATGGAAAAAGGTAAAAAAAACAACGGAAATGGACAAAATTGATGTTTTCTTTATCTGTTATATGTGAAAGTAAAATGAAAAAAAACCTAATGAAAAGCTTTAAAAAAAGAGAATCAACAACAATTAAGCAATTGATCCAGTACTGATTGTGTGTCTGTATTTGGTTTGATTAGATAATAATTTCTTTGGAGGGGGAAAGGAAAAAACAAATTTCTATTCAAGGAATTGAATGAAACACGATTTAGGCCGGGGTTCGGTTATATGACAAAAGAACAAAACGAATACAAAAAAAAAATAGATGAAAATGAAATGCAATCCAGAAAAAAAATGTTGTTGATAAATGTTTCTTTTTTCTTTTAGTGTGATTGGTGTGATCAGATGGATAGTAGAAAAGAAAAACTGTGTTGGATTGAAACAATTAAACAATGGAATTTATCAAGAAGAAGACAGAATGATCCATCATCAATATTATATCATGTCATAGGTGAATGTAGTATTTGTATTTCCATTACAGGAATAACTAATTAAATGTGTGAATATAACTTTGTAATCAATGTGTGTTTGTGTATTTTGTGTTAGTTTGTTTGTTATAAATGGCGATCAAAAAAGATAAAGAAAAAACAAGAAGATTTTCAAATGAGAAATGACAACACCCAAATGAAAAGAAAAATTGGTTAGCAGAAAAAAAAATATATTTGACGAAGAACATTTATAACAACAAAAAAAAGGTATAGATTAATCAAACAAGGAAGAATGAAATTTTAAAATTTTTTTTGCTTGTTTTTTTTTGATTTAGTTTATAATTTACGTTACCGTTTACGGAGGGGAAATTGGTTTTAAGCTTTCATATCACTTTGTTGTTGTTGCTTTGTTATAGTTTTTTTTGGTTGTGAAACATCAGCAATAGTAAAGGATGATAATGTTGGTGATGATGAACGATCTTCAATTGTTAATGGTCTTGATGGTGTTAATGTTATCGATCCAATTGGTATCGTTGATGTTTTTGTCTGTAAACGAAATTTATTCTGATTCTGATTCTGATGTTGATTGACTAATGCTTTTGCAATCGATGTTGGTAACGATATTGATGATGATTGTGATGATGATATTGATAATGATGATGGTGATGGTGTTTTCAATGTTTTCGATGCAATCGATGTTGATGCAGATGGCATTAATGGTTCAATAATAGCTTTAATTTTTGATGATTCGGATGCTAATTTATCATCACCATCCGTTGCAGCAATAATAGCTATTCTAAATTCTGTATTACCATTTTTATGATTATTATTATTATTATTATTATCATCAGTTGTAGCGGCAGCTGTATTCTGATTAGATGTTGCTGATGATACATATGGATCATCCATAAATGATCCTGATGATGATGATGATGGTGCTAAATAATCAGTATCCTGATGATATGATAATGATGATGATGATGATGGTGGTGATGAATATGATTGATGATTATGATGATGAGAATCGACATAAGAATTTGGCAATAATGGTCTGTTCATGGATGCCGTTTCGACAATACCACCCGAATTGCTGCTACCAAAACTATTTCCATTTCCATTATTATTTCCAACATGATTAAAAATATCATCATGAAAATGATGATTTTGATGATAATGATGTTGTTGATGTGGATGATAATGACCATCAGGACCATTATGATAATGATCCATGTGATGATGATGATGATGTGATGATAAATGTGGACGACCATAATCAAAACTATCGATTGGTTTTACTTCATTTGAAATATAAGCTTTACCAAATGATTCCGATTGATGATGTGTAATTGGTGGTTCATGTTGATGATGACGATCATGATAATGATGATGCGATGGATGGTGATAATGATGATGATGTGGAGAAGGATAATCATGCGAAGAAGAAGACGCAGAAGAAGATGGAAAAGAATTATCAATACTATATTCATTTGCTTTATATGATGATGTTGAACTTGGATAATTTCTTATTGTTGATGTAATCGGTTGAAAACTATTCGATTCTCGATACGATGATGGTGATGTATAACGATCATTATTAATACTTGAAGAATGATGATAATGATGATCATGATGTGGTGATGTAGATGATGATGTTGATGATGATGAAGAAGGTGATTGTGAATTTTCTGATCCAATCGTAACATATATGGCTCGTTGTGCAGGATCCGGATTATTATTATTATTTTTAACATTTTTTCCACTATAATTATTACGATATGATCGTAATGGTGATGATGAAGGCGCTGATGAAGCTGCATAATGATTTGATCCTGTTGTAAAATAATCATTTGTACCGGATGCAGCATAATCGCTCATATAACTACCACCACCACCGCCACCTCCGTTTCCAGAGCTGTAATCTTCACCACTGCCCATATCAGGTCCATATCCACCACCTCCCATATCCATACCACTTGCAAAACTTTCACTATATCCACTACTACTACTACCACCACCACCACCACTATAAGCCCCTGTGTTTCCACTGTATCCACCACCATTATCAAGACCATAGCTAGAATCTCCGCCATTTCCTCCTTTGCTTAATCCTCCTCCGCCTCCTCCACTGTAAGGCATTCCATATGCTGTACTTCCGCTGCTGCTGTATTCACCACCTCCACCACCTCCGCCATAGCTATCTCCACCACCACCACCACCGCCGCCATAATTATTATCATCGAATGTGACTTTATATTGACCAGGACCAACGTATCCGGTTGATGTAACTGGTTTCGAACTATGACTACCGGTTGTATAATCATGATCACTACCAGAATAACTGCCGCCATAATCTGTACCGTGAGGCATTCCATAAGAATCATCACCACCATATTCATCAATATCATAGGCATCATTACTACCTCCATACGAACCACCGTAACCATAATCCGATGATTGATATGATGATGGATAACCATATTCGTATTTAGGATAATCGTATTCTTCACGAATTTTAAATCTATGATGATGATTGTTGGTTTGATTGATTTTTTTTCATTTAAATTAATCAGTAAATTAATGGTTGATACAAAAAAAAGAAATGCAAACGAAAAACAATAGCAACAAAATACTTACTCGAACGGTATAGGAATCGGTATAGGTAGAATACCAAATTTTGGTTTCATTTTTTTCTTAGCCAATGCATACATTAACATTAATGTTTTCATTTTATCTTTACTTAACATTTTCATAATCATTTTTTTCATTGCATATGTTTGATGTACATGATGTTGTAATAATAATTGTATGATGAATATTGTTACCAAAAAAATTGCAGCTTTATGGCTGCTATTAATCCTATTTATGGTCAGCATTTTTTTTTGAAATTTTGGTTATTGCTGATTTCAAACAAACAATCAAAAAAACTATTGAATGATGGCACAACACACACACAGAATTGAATACCTCAAAGAATAAATTTTCAACAAAAAAAATCAAATTGAAACACTTGAAAATTGAGAAAAAATTGAAAATTTCAAAATCAAATCAAATTCACCGATACCGATGACATTTTGTCAACGGACATTCAACACAAAAACAAACATTCATTCAATCAAACACAGAAAATAATACAATAAACAACAAACACAAATACGATGTGAAAAAAAAATGAAAATCTAATCGAAAAAAATATTTGACTTTCGTTTAAATACCATGTCAATATTAGGATTTTAAATTTTACCTATTTTCGAAAAAGAATGATGATGATGATGATCATAGGTAGAAAAAAGATGAATAAATTTTAATTTGTGAGAAGAGCCAGTGATTCTCTCTCTCACACTCATTTTTTCCATTTCTTTTGCCTACCTTGGTTGTATATACCTTTAATTGTAAATTGACCAACTAAAAACGGTTTCATTGATAATTTTTTGTTTGGAATAAAAATTGAGAGTGATGATGATGATACAGAAAGAACCAGGCATAAGAAATAATAATAGTCAACAACAACAACGGTTATTATATAAACTTCTTCTCTAGCTTTTTTTTCTCCTTTTTCTTTTCTTTCTTTTTTGGTTTACATCATATATTCGTTGGTTTTTTAATAATAAAAATGATGCTTTGCAATTGAACCATTTTTCTACTGAAAATACTCTTCTTCTTTTTTTTCTGAAACATTTTTTTTTTTCACTATAATTTAAATGAATGATAATGATTCACATTGTTCATCTCTGTGTGTGTGTGTATTGTATCAGGTAAATGTGTGTGTGTGTTTGTCCACCATCCATGTCGATGTTGTTATTCATTTGTTATTTACAGGTTGACTGAATTAATAACGTTAGTTACTTTTTCTCATTGTAGTGGTAGTTGTTCTCGGGATGTTTATTTTTTGTTTGTTGGGGCGCCATTTTGTTGTTTCCCGAAAACAATTAACTATCAATGTGATAAGTTGATGTTATCCAATAGAATAAAGCAGGTAACAGCAAAGAAAAAAAGGTGAGAGAAACAAAGAAATACAAAAAAAAATTTCTGACCAGATAAGAAAATAACTGAAAAAGTGAGAGTTTTAATTCGTAAAAAACATCATGTGTTTTTCTGTTCAATGGGTGGATCATCCGAAAATTTTTGATGATGGATAACCGAAAACAAAACAGAAAAACTTTTTTCGTAAAACAAAAAATTCATTTTCACTCTTTTGTCCATACAAATGCGAATATTTGTAAAGACGGAAATGTTGTTGGTTGACCAATAATGAAAATGAAATTATAATCATTGTTTGATTCTCATAAATACATGATTTAAGATAATGCAGATAACAATGACAAACTTACTTTCATTTAATAATGAAAAAAACAACAAGTTGTAAACACAATTCAGTTTGAAATCCAAAAAATCAATCGATTAGAATCTAATCGGTAATAAAAATCACTAAAATTACCGAATAATTTTTTTTTGTTTTGTTTGTAAATTTAAATTGACATTCGAAATTGTCTAGACTTTGTCAAAATAGTGGCCAATTTTTTTATGTCAAAACAAGAAAGAACAGGAAAATTTCAGCTAAAAATGTAACCAAAACAACAACAACAAATGAATTTTATTGTTTTCATATCACAATATAATTGATGATGGATAAACCATAAGTCAAAATAGTCGGATTTAAAGATGAATGATTAGAATTTCAAAAAGAAAAACAAAAATTATTATCATCATCATCATGTAATCACAATATATCTCTGAATCTAAATCTGATCAAGATTCACAAGAACCATAACCAAAACTATAAAGGGAAAAAAATATTTTCGCAACAGGTGTGATATGCAGATTTCTTTTTCGGTTTTTCTTTCTTTTTTTTTTACAAAATTTCTCTGGTCATTTATAATTTCAAAATTTTTGTGTGTGTTATGGTAATATTGTTCAACCATACACGCATCTTTGTTACATAATTGCTTTTTTTCGGTTTCTCTTTTATTTTGATTTTTTTGGTGGTCATCTGGTCATCGGTGTCGGTCAGTATTGTTATCAGTACGAAACATATTTGCATCAATTTTTTTCAAGCCAGAAGTGTCAAACATCTATAGATGAACAAAATGGATTACCCTGACGGGGAAAAAACTGTTCATTGTCTTGTTTCTGTTGAAGATTATCGTGATGATTATGATTGTGATGAGAAAAGAATAACCAATGAACCATGAAGGATTCTATGCTTAATTTTTCATTCACCATAAGCAAAAATGAATTGAAATTGAAAAAATGCTTTTACCGATTTTCGGGAAAAATTTTCGTTTTTGCTTGTTTTTCCTTAAAAAAAAATTCATTTTTCAAAATCATCATCAATCCATTTTCGGTCTGCATTATCATTAAACCTGGGCGGGTTTTGGTGTAGGCAACAATTTTTTTCTGCTTTGAAAAAAAATTAAAATTACCCGAAAAAAATACCTAGTTTGAAACATTTTTTTTCTTGTCTATTTTTGTTGACGACAATAAATAAATATAAAAACTTTTTAAAGTTCTGACCATTCTGTCAAATGTGAGTGTGTGTATTTGGAATCAATCATTAAATGAAATTTTTTCTTCAAAAAAAAAATAATTAAAAATCATTTCACCATAATAAATGATTATTTACCATTATATATCATCATGATGAAAATGGTGAAATAATTTAATTATCCAGAAAAAAAAGAAAAGATTTTTTCACCAATTGAAACATAACGCCCACACACACAATCATCCTCACACACATGGTTGACTTTGGAAAATTATGTGATGAGAATAATCAATTTTCAAAAAAAAAAACAGTTTTTTTTCAAAGATTTTATCCAATTCAGAATTTACAATTCAATTCAAAATCATTCGAAATAACTTGAAGAATTGAATATCGAAATAAAGACAAACCTTAAAAATATCTTCTTTTTCTTGCATCATCATCATCATCATCATTGTTTTATTTTTTGAAAATACGGATGCAAACTAACAATTATAACAACTAACTTGTTTGTTTGTTTTCGGATTTACAAAAAGATTTGTATTACATGATAATAAATGACAAATTTTATCAGAAATTATAAAACAATGCAAAAACCGGAACTTTTATTTTGATGAATAATTAATTATTTGTTTAAAAAAACAAAATTTGATTTCTTCAAAATGATAATAACATGGGTTTAAACATTTTTTTTCAGGATTTTCCATTGTTGTTGTTAAAAATATCATTGAATCTGATTTATCGAATAATATCGATCAATCGATACAATCGATGATATCGAACAAAACGAAAACATCATCGATATTGATGATGGTCATCGATATTGAATCGGGTAACAGAAAAAAAAATATTCTCTTTTCATCAAATTTTTCATCAATTCCAATGATTTTAAAAGAAAATTGAAAACAAGTTTGTCACACACACACCTTATGTATATCGATCGGTCAAATGTAATAAATTCACACATTGACACAATACAAAGATGCTATTTTTAATTTTATTCATTCATTGGAATTTCAACATTTAACCAACCAAAAATGAAAAAAAAGCCAATTTCTTTCGCTCTCTATGACCCTTGTGGTGTTTTTGTTGTTTTTGTTGTTTGATACAAAATGATCCATATTGGTATGTTGCCCACTGTGTTCCATAGGCCTTGTGTGTGAGAAAGTGATGTTCATGGTTTTTTTTCTCGATTGTCAATCAATTTCATTGTAACGGAGCAAAAAAAAAAGAAATTATTTTTAAATTAAAAGTAAAAATTTTTTCTCTTCTCTCTTTTCTTAACTCGTTTCTACCTGATTTGATGATGATGATGATGATGATATGATCCAAAAAAAGAATGGCGGTCAATAAGTTTTTTTTTTGTTGTTCTGTTGATATGTTATCATTTTATATGACCATCATCATCATCATCATCAATCGATCAATATCGATCGATTGACTTATCATTATCATTGTCACATGTGAAGTTTTTTTTCTTGGATGGAAAAGTATTTAAAATTTTGATCATTTCGTTTTTGGCTGGTCAATTTTCTCCATCGGTTATTTTTCGATCAAATATAACGAAATAAATGGAAATGGAAAATCTCCTGAAATAAACTTTCTCTGTTTGATAACTTATCGACAAGTTTTTCTCCTATATATTTGTGATGGATCGTGTGATCTTTAATCCTTATTGATTTGATCATTCAACAAAAAAGAAAGAAAGAAAAGAATTGATGTTTCAACACAAAAAATTGCGGGTGGTTAATTTGTTTCGAACATTCAATTCGATACTATCGATATTTTTTTCCGTTAATGATTAAAATGGAACAATATGCAATATGTAGGCGAATTTACATACCAAATTTCATTTAGTGATGGACAACTGGAAATTTTTTTTTTTGATCTTAGATCAACAACCCAAATAACATTGAAAAAAAAATAACTTTGTGGTTGAAACTTTGTTCAGGTTTATTTTTTCCATCTCTTTTTTTCCAACTGATTAAAAAAAGGTAAATTTTTTACCTTTTTTTTCATTTTCATCCAATGTGATTGATGTGTGTATTTTTTTTAATACTGACGTTTGATGATTCACAATCGATTGTCGTATCGTAGTTATCAAACAAAATAATAAAACATTAATCATTGTCAACTTGGTTTTCAATTTCAACTTGGTTTTTTTTCCAATTTTAAAATCATTATCTTTGTCAGGTCAGGTATTCTCTGGTCAAACATTATGGTCATTTTTTTGTTGTTGTTTATTTAGAAAAATTCAATGTTTATTAACCTAGAGAAGCAGGTAAACAAACAAACAACGAAGAAGAAACAAAATTAACCCAGAAAATGATGATAATAATAATGTTTTTGGTCATCAAAATTTAAGTGAAATTTATTTTTTTCAATATAAAAAAAAGGTAATCAACCAAAAATCATTCAAAACACAGGACAGGAATAGATTGTTTTTTTTTTTGAAAAAAAATTGATGCAGTAAACAACAAAAAAAAAACTATTTAGAAATGATGCAGAAACCATCAATTGACAATTTTGATGCATCAATTTTCCAGAAAAAAAACTTAAATTATTCAACGAATGATTTTTTTGTTCACCTGAAATTCTCAGATTGTTAAAATAAATAAACCTTTTTTATATTTGACAAAATCAACGATAAAATCAAAAATCAATCCGTATTTGTTGTTCTTTGGTTTGTTGTTGAGATGGTTTCAGATTGGATTGGGTGAACATTTTCGCCCAACAACAACAACAACAACAATGAACCAAATATAAAAACGATGATCGATTGTCGTTGATGATGATGATGATTTGTTTTCATTTAAAGTTGGTTATGGGTGGTGTTTGTGGTTGAAAATTCCCCGATTNAACATTAATCATTGTCAACTTGGTTTTCAATTTCAACTTGGTATTTTTTTTTCCAATTTTAAAATCATTATCTTTGTCAGGTCAGGTATTCTCTGGTCAAACATTATGGTCATTTTTTTTGTTGTTGTTTATTTAGAAAAATTCAATGTTTATTAACCTAGAGAAACAGGTAACAGAAAAGAAAAGAAAAGAAACAAAATTAACCCAGAAAATGACGATAATAATAATAATGTATTTGGTCATCAAAATTTAAGTGAAATTTTTTTTTCAATATAAAAAAAAAGGTAATCAACCAACAGAAAAAACCATTCAAATCACAGGACAGTAATAGATTGTTTTTTTTTGAAAAAAATTGATGCAGTAAACAAAAAAAAAAACTATTTAAAAATGATGCAGAAACCATCAATTGACAATTTTGATGCATCAATTTTCCAAAAAAAAAAACTTAAATTATTCAACGAATCATTTTTTTTCTACTAAAATTCTCAGATTGTTAAAATAAATAAACCTTTTTTATATTTGACAAAATCAACAAACGAAAAATCAAAAATCAATCCGTATTTGTTGTTCTCTGGTTTGTTGTTGAGATGGTTTCAGATTGGATTGGGTGAACATTTTCGCCCAACAACAACAACAACAACAATGAACCAAATATAAAAACGATGATCGATTGTCGTTGATGATGATGATGATTTGTTTTCATATAAAAGTTGGTTATGGGTGGTGTTTGTGGTTGAAAATTCCCCGATTTCATTTTTTTTTGTTTCGCAATGATTCATTTGAAAATATCAATCATCATCATCATCCGATCTATTGATAATATATTTTCTGTTTGAATTGAATACGGAAAAAATTTTTGACCCAAAAAAATGATCAAAACAAATATATAACAATAACCGAATGAAGAAGAAGAAAAAAATAGAATGAAATCAAATGCAAACAAACAAACAAAAAATGTCTTTATAAAACATCTGTTTTTAGGATGTTTAAATTTCAATAAAATCTTAATATATTTTTTTTCCAATTGAATAATTAATATTTGAAAAAAAAACAACAACAACAACAACGGAAAAGGTTATCTGTTTATTATTGTTTTTTTTTTCCCGTTTCAATGATATAACATGACATGACATGATGATTAACATTGATGATTATGATGATGATGATAATGATTATGGTGATGATAAACGATAACTATGCTGAAAAATGATGAAAATTAATGAAAAACTAATATATGAAAACAATAGTATATCCGCATCATCATCATCATCATCATGAATGAATGTTTGATTGGTCGGTTGGTTGTTTGATGAGTATAAAATCATCTTGAAACTAATTTGTTTTCATTCATCATGTGGAAATTCGTTATTCGTTGATTACATCGTTTTGGAGAAGAAAAAAAAATAACATTCATTTATGAACAAATTATCAGATGAACATGAAACAACAACAACATTGATTATCAAATGGCACGCATTCTTTACCATTATCTTCTTCTTCTTCTTGTTGTTGATGATACACAGTTATAATTGTTTGTCCATATAGGAAATCAACAACGGGAAAGAAAATGATTATCATCATCGTAATCATCAAAAAAAATTATTTATTTATTTATTTATCTTCATGTTCCTTGATTATTAATCATCCTCACACATTTTGTTAATAATAACAATAACCACAACAATCGATAATAATAAAAGATTATAATTTTTCGTTATCGACAAATTAAATCTTATTTTTCTTATATAATCATCTTCATTGATAATGATTGAAACATCAGCAGTATATCGAATCAAATTTGAATAAGTAATAAATCTATCCATGTTCAATCCGTCATTATTCATTTAATATGAATATATCATTTGATAATTTGATGTTTTATTAATTTTTTCAGGTAATTTCAATTTGCAAACTTTTTTTTTGAAAAAATGCAATAAATTTTCATTTTCTTTTGTTTGACCAAAAACATATCAACATTCGATTTGATCAGATTGGATAAATTTTCAAATGAACATTCGATTTGCGCAATAGCATTGATGTATGTGCATTCTTTCTTTCTTTTTTTTGGCCAAATGATTCGAAAATTCAAAGAAAAAAGAAAAACTATCACCACCAATTTCATTTGCGAAATTACATGTTTAACAAAAAAAAAAATCTTAAATTCATTTCATAAATTGAATAATGATTGTCGTTTTTTCTTTTCATTCGATTATCAACAATCGATTGATTGAAGTGAAAGAAAAAAATCATTCAAATCATTATTTATGTACCATCATTTTCATTCAAAAATTTTGGGTAAACATTCGATAAATGGTTATATGTGGTTCGAATTCGGTGTGTGAGTAATTGGGGTACAATTATTATCATCATCAATTTTCAATTTGGTAAATAATGAAAAGGTATTGAATTTTATTTTCTATATTCACAAAATATTTGTATTCTGCTTTTTTTTTGAAAAATGATATCAAATTTTGATTTGATTGAAATTATCATTCAGTTAAAAAGATTCGAATAAAATTTAGAAATTGTGAAGAAATTGTGAATTCAAACGATGATGATGATGATGCAAAATGAAAATGATCGTCAACAACGATCATTAAGAAAAATACGAAAATCTCTCTGAAGTTAAATGAAAGCGAAAAAAAAATTTGTAATTCTTTCAACATAACCGACCAAAAAACAACAACGACAAGAAAATATTTTCCGTTGTTCATGTGTTGAATTTCTAAACTAAAAACGATCTAATTTATTGTTTGTTTGTTTGTTTGTTCCGTATCCAGGTTCCAGAACAAAACAGAAAAAACTTTCCAAGAAAACGACAGAAAAAAAATTCGGGAAAAAAAACATCTCGATTTATTATGACCAAAATGATGATGATAATGATGAAAAATATCAACAACAACAACAACAAAGTTCATCCATATTAATCGAATAAACAACAACAACAACGACATCAACGGAATATAAACGGGAAAAATAAAAAACATAAAGTTTGGCGGATTTCTCTCTCTCTCTCTTTCGCTTTTTTTTCTGGATATTCAATGGGAATGGGAGCGGTAATCGCGCCAAAAAACAACACTGTTTTTGGTTGATTTGTACGTTGTATACATTGCATTGCTTGTTTGGTCATCGTCGTCGTTGATGATCAACATCAACATCGTTGTCTCGTGATGATGATTTTTTCTGACAAAAAATGAACAACAAAATAATTTTATTATCATCCTTTTTTTTCATCTAGTTATTATTATTATTATTATAAACAAAATGATGTTTGTTTATTTGATGTCGATCGTTATTTTGGATCAGAAAAAAAACAAAAACAAGAAAACCAAAATAACAATATAACAAAACGGATTATTATCCGGAAGATAATGTTTATAAACAACAACAACAACAAGATTTTTTTTCTCCTTTTCCCTTCGTTTGATCCAATATATTTTTTTTCCTATATTATCATAATGATGATGGGCAAAATATTTGAATTTTCATAGTTCACATAATTCTTTTTTAGTTTTGTTTTTGTTTTTTTTTTACGCAGGCGACCAGGTATTTTCATTTTCAAACTTGTTCTTGTTTTCTTTTTTTTTATAAATAAAAAAGGCTCACCTGTTTTTTGTTTTAACCAGTTCGTTAGTTCATTGGTTTTCTATTGTTGTTTAGTTTCGATTGAAATGGCCAGAAAAAATCCGGTATTGAATATCGTGGATTATGGATGAAAAAAATGGGGAAAATAGATTAGAAAGGAAATCTTGTTTTTTTTAAAGATTATCCCAAATTTTAATCATCATAAAGTCAAAATAATTATTATTTCAGTATTGATTCAAGAGAGAAAAAATGAAATTCGTGATCCATAAAAAAAAACAAATTGATAAATTCCTTGAAGAAAAATTTGAGGATTTTTTTGCTAAAATTCGAATTCGAATGTTTGCATTCTTGACTTGTTTTTGTTCGCCATCTATCGTTGATCGCTGTCAGTTTTTCTTTTCAATCTAAATATTGATGTTGACCAAAAAAAAATAAAAGTCGAAATACCAGACTTATTATCATCATCAAATTTTTTTTTCATTTTATAGAACATCGGTTAACTTATTTGATTGATGATAATAATTGTGTGTGTGTGTGTGTGTGTGTTAAAAAATTGATTCAAATGAATGTTCATATGTTTTGTTCTATTGTCGTTTTTGCAGACGATGATGATGATGATGATGATGATGATATAATGACTATTTCCGTAATACGCGACAATGGCCAACAAATTTCTTTAGCTAATTCGGGCATTGTCAACATGATCATTGATAAAATAGCTACATCATTGTAATTGGATAATATATTTGTACGAATAGCCATTTCATTAGCTTTAGCCATTTCTATTTTTTGATTTCGATTGATCTAATATTTCAAACAAATCATAAATAAATAAATGATAATAATGGAAATTTTTTTTTAAAAATTATTGATCAAATGTAATCGATACAATTTATTATTATCTACCTTGGCCAGACCAATTTGTTGAATTTTTTCCATTTCTGCTATGGCCAACATTAAATGGACATTTTTTTCAGCTTTAGCTTCGATTCGAATTCGATCGGATTCATTATCGGCAGGTAATCGTACATCTGATATTAATTTTTGATTGATTCGTTCAATTTCTAATTGTTCTAATTGAATTGATTTTTGTTTTTTAATTAATTCAATTTTTTTCTCCTCTAACCGTTGAATTTGTTGAATTTTTATCGATTGTAATTCATATGCTAATTCAGTTTCCGTTTTTTGTCGATTCAATTCACAATCATATTCAAATTTTTTCACTTCATATTGTTGTTTGGCTGTTTCGATTTTTATTTTCGATATCAATGATTGATTTATTGTTTGTTGTTGACATTCAGTTTCAATAATTCTGATATCACGTTCGGATTCGATAATTTTTATTTGAGCATCTTGTTTCACTTGTGCTATTCGTGTTCGTCCTAATGAATCAAGATAATCAACATTATCATAAATATTATTGATTGTTAAACTAACAATATCGATGCCCATATTATCCAAATCTTTGGTTGCTAATTCACGAATTAAATTTGCAAATTTTATTTGATCATTACAGATTTCTTCCACTGATAATGTACCTGACAAAAAATAAAACAAAATTCGATAAACAACAAGTTAAAAACATTTGAAGTTTCTTTTCACTTACCAAGAATAGTATGAATATGACCTTCTATTGTTTTACGTAGAATAAAACGAATCTGGCTAATTGTCATACCAAGAAATTGTTCAGCTGCAAATTTTAATCGATCCAATCGATTTGTAATACGACAATGTATAATAGCTGTAACACATAACGGGACACCATAAACTGTTTGAACATTTTGACAATTTGTTTTGATTGTAAAAATTTCCAATGATAATAATTGTACATTATTGATCCACCACCATATCCAACACCAAGTACCAATTATCATACGTTTATGTTTTGAATGGCAACAACCTAAACCACCGGTTATGATTAATGCTTCATTTGGACCAACAACATGAATATTTCCCATTTTTTCTTTTTCATATCCATTCGAAATTAACATTCATTAATAAATGAATGTTTAGATCAAAATAAAATCATTTAAATTGAACTTTCTGAATCTATCATATCAACAACAACAACAACCAAATATAAACAAATCCAAAACCAAACAACAGAAACAACTGAAAAAACTGATGTTAATTTGAAATTGGAAATTATTTTTAACCACATTAATAACTTAAATTTGTAAGAAAAAAATTGCCTGCTGATTATTTACTTGTGTTTGTTTGGAATTATCATCAATAAACAAACAGAAAATAAATTTGAAAAATTAGCAAAAAATGATTGCGCAATCGTAAAACAAACAAATGGAATTTGTTTTCAACAACAAAAAAACAGATTGAATTTATTAAAGAATTATTCAAAAAAAATGGTTAGATTTCCAACAAACAAAAAAATTGATTAGTAAAATGATACTTTGCATGTTTCTGTATACATTACATTATAATGTGTTTGTATGTTTTTTTTCCATATTTTAATAATAATTTTGGTCGTTTATATTTATGATCTATCATAATCATCATCATTGTATAGAGAGTGTGTTTGATTTGTTTTTTATTATCATTATCATTATGTGGATAATCATTTTATTTTCCCTTTTCTTCCGGTTCTGATGATGATGATGGTCACATACAGAAAATTTGAAATGCAATATACAAACAAAGTGCGAAAAAAACAATATCAGTCAATCAGTTACAATCAATAACAATAAAAAAAATGAATAAAAATTGATGATTATTATTATTATGGACCATATAATGCATCATTACGTAAACGACGCATTACAGCACAATATGTATATGAACAAATAATAACACCGATCCATGTTAGATATGTACCAATATTACCAAAATTCCAATAAATTTCAATAATTAAATATAATAAACTTAATGTTGCAAATATTAATGTTAAATAAAAATAATAACAACATATAGTGAATAGGCCAATAATTGTTAATAAAATTGTTATTGTACAATGTATACGATAATTATTATTAGCTAACATATCTTTATCAAAATATTTTGGAAATAATAATGGTAATATTGTCATTATAATAATAAATAATAATGTCAATATTAATGCCCAACGTATGATGGCAAACCATGAACTTAATTTTACCATTTCTTTATCTTTTCTGTTGAATTATATAACAAACACTGTCCTCTCTATATGTATCTCTTCGTTTTGTTTCGTTTGTTTGTTTGTTGTCAATTTTGAAAATGTCTTGAAACTGTCTATGTGTTGATTAGGTTAATAAGTGTTTGTTTGTTTGTGTGGGTGGGTGTGTATGCAAATGAATAAGAAAAATGCTTGCTGTTTTTTTTCGATGAAACAAACAAAACGTCACATGTTCGTAAAATATCACAGAATAAACACACGTGTGTCAATCATTATCACAGAAAAATTAGAATAACATTGATGAAACATTTTTTTTCATTCTATGTCAATTGTCATTTATAATTAACAAAACCGAAATGGTATGGAAAAACGAAATTAATTAGAACAGAATTTGTTTCAATTTGTTTCAATTTTGAATACAAGACACATGGATAAAAATAGGCGAAAAGCGAAAAATTCTTATTTTTTCCCGAAATATCGATAATGACATTTGCCACAATTTTAACCACGAACAACAACAAAAAAACGTTTTAAATTTCGTTCATCAAATTTCATTGAATTTTTCGTAGAATAAACTTTTTTTCAATGAAAAAAAACAAAACAACATTGCAAACTCACACAAAATGATGATGAAAAAAGAAACAACAACGAAAGATAAGTTTTTTTTGAAAATTATTTCAAGTTTGTATCCGTATTACGCTCACACACACATACACAATGAATATGCGCTCTGATTCTTTCAAAATGAAATGAAGATTCTATTTTTACCCACAAATTGTTTATATACAAAAGGAATTGGTTGGCAAAAAAAAATATATAAAAGTTCAATGTTTGAAACCTAGTATACTGTAATTGTAAGTCTTTAACCAAAAGAAAAAAAAAATATGTTTACATCCCACCCATCCAGCCACATCAAGAACAACAAGGAAGAAGAATTGCGAGAAGAAAAAAAACAACAAATTAAATTAGGAAAAGAAAAAAAAGAATTTATTCTTTTAAAAAAGTATTTGGCGGTTGTTTAGGCAAATTTTCGGTTTGTAAAATTAGGTTTGCATAACCAGAAAAAAAGATGCGTCAAGCGTAAACCGAAATATGACATAATCAAATGATGATGATTAAATTGAAAGAAAAAATGGATGGGAGGAAACCAAAAAAAAAATATAATTAGATTTTTGCTTTTTGGTATTCAAAATTCATAATGAATTTGCTTGTGTGTGACAAGAATATTTTTAACGAAGTTGTTCTGTTTAATAAAAAGCAGTTACTTTCAATCGATGATTGAAATCTTGATGCAAAACATTTGAATGATATATTTTTTTTTATCATCACCATCATCATTCATTATATGTAGGTGTATGATGAATTGTTCAATATATCTTTGTGTTCAAGATTCACACATTTATATCTTCACCCCCGTATATGAATAAAAAACAACAACAACAACCATATACGTCAGAGATGTGAAAAACAATTATATAAAGATGTAACCATAACCATGCATGTATAAATAGCATATAATATATTCTTTCATGTTACATAATAACAAACCATAACGGTGTTATATGCCATTATTATGATGATGATGATGAACATCGATCGATGCAACAAGTTTTTTTTGGAAAAATATTTTTTGTTTTTTTTTAGATAGATTTTGCCTTGTTTTGGTTTGGTTTATTTACGCATCATTGAAAGAAGCAGAAAACAACAACAAAAAAAAATCCTGATCGTCATCTTTTTTTTGTTGTTGTTGTTGATTTACTAATTATGTTGTAATTCATCTTGTCATTTAAGAATTTTTATATTTGTTTGTTTGTTTCGTCATCATCTTTTTACATCATCATCATCAAATTTTGTATGAAATTTTCTTTCAAATTTCCAATATTTTCAAATGATATCCGCGGTAAATGTTTTTTTAAATGTTTGTATACAAATGACCATCATTATTCATTTATATCATTAGTCATTAGACCTTGGATCCAAAGAAATGTTTTGTTCCTGTTTCTTGGTACAGGAAGAATAATAATTATTTTTGTTTGGCTTTCCTCCCTTCCTGAATCAACGGATATTCACACATTTATTAAATATAGAACCATAATGGAAATGTGACATTTTTTTTTTTGTTTCTTTCTGTAACTATTATCATTTAAACATTGGTAACATTTGGTCAAAATCATCCCATTTTTTCGTCTGTTGATCCTGTGTGTGTGTTTATGCGATTTAATGGCAAAATTCTCAGGAAAAATTTTTTTTATTTGAAAAAATATAAATTGGTTTCACAGGATCAAATATTGGGTGACAATTGCTCTGGTTTTTTTTTGTTCTGGCTTCTCTTCATTTCTCAAGCAATTGAGAAATGAAAAAAAAATAATGTCATCAGAAATACTTCTATGGATGGATGTATCAAACATACGCATACACCCATTTGCCTTTTTGGTTTTTTGGTTTTTATATTCTCATCATCATATATTTTCTAGGTCGAATGAGTTCTGTTTCATTTTTTTTTCTCTCTCGTCGTCATTATTTCAATTTTTTTTATTATCCTTGTTCCTGGAAATTTGTAAATCAACAACAGATCAAAATTTTTGATTATAATGTGTGTGTGTGTGATGCAAGCGCGTGCTCGAATTTTTGATCCGATATTATTATTTTTTATGTTTGTTTGGCAAGTTTTTTGATACAAAATTTTTATGATATTCTCTTCTCTCTCTCTCCCTCTCTCGCTACGAGTGCGTGTGTGTGTGAAATATTGTAATAAATTTCGGATTATAATCTATCGTTTTTGTTTCTTTTGGTTTCGATTTCAGTCATATAATATTGAAAATTCTATGCAATTCTGTATGTGCATAAGAATCTATTGAAATTGATACATCAAAATGAAAAAAAAATATTCATCAACAATGTTTGAATATTTTTTCTCTTCCACTCCAAGCATATCGCATCATCTATTCCGTGTAAGTTAACATTTGTAGTTTTTTCTGCTGTTAACATTTTCTTTTTTCAATTCATTTCATTTCATCAATTTATCAAATATGATTTCTTTTTCTTTTTTTTGCCATGATTTCATCGTTTTTTTTCTGTGAATCAATCGAATATATCAAACATTGTCTGGTTTTGATGATAATGTTGATGATAGTTACTTTGAATGATGTTTTTGTCAATCAAAAAAAAAACGAAACATCAACGACAATTTAACAAGAGAATCTTTTTGTTAATCAATATCTTTCATTTTTTTGTTTGTTATTAAATGATTTGATGTGAACATTGAAATTTTTTTCCCGTTTTTTTTCAATTCAATTTTTTCAATATAATGTGTTCGTCTTGTTTGTTTCGTAAAAATGTATTTAGTTTTTCTAATCTCAAAAATATTCATTCGATTAAATGAATAAAATGATGATGATTGATTCGATAATGTTTGTCTATCTTTTTTCTTTCTCTCTTTTTTTTCTTTCTCAAACGCATAGGATCATTGAAGACATCCGAGGGAAAAAAATAAATTGAAATGGATCGATCTATCGATCGATTGATTGATTAATCAATCCTTAAGGAAAAAAATACTAAAGAAATTCATTTTCTTCATCATTGTCAATTGCATCGTTTTGAACAACCAAATTTGATTGATGTATGAAATGTTGATCGATCCATCCATCGATTGATTTGATTTATAGCCTAAACTGATTCGATTTCAATCGCTGACCTCTTCATCTTCATCATCATCGAAATCTATCAGCAAAATTTATACACACATTCACCGCATTCATTACATTTGTATCTACCTCGCTTTTCTTTTTTCCCTTTCGGATGTCATTTGTACTCTAATTTTTTTTCCTCTCTTCTCTTTTTCATTCACTTGGCATTGACCACATTTGTCTCCTTGTATGTGGGTGTGTTGGAACACATTTTCAAAAAATTTTTTTCCCCTAAAATTTTCTCTTTTTTTTGGATGTACTTTTAAGGTATGTTTGTTGTTGTTTTCAAAAACAATATTTTTATTAATTTTTTTTTGTTGAAATTTTTAAAATCCAGTTTTAAAGTCAAAATTCTTCGTTTGTGTGCATGTAAACACACGGAAAATTAAAAAAAATGTGGATCAAATTTCGATTAAAATTGACAATTCTTTGGCAATCATTCTTTTCATTTCATTTTACATTAGTCAAATTGTTATTATCATCATTTTATTTATCATTATCAAATTATTTAGTGATTTTATTGATTTTTTTGTTGTCCACTTTGATGATGTTCAATGAATTGGATGCAAATCTGATAACAACAACAACAATAACAGCAATAACAACAAAAATTGTACGAATTGAAGAGAAAAATATAACTGCATATAATAATCGAAATTTAACAATATTTTGTCATGCAAATATTGAACATTTAAATGATAATTTATCGTCAAATTTTACGACAAATGCTCGTGTTGTGTTAACATTTATGAATAAACCAAGAGGTTTAAAGCCATTACATCAGATGCAAAGTTTTCTACATTGTCATGATCCTTATCGTAAACATTGTTATGGTCAATTTGATTTAGATTTATCCTGTCTCGAAGATCAAATGGATAACAATTTGATTAAACAACAACAAAATTATGAAGTTGAAGCCGCTTGTCAAGTTGATGATGTAAATATTTGTTCGGCTAGATGGATGCATTCACGGCCATTTGATTGTTTTGATATGGCCAATGTTTTCGTAATTAATGGTATGATTTTAATGGTAAATTTTAAATTTAATTTAATTTTTTTTCTTTGTTCCAAAATAGCACCAAAATTAAGTGAAAAATGTCTTTATATTTCGGAAAATCGTACCGCTGAATGTGGTATAAATCAATATTGTAATACTGATTATGGTATTTGTTTATGTCGAAAATCATATATTGCATCAAATAAACAATGTATTCCACTTGAACAAGGTGATGAATTATTAACATTAATTGTAAATGATTCGAATATAACTTCAACATTTGTTAATGATTTGGCATTATCACCGGAAGATTTTGATGATGATGATGATGATAATGGTCGATTAAAATTATCCAAATCAACATTACGTGCAATGGTCATATTTTTATTGATTATTGCAATAATTTTATGCATTGCATTGGCCATCGTTATCATATGGAGGTATGAATGAATGGATTGATTTTCTGTTTGTTTTTTTGTTTTAAATTTCAATAAAATTTTAATATTGAAATTTTGTTTTTTTTTCTTCATCAAAATTCACTTCCTGCCTTTTTTTCACTAACTCTAACTAACTCTGTATAATCATCATCCATAAATCACTATTCATTGTTAATGTCAATAATAATAATAACCGGAACCAAAAAAAAACACATCCAGATTCGATACATTATTTCCTTCATCACATCGATCATCATAACCCATGTATTCACTAAAAAAAATTTGTCTTTCGTGTTTGTTCGCTTGCTTCGATCTCATATTGCTTTTTGTTTTGAAAATTTTAATTTTTAATTTTAATTTTAATCACGCACATTCTATTTTTTCAATCAATAGCCGACATTATCGCCGTTTATTGAAAAATGGTGGCCGTTCATCTTCCTCATGATGATTAGTCAGAAAAATAACCTTTGTTAACCGAAATGTGGGTTCCAACGCAAACATATGTCTAATTTGTTTTTCTCTCAAATCCTTTCGGACCATTTTATTTGATTTGATTTTTATTATTATTATTAGTATATTTTGTATTTGGATTTTTTTTGTCACTGTTATTTTTATTCTGTTGTAATTCTTGTATTATACATTATGTTGAATAAAATAAAAAAATTTTCTGTTTTCATTCAATGATTTGGTTCACAATATTCACTTAATTCATTTATATCATTGTCATGACGATAATCATGAATATCGACAGCAGCTGACATCGATACCGATGGTGGCGGTGTTGGAAAACGTTTTGGTAATGTATGATGTTGTTGTTGTTGTTGATGATTGTCACTACCACCACCACCACCACTTTGATTATGATTTTTATTGTTTTTCGGTGGCAAAAATGTTACCATCTGTGTACCATTTGGATCTTGTTTTTGTTGTTGTTGTTGTTGGTGATCGATAATATTTTCTTCATTATTATCAACCTGTCTCAAATCGGCTGGTAATGAATCGAGCCTGAAATTTTGTTTGGTAGGTAGGAATATGATCATTTTCAAAATAAAAAAAAAATTGCTTCAAACACTTACGTTACATAATTTATAGACGTATGACTTTTTTGTCGTTTGATCCATAAACGATCATTATTTTTTTCCTGATGATTTTGTTGTTTTTGTGAAATTTTGCCATCAGAATTATTTTGAAATTTTTTCCGATATTCTTTTCGTATGGTTAATGTTTGTTGTACAATATAGATAATCAATACAGTTAGGACAAGAATTATCGATAAAAGAATTATTGAGAATTGTATATAGATATCATTGAATAATGTTGCCATTTTTTTCTCTTTTCACTTGTTGATTTAAAAAAAATGATTCTTCTTCGTTATTCAATGATGAGTTTGGTCATAATTTTATCATCATCATATGAAAATTATTTGAAATGAAAATGCTTTTCGATGATCAATGATTTCTTTTCATTCACATCATTTTTTCCGTTATTTTATCTTTCTTTTTCGGATTGATTAATTTTTCCTTCGATACAAATTTTGAATTGATAAAAGTTTTTTTTGGTTGCAATCATAGTGAACAACAGATAAATAACGCCCAAAATACAAATGTTAACGGCAAAACAATGTTTCAGTTTTTGTTTCTCGATTTACAAAAATTCAAACATAATGTGTTAAAATGAAGATGAATACAGCAACATATGTTAATGCAAGCTAGGATTTTATTTGAAAAAAAAAATTCAAAGAATTTATTTAACTGAAAGGAAAAAATTTCACTTACATTGAATATAAGTGCATTTGTAATGGATCCTAAAATGCTTACAAATGGACCATATTTTGGTCCCCATGTTAAACGTTGAAATTTATCCTCAATCTTTAATTTTGATTTCAATGCATAAAAATCAATTTTTTGTTGTTGATCATTTTGAATTTTTATACAATTAATCGATTGTATAATTGGTATTAGATAATATTTTGCTTCATTCAATACTTTAGTCAATTTAGCTAAACGAAATAATAATCCCAATGTAATGATTGAATGTAGAACAATAGCTGTTTGTGTCATAATTATATGTAACCAATTTAAATCTTTTACTAATAATGCCGAAACACAGATCACATTAAACGGAATACTAATAAGTAAATAACAAAGTAATGCATTTCCCCATAATACATTATAGGAAAAAATATTAATATTACAAGCCAGACTATGTCGATAATAAATTTTATCAATTTTTTCAAGTAATCTTTTCGACATAACAATTTGATCGTTAGATTTTTCATTAATTAGTCGACAAATTGTTACAATTCTTGATAATTTTCTATTCAATTGTCCAACTATTCTATTTTGTAATAATGAATTAATTGAACCAAGAATTGTAAAAAATATTCCGCTTTGTATTGCAGTATATGCCATATTTATAAATAAAATTGAATCCATTGCTAATAATAAATGAATGATAATCTTTTTAAAATTAAATTCCATTTCATATGTATAAATATGATTATAATCATAACTGATTGCCAAACATAATGGAACTTAACATAATAATATTGATTATAAATTGTTTGTCTCATTTTTAATTCATAATAACTTACAGAATAAAATTTGCATATAAAATACAATTAAATCAGCTTTATACATAATTCGAATGATTTCTAAACGATCATCTAAACCAATATATTGTTTTATGCCTAATGGTTTAATATGTTGCCATTTTTTCATATTTAATTGAAAATCAATTTTATGAATCGATATCGATAATCTTGTCCATAGCCAACATATTGGTTGAAATAGTAATGTAGGCAAAAATTTTCTTACCAGTTCGAATGAATGAATATTTATTTCATAATTTTCATCGAAAATTTTTTTCATTTCTGATCTATTTAAACAACATTGATTATATTGTTGTATATTAATAACAATCAATTGATATGATGACCAAAATATTTTTTTTATTTTGATTGAAGATAATAAGAATATAATACGTCCTAATATACCGAATATAGCAAGCATAAATACAGCCATCAAATAATGACGATATAACATTGAATTTTTATAAATAGAATATCTAAATAATGGCTCAATATGATGATAATGAATAAATAATTCAATATTCGTATAAATACTGATGAATGTTATTATCATTCTTATAGCAAATATTAACATAATAAAGATTTCAAATTGATGTTTTAAATGATACCATCGTTGATGATGACATTCAACAATATCTTTTAATTGATAATAAAAAAAATTTCTTATTCTCCAAAGCATTTTGCTACAAAAATATCAAATATTAATGTGAATTTTTCAAAAACCTTTATCAAAATTTCTTCAAAAGAAAAAACTGAATTGAAAAATAATTTTTTGTTTTTTACGTTTGATGATTATCACTAAACACCCACACACGTACACTAGACAATCATATTAAATAGAATTCAATTTTTTTTCTGATTTTTTGAATGGGTAGAACTTTTTTTTTCTTAAAAATTTGTGTAAATCTATAATTGTGGTAATGTTAATAGCTGACGGTTGTTATGGTTTTCTCATAATTTTCCAAAAAAAAAATTATCGATTTCAGAAAAAAAAAGTACAAATGAATTGTTTTTAAATGATAATTTTTTTTGAAATTTTGTTTTCTTAATTTCTTATCGATTTTTTCAAATTGAAGCCGGAAAGAAATGAATAAAATATTTTTATTCATGAAATGTGTGATTTTTTTATTTGGCCATTGAACAGCTCATAAATGAGCTAAACTTTAATGTAAATTAAAATCAATTTTAAAAAAATTTGAAAATAAATATGTGAAATTGTAATCGATTGAACATCATGTGAAATTAATTTTTTTTTCGAAATAAAAATCCACATTAAAATATGCAGATTTTAAATAAAAACAAATTGATTCTTTTCACAATCCTTGTTCACCATCACCACTAAGACGTACGGATGTTCGAACTTCATTAGCATTTCCGTTGGCAACCATTGGAACCACATGAATACGAATATCAGCCTGATGTTGTGGTGGTGATTGTGGTTGCTGTTCTTCATTACGTTGATCATTGCCACCATCATTATCATCATCATCTTCGTCTTCATCACTGCTACTGCTCACATCATGACCATTTCGTTGATTTTGATCATTAATGTGTGATGGTTTACCAGTATCGTTATTATCATCCGATTTTTTAGATTCATTTTTTCCATTCGATGAATCTGCCAATGATGATGATAATGATTTAGACCTATCCAAATTAATTTTTTGAAGAAATGATTTATGATCATTAGAAACTGATAAATTTGATCGACTTTTATCGATTTCATCTACAGCCAAATTTCCATTACTCAATTTATCATGGTTTTTATATGAAGAATCGATAACAGTTTTTGATGAATTTTCGTCCGAATTTTCTCCATTTGTCATTGATGATGGCATTTTATTCGGTTTCTTATTAATTACGAATGTATCGGTAGAGGAATCGTTCCCAGTAATTGGAGGACGATTCGAAGTTTTTTGTTGTGACGACGATGAAGTTGATGGTGATGATGACAATGTGGACAACATTATTGGTAATTTTAATGGTTTGAATGGTGGTGGTTGTGGTTCTGTTGCTGAACGACCTTCAGCCGGCATTAATGGACGGATAATTTCTGAATTTGTTGTTTTTGAATTATTTTTTAAAATTTCATTTTTTCTTTGTCCATTATCACCAACAATAAAATCGGTGGATGATGAAGAAGATGATTGTTGATAAATATGATGAAAATTAGTGGATTCATCTTGATTTGAACGATTTTGAATGGTTTCGTCATCATCATCTTCATCGCTATCATCATTAGGATCAGCATAACCAACATCTAGATCACATTCACAGGCATCTTCACGTAAATTTGGCAAATTAGCCGGATCAATATTGCTAGTTTTTTTACGTTTCAATTCATTCAAATTTGAACCATCATTATTTGAATGTACCAATTTTTCTACCATTGAAATTAACTTTGATAATTTTCTTTCATTCATATCAGCATTGTTGGTACGATTTCGAAGATGTTGATTATCAACATTTGAATTATTTAGACGTTGATTTTGTTGTGAATGAAGACGATGATAATGATGATGAGGTGATAAATATGGTGATGTATTAATCAAATTATTTTTCAATTGATTCTTACATCTATTATTATCATTATTGTGGCTACTACTGTGACCGAAAATTAGATTTGAATCGGTAGTAAAACCAGCAATCGAATGTGAACGAGAATTTTTATTACAAACACTTTGACAAAGATGATTACAGGCAACATTGCCATTTGTCGTTTGAAAATTTTCACGATTCGCAAATAGTGGATATTGATTGCTTGGCTGTTGTTGTGATGATGATAAGTTTGTCGATGTTTGTAATTTATTCTGAAATGATTGACTACGAAAATTATCCAAGAAATTATTTGCACGTACACCAGGTACGGTTTGATTATTCAATGTATGATTAATAATCGAAGGCGAAGATGGCGGACAATCGATTTGATCAACCAAATTATTCGATTCATTCACTGTAGCTGCAGCTGATTGATTTGTTGATGATTGTTGTAATCGAAGCCATTCCTGTTGACATTCGATCCATGCCATTATCAATTGATGTTGTTGATTAATTTGATAATTTTGCAACATTAACAGCTGATACACTTGTTGATTGATTTGTTTGAAATAATTGTTATCGAATGGTGATGATGTATCAACAATAAAATTAGCACCCTGATTTGATGAAGAATCAATTGTTTCCAATGGATTTGAATGAATTTGTTGCGAAAAATTATTGATTAAATTGAATTGTTCATCTAATGGATTGTTTGGTACCGATTGAAAACGGCTATAGCCGTGACGAAAATTATTACAATTATTAAACTGTTTTTGGCCTTGTTGATTTTTATTAATTATTGTTTCGTCAATATTTTGTCTGTTATTATTGTTGAATCGATAGGATGATGATGTCGATGGATTCGAAGTACTAGTTGATGGTAAATAAAAATTGAAATTTGATGTTTTATTCAGTTTCACATCATTGTTTGTAGATGTTTGTAATGGTGATGGACGATGATTATTATTATTCGTCGATTGAAACGATACTTTTTCTCTAGTTGAAATATCCGAATCATTTAAAGTTCTTCGATTATTATTAATATTATTATTGTTAAAAATCGTTGATCTTTGATGATCTTCAGGCTGTTGCGGCTGTTGAATATTTGATGTTGGAGAGGATTTGAGTAATTTTTTAAATGAATCCATTAGATCAACAATTCGATTAACATAAAATTCTTGCTGTTGTATCTGCTGTTGTTGTGGCTGTGGATTTTGAGCATTACGATTTAAAATTTTTTTAGTACGATTTTGATTATTGTTATTGGTATTGATATTGGCCATATTTATTTGATGATGACCAATATTATCGTTAGAATTCATTGTGGAAGATACAATATTACCACTAAAAAATGGAATATTCTGATGATGTTCATTTTCATTGTTATTATCATTATTTTGATTATCATCTAAATCATCAACACTATTATCATTATTCGTGTTCATTTCCATTGATAGTCGTTGTGGATTTTGATGATGAACAATAGCGGTATTTGATGTTGTTGAATCTGGTCCTTTAGACTGTGTAATAGGTATTGATATAAAACGTATCATTCGATCCTCTTCACTACCATCAGCTTCATCACGCCAATTATTATTGGTAAGCGAATTGTTCATATTTGACATTGTTTCATTCATCATCATCATTGATTGTGGACAGAATGTTGACGGTTGTTGTGGTTGATGAAACGAAAGATTTTTAGATAAATTTCTTGAATCACCTTGATGAAATATCGTATGATTATGAGGATAATGATTGTTATTATTATACATTATTGATGACATGCGATTATTATTAGTCAAATCTGTAGCCGTGTTAGTTGTGGATGTTGTGGTCAATAACGGTAAAATCATTGGTGATGACAACGTTGATGTTGCCGATGATGATTGATTATTTTTCATCATTAACATCTTCATGTTTGCCATCATTGATGATGACGATGATGATGATGTCGACGTAGATGATGATGACGACGATGTACTTGTATTATTATTAACATTGATGATGCTTGAAACAGGAGCCATTGTAGAAGCAACAGTTACTGAAGATGATGATGATAATGATGGAGATTCAACACAAACAACATTATTTTCATCAACAGAATTGCTATTGTTGATATTATTTTCTCGTTGTTGATGATTGGTGGTTGTGTGAATGATACAATTACCATTGTTAATAGGATTTTGATTAGGATTCTGTTGATTATTCAATCTTTCATTAATGCTAAATTTTGTCATATTTGATGAAAATTTTCCAACTGAATATTTTATTCTTTATGAAATAAATTAATTTTTTTCACAGGATTAAAAAAAATTGAAAGAAAAAACAATAACAAAACAAAAATCGATCGATGAGACAAAGAATTTACATTGGATTTCCTGTTCATATAGGACGTTTTTCGGATATAATGTATTCGATTTTTCATTAATAAATTGGATTCGAGGAAAAACAGCTGGCATAAAACAATTCAATGACAATTTTTATCATTGAAATCGAAAAATTAAAGGACAAAATTTTAATATTGTAAACAATAAAAATATGTTCTTTTTAATCGTTCAATCGAATACATGATTTCTATTTCTTTAAATCTTTTATATGATTTGGCTTTTCTTTTTGCTATCCATTTAATCATAAATTGGTTCATTCATTCATAATCTTATCATTGGTGAGTAAATCAGGAATTGTTGTTTTTTTCTCTACATTTCATTCATGTTTCCTTTTTGACTTTGTTGCTATGGATAAATTTTCGTTATGGTTTCATGATGGTAAAGATTATGATGTCTTCTTCAAATGAATTTTTCAGTTCATTAAAATAAATTCTTGAAAATATATTTAGCACAAACTAAAACGTAAAAAAATGTTGACCAGATTATTTCTGGCTACTAATTGTCGTACTGTTGGTGGTTTTTCACGTTCAGGAAGGAAATTTAGCCACTTGACATTGAATTCGACCATCACATCATCATCAACATTTTCTGATTTATCACGTTTCTTCATACGTCATCATAATTATTTATTACTTAACCACCGACAATGTTATCGACTGCCATTGAAATTGAATCATCAATTAAAAAATATATTCCATACAACTGCACATCATAATCAGTTGAATCGTTCATGGGGTCGATGGCCGAATTTCCAACATTCAAAACAAAATTCAATTCTTAGCCGATCACGAACATTAAATGATGATGATCTACTTTCGAAAAACACTTTCGATCAACAACAACGACGACAATGGCATCCAGGCCATGGTACAACTGAAATACAAAAATTCAAAGTCAATGGTGAGGTTGGTGGTTGGCAGATAGTCAAACAAATGCTTAGTTATACATGGCCAAAAGATCGTCCAGATATTCGTAATCGTGTAATAATGGCACTTGGATTGTTGGTTTCAGCTAAAGCTGTCAGCATAAGCGTACCGTTTATATTTAAACATGGTATTGATCATCTTAATCAACATACTGGAAATATGTTGGCCATGACTGACCCGACAAATACGGTTATTACGACAGGTGTTGCATTGATGATTGCTTATGGTGTGGCTCGTGCTGGTTCATCATTTTTCAATGAAGCTCGTAATGCAGTTTTTGCAAAAGTTGCACATGATTCTATTCGTCGTGTTGCAAATCAAGTGTTCACTCATCTACATAAAATGGATCTTGATTTTCATTTGAATCGAAATACCGGTGCATTATCAAAAACAATAGATCGCGGTACACGTGGTATCAATTTTGCCTTATCCGCATTAGTTTTCAATGTCTTTCCAACCTTATTAGAAGTTTCACTTGTATCAATGTTGTTTTATTTCAAATTTGGTCCCGAATATGTAGCCGTAACGCTTGGTTGTATTGCAACGTATGCATTGTTCACATTGACAGTTACATCTTGGCGTACAAAAATTCGTATAGAAATGAACAAAACAGAAAATGAAGCAGGCGCCAGAGCTGTCGATTCATTGATCAATTATGAAACGGTTAAATATTTTAATAATGAAAAATATGAATCGGATGAATATCAAAAATTATTGAAAAAATATACTGATACATCGATACGTACGACTACTAGTTTGGCATTTTTAAATTTTGGCCAAAATGCAATATTCTCTGCTAGTCTAGCTACCATTATGATATTAGCCACACGTGGTATTGTTGCCGGTGAAATGACTGTTGGTGATCTAGTAATGGTTAATGGACTTTTATTTCAATTATCAATGCCATTAAATTTTCTTGGATCTGTTTATCGAGAAATTCGACAATCACTGATCGATATGCAAGCAATGTTTAGTTTATTAAAATTAGAACCGAAAGTTAGAAACAAACCAGATGCTGTACCGTTGATCATTTCACCAAAGAATGCATTCATCAAAGTTGAGGATGTTTATTTTGAATATAATCAAAATTCCCCTATTCTTAATGGTCTTAGCTTTGAAGTACCGACTGGAAAAAAGATTGCTTTAGTTGGTGGATCTGGTTCAGGAAAAAGTACTATTGTTCGATTATTATATAGATTTTTTGATCCACAAAAAGGTCGTGTATTGATCAATGGCCGTGATATTCGTGATTATGATCTTGAAAGTCTAAGAAAAGCAATTGCAATCGTACCACAAGATACAGTTCTATTCAATAATAGCATTTATTTTAACATAAATTATGGAAATCTTAATTGTACTGAACAACAGGTATATCAAGCAGCTAAAATGTCTCATCTACATGATTCAATTCTTCGTTGGAAAAATGGTTACCAAACAAATGTTGGTGAACGTGGTTTAAAATTAAGTGGTGGTGAAAAACAACGTGTTGCTATTGCTCGTTCCATATTAAAAAATGCACCGATTCTAGCATTTGATGAGGCAACAAGTTCATTAGATTCAATAACTGAACAAAACATAATGAATGCTATTAAAATTGCTGCTGAAAATCGTACATCGGTATTTATTGCACATCGATTGTCGACAGTTGTCGATGCTGATACTATTTATGTGATGGAAAATGGTAGTGTAAAAGAAAGTGGTGATCATTATTCATTAGTTGTTAAACCTGGATCATTGTATGCATCATTATGGGAAAAACAACATTTTCATGATCGTGAAATTTTTCAACAACAACAGCAACAACAACAACGTGATGCAAATCTAAGCGAATCGGACATTTAAAAAGTGATGAAACGTTATGTAAATAGAATTTTTATTTATATTGAATTTGTTAAAAAACAAATTGATTTGAAATATTCATAGCAAGAATTAAAAAAAAACTATTTTTTTTTTATTCAGGATTTGGGTTTTTTTTTGTTTTTAGAAATATCATTACAAAAATTGATCGTTCATTCAGATGGTAAATTGTTTATTTTATTTTTTCGCCTACAATATACAATCAGGTATGTGGTAAGTAGTTTTTGCTTGGGTGTGTGTGTGTGTGTGTGTATGCATCTGTGTTGATTTGATAATGGTCAAATTGTATAAATCGATTAATTTAACAACAAAACAATCGAAACGTAACATAAACGATGATGACAAAACCAAACGGATTGAATAAAATGAAAAAAAATTTTTGATCGAAAATACAGAATTTGAACAACAAGAATTATGTTTGTGTTTGGGTGTTTGTAAAATGATAATTTCTAATACTACACAATGGATATGAAAGTGAAAGATGGAAAAAATGTATCGAAAAAGATTTGAGAGAGGGGGGTATAGTTTTTTTTTGTTAGTATTCATTTATTTAGTAGAAAAAAAATTTGGAATGAAAATTATTATTTTATGAATAAACGTGTGCGTGTGTGTATGGTTGTGTTGAAAATGTTTCAAACAGATTTTAAAATGAATTATGTTGTTGATAAATTTGATTGAATCCCATGGATAGATGTGAAACATACAAAAATGATTTCAATTTAAAAAAAAATGAAAAAAAAATTATTGATCAAAAATGAAATTCGAGAAAATGTAACTTAAAGATAGAGAAGAGATCGTTCCAGATTAATTGATTGCTCGAATAATATTCAGGTGTTTAACAATAATGATTTAATTGTTGTTGTTGATTGATTTTGTTTCTATCGTCTAACATGACCATTTGAATTGTTACCACTATTATTATTTTTATTACCGGATTTATTTTCCAAATTATTTTTTTCTTGTTGCTGTTTTTGTTTCTCTAATTCTGCCATAGATTTTTTAGTCAACAATTCCAATTCGGCTACAATAGGAAAATGATCTGATGGTATATAATGATGTGGACATCCAGGTATACGATGTTTACTAAACCATTTAGTATCTAATGGACCAAGAACACCTAGGACTGAGAAAAGTCTCTGTGAACAAAATATGTAGTCGATGACACCACGAAAATCGAATCTGTTGACCAAATTTTGATGAGATTATATTAAGTCAAAAATGTAAAACTAACTTACGTATAGTTTGTGAATGGTAAAACACCATCAGCATATGCTTTGACAATATCGAATGGATGTGTGTATTCTTTTTCATTTTGATCAACTACTGGACAAACTTTCCGTAGGCATAGTTTGTAGGCTAATTTTTTAAAATCTGGATGCTCGACAGAAATTCGACCACGTGATAGATATTCAACAACACCAGAATCCGGTAATGAATTAAAATCTCCACATATAATCAATGGTATCGAATTTGGATCCACTTGTTTTTCAGTATTGGTGCTCAAATTAAACATGGTAGCCGATTGATCAATAAATTTTTGCAATTCACGCATCATCAACATTGTTTGAATTAATTTAACATCACAATATTCAGGATCCCAATGGATATGAGCTGTACAAACGACCAATGGTTGACTTTCGAATGGTTGCATATTTTCAAATTCGGATGATTTTTCGGACACATCTTGAATCATTTAATAAATAAATCAATTAACAAAGATAAAATTAAAAAAATAATTAAAACAAACCGATTTCCACTTTTCTGGTTTTTAACAAGGCTACTAAACCAATATTATCTTTTGGCATCACCCGATTAAGCATCTCTTCGGATCCTTCGCCATCAGCTGTCTGCGCGGCTAAAAATGTGAATTCCATTAAATGTTCATTGACCAGTTCGAATCTAAATAAAAAACAATCGATAAAAAACAAATATTTTTGGAAAAAAAATAAGAATACTTTTCTGTCTTGAAAAAAATGGCACAACCATCCACACGTTTGCGTTCCTGTTCGTTCATCGTTTTGGCACGACTTTTCGGCGAAAATATTCCATAATAATGTGATATTTTTAGTTCAGGCAGAAAAAATGATTCAAATTGTCCAGATTCTACTTCTTGTAAGCATATAATATCGGCATCATATTGTTTTATTTCTTTCATAATAACATTTTTACGAAAATCCCATGATAATGCCCATGAAGGACAATATGAATATAATTGTCTTGATGCTAATTTATCGCAAAGAACATTATAACACATTACGGTAAAAACATTCGATACATGATGTATCGGTGTCGGTTCGGCCATTGTTAACCATGGACGAGTTGGTGGTTGCATATCAGGTACTATTTTTCCATAAATAAATGAAAGAAAAATATGTTTAAATTGAGAATATGAAAAAAATCTATTTAATTATTTGAAAAAAACATCGATAAAACACTCAGGATATCATATTCCAACCAACACTAAATTTCTTTTACAATTCACACTAATAAGATGTATTAAACTAAAACTAAAACTTTTTCCCAGGATAATCAATGGAAATATATAACAACAGCAACAACAATTTCAACAAAAAATTCAAATCCAAATAACATTCACTGAGAAAAAAGTCCATTTTGGATGCCGTAATAACGCCAACATTGAGGTATGCACGCCATCAAAAAAAGCATGTAAATGTGTTAGCGATTGGCGTGCAAACCTCAAAAAAATTGGCGTGTGCAAACCACACTTTTCTCTCAGTGTTAAAAAAAATACCAATCAAATAACCCAACAAAAAAGATCAAAAAATTCTGTTTCGTTACATAGCGTTAATCTCTTACATTCAATCTGGTCAATGTTTTTTCTATTACCGTTTTGTTTGTCAACATCAGTCTTATATGAGCAATATTGATTGTGATAATCATCTAAATCAAATAACATCGATGACGAATTTGTTATAGTCGACGATTGTTTGGCGACAAAAGATTCAGCAGTAGCAGCCATCATTGCATTTGTTTTTCGTCGACGTTTTCTTGGCTTTAACATTCGCGGTACAGATAAACGTTTAGATTGATGATCAATATTAATGTTTGCCATCATTGTGTTATGATCATGAGAATTTGATGAAGATGATGATGTTGATGAAATAGTAGATGCAGAATCAGAACATCGAGATTGAAGTGTAAGATGTTGACTATTATCATTCAAAACATTTCTATCAACATCACCGTTTCCAATTTTTTTTATATTGTCATTTCCTGTCAAACAATCAACAATATCGGATTCTTGATTAAAAAATGAAGATGAACAATAAGATGATGATGCTGTTAGATCTGTTGATAATGAACACGAAGACGATGATGAACCAGATTCAATAAAAGATGATTCAAGATGATTTTCTATATCTTCTGAACAAGATGTATTAGATTCTTCAAGAATTGAATCAACTAATGCTAATTGTTCAGGATCAAAATTTTTCATCACTGACGACGACGACGACGACGAAGATGTTGATGATGGTGATGTGGACATTATTAATGATGATAATGGTTGTTGTTGTTGTTGATTGAACATTGTTGTTTCAGTTGTTGTACAATTAGATATCACAGTTTGATAATGAGATTCTTCAAATGAATTTAAATTCTGTTGTTGTTGATGATGAGAATTCATGTTTCGATGAACATAATTTCTGGCTATCATATGACTACTATTATTAGGTGGCTGTTGATAACCATTCGATATCGATGATGGATATCGTATTAAATCATCACCTTTAACAAAATTTACTCTTGACATTGTTTGTTCCTGATGTTTATAGAGATCCAATATTGATACCATTTTACCATCTTCTTGAAATGAAAATTCATTTTCATCTCGCAAAATTGATTGTTCATCATCATCAGCAACATTAGCTGTTGTCGTATTCAAACAAGATGAACACGATTGATTACGATTATTTAAATTACCATTATTGATAATATTGTTATTATTAATTATTGATATATCATCTTCAATCATAACATTATTCAAACGAGATGTTAGTGATTGTGATTGTACAGATTGTGGATTAACATGATGATGATAATGATAATGATGGTGATGATGAAAAAAATAAGCAGATGAATTTGTCATTGATGATGATTTTGTCGTAGTTGCTGCAGCTGATGTTGTTGTTAATGTCGATCCATGATGGCCATTAATTGATGATAGGGAATTATCATCATTGTTATTTGATTGCATAAATTCTTGTTGCTGCTGTTGTTGATTGATATAATGGCCATTATTTCCCATTACATTATTATTCTGATGATGGTAGGCTAGATTACGATAAGATGATGTAAAATTATTTCTAATCTGTTGTTGTTCGGCTTCAGCAGCATGCGCAGCAGCTGCTACAGCAGCTAAATGATGGAAATAAAATTGTGCCGGTGATGGAAGTAATGGTTGTGGTGGTGGATGCAAAACTCTATAAGAACGTCGCCGTAGACTACTTGGTTGCAAACCATTGTTACGTGATTGCAATCCGGAAATACCAGCACCACTACCATTCGAATGTTGATATTTTAGTGATTTTGATGAACAATTTGCAACCGAAATCGGTAAATAATCATCACATATAATCAATGGTACACCTTCAGCATGTAATGCTAATTTAGCTAACGAAATACCTAATTCGGAAAGTTCAGCTTGAAATGTTGATCCAGATGATGATTGAACAACCGAAGGAGGGGATGATGATGATGATGATGGTGATGAAGAAGATGATGACAATCCATCGGATATAAATCGGCCATTATTTATGGCACTATCATCGGATAATAATGATCCATTAGATGGTGATGATGATGATAATAATGGATTAAAACATTGTGAAAGTGTTAATCGTTGATTGGTTGAATTTGATATTAATTCAGAAGCAGATGCTGTTGTTGTTGTTGCTGGTGGTGGTAGTCTAGGCAATAATCTTGGAGCTGAAACTTGTGGTGGTGACGATAGCCATTGATATTGCTGTTGTTGTGATTGTGGATCAACATTTGCTTGATGCTGATTTTGTTGCAACATAAGATTATTATTGTCATTAGATAATTTGATTGAATGAAAATGATCCGATGATGATAGCGGTGAACCATCATCCTCAACATTAATATCGACAACATTATTATCAACAATGATCAATGGTGATACATGATTTTTATGAACATTATTATCATTGCTACTATTTTCGTTGGAATGGCCAATCGTTATTGATGGCGTTTGGATAGCCGCCATAGACAATTTGATTATTAGGCCAAAAATATTTAGAAAAATTTGTATCACAATCGATTGATATCATAATTTATTTTTCGCAAATATAACACACATTCAAAAATCAACAAAATGAACATCAACTAGTAACAAAATCAAGAAACAAAACAAAACAACAACAAAATATTGGACAGTTTTTTTGAAAATACAAAAAACCTGGTGACCGTCGAACACGGACATACAAACTAACTAGAAAAAGAAAAATCTTAAAGATTTTTGAAACTTTATTAATTCAGTAACAAGTCTCTCTCTCTTTCTTTCGTCAATTTACCCGATTCATTCGAAATTATCAATGTGTCCTACATATTGATGATGATAAAATTATCAAAAAAAAAATAATGATAATAAGAGAGTTTCGTTCCTTCTAACCAAAAAGGCTCTTTTTTTGCACCATCAATTGAATCCTGAACACCAACAACCATCATCACACCACTACCATTCTTCAAACAAATAAAAATATAATGTGAATTTGTCTTTTTTTTTGGGAAAAAAAAATTTTGTCTAGGTCAAGGTGTTTTTGGTTTTGGTAACCGAAAAAAAAACATCATCAAAACTAAAGGTTTTCTCATTCATTTTTGATTGAGTATTTTTTCTCTTTCGCTCATTTTTTCCCCAATTACCATCCATTGGTTATGAAACATCACATATATACAGATATTCTGGCAGAGCAACTTTCTTGAATTGAATTTTTTTTCTATTTAAAAACGGAAAAAAGATTCTTCTCCCCCTCAGCTGTTTTTCTTTTTTAAGTTGCCCTTCCACAATCCATTCATTGATGATAAGAAAAACAACAACAAGAAACGAGGGTAAATCTCAATGCTGATGATGATAAAGATTTTTTTTTCAATATACAAAGTTAAGGAATGACAAGAAAATCTTGATATCGAGGTCGGTCGGTCATCATTTACCAGTGGCAGTTATACGGGACTGGTTTCTTAGGTGATTCTCTTTCTCTCTCTCTCTCTCTCTCTCTCTCTCTCTTACTTTATTTAACGGTAACTATACTTTTTTTTCTACTGGTTCTTCTTCATAAAAAACAACAACGAAAAAGGAAAACCGACAATAAAATTGACTACTACCAGAGTTGCCTAAAATGAAATATGGTTATTTTCTTTCATCATGCTTAATCATGCATCGAATACATTTCATGGAATGGATGAATTTAGGATAATCAAAGCGAAACAAAAAAAAATATCAAGAAAAAAAAAGAGAAATTCAATTAAATTTTATCGTAAAAAATTATTATTTTTCGTTCAAATTATGAAATTTTTTTAATGTTTGATGTCTATAATTTCAATCATCAGCAATTAAATTCAGTTTTAAAAATTATTGTTTCAATTAACATCAACAACAAAGTGGACAAAGAACAAAGAAAAAACAAAACTGATTGATCAAAACAATACAAACAAAAAAAGAGAAAGAAAAAACTAGTTCATCATCATCATCATTGATAGCAACTACAAAGATTGTCATCAAACCAAGTAATGAAATAAAATGAAAAAAAGTAGATAATATTAGACCATCCAAAATAAATGTCAAAATGTTTCATCTAACAACATTCAACAATAGTATCCAAAAAAAAAGAAAGAAAGAAAACAATTCAGAATAATATTCGTGCATCGGTCATTTAAAATTTGGCTGTCCGATAACTAAATCGAGCATTATTAAATTCGGATGTCTAGCCATATAAAGGGAATAAAGGGGGATTTGAAAAGATTTGACAATTTTTATTTGAAATTTATTCCTAATATAGGAATGAAAACAAAAAATAAAGAGACATCTTGAATAAAATAAGAATATAAAAAAAGAACAAATGAATAATGATTATTATATATGAATGGTCGGTACCAGGTTGTATATATGATTGTGATTAAAAACAGGAAAAAATCATTATCATCATTGATTGAAAATATTGATAAAAATGAATCTATTCTCATTCAATTGCATTCAATGTGTGTGTTTAGTGTATGACACACTTGTTGCTTCCTTTTTTTTCTTACTTTTTCCTACATTATCTATTTTCATAAATTTTGATTTTTTTTTGTTTGTTTGTTGTTGATAATGGCTAGATAAAGAATTCTTGAAAACTATCATTAATATTGCATTGAATTTTCATTGACATCTTAGTTTCATATTTAATTTTTGGAAAAAAAGGGGAAAGACACTAAACATCAATCGGGTTAATGGGGTTAAAAAATTAAAAAATTAAAATTTTTAATAAAAAAAACAAAGGTAGTAAAGTTGAACATTTGAATATTATTTCTTTAAATGTATAAGTCTTCGAGTGTATAACGTTTGATAATAAAAATAATAACAATCAGGTCACACATTAACCAAAATGAAGAAAACTTGACTAACTAACTTCGGAACTTGAAGCAACAAAAAAAAATTAACCGACGACGTACCACTTTAGTCATTTTGGTTGAAAAAAAGAGAAAAATATCTATACGGACAACAACAACATCTTTTTTTCTGAACAGGCACAATCAACAGGTTGTATAATCATCATCATCATCATTGGGTTGAATGTTGGCAACTTTTTTTCTCTCTTTCTTCCCCCTTCTCTCATTCATTTCGATTGATGATCATCATTGCGTCATCAACAAATGGGGTCGTCATCATTATCATTATTGATTGAATGAATATAACCAAATAAATAATCAGGATTAGAATTCAAAGAATTCGACATTACAATCTATCGATATCCAATTTATAATTTTTTTTTAATAATTAAAAAAACTTAAATCAAACAAATGAATAAACAAACTGGTTTAATCAAATTGACAGGCAATCATTTCTTATAAAACGATAACCATATTGATCTTGAACTTGGAAAACAGAAAAAAAATCGTTTTCAATTTTAATCGATTTGTCAAAAAATTCTTTTTTTTTCACTCACAAACTCATATTGGCAACTTGATTATTCTTTTCATTTTTTTTTAGAATTATAAAATCCTGAATTTCAATTTCTTAAATAATTTTAATAAAGAAAATTATAACCTACCTTGTAAATTATCAAGAAGATATGTCAGCAATTTTTGAACACCGTTTTGTTCATTATAAATGACCAATAATTCCTGTGTTAATGGATTGCCTTTTAATGCTGAAAAAAAACGAAGAATTAATTAATCAAGTTCCTCAATAATTATGATTAAAAATTATTCATACCTAACTGTTGTAATTGAAATAAACGTCCCAATTCATATGGCAATTGACGAAGATTATTATGATTTAGATAAAGTTCACGTAACATTATTAATTCACCAATTTCGGCCGGTAATGATCGTAGTTTATTATTTGACAAATCCAACAATATTAGATGTTCAAGTTTAGCAATATCGGGTGATAATTTTGTTAGATTATTATCATTTAGATAAAGACCGGTCAAATGTGTAAATGACCATAGTTGTGGACTAAGATTTCTTACAAGACCTAAATGAATAAAAATCAAAAAATTAATCAACATTTTTTTAAATACAAATTATGATAATGTTAACATACCGCTAATTTCTAATTCACTCCAATATGATTCTTTACCCTGTGCAATATCATCAGCGGTCAATATGATTGGTGCACGACGATTATTCGTTGTTTGTTCATATTTATTTTCACGATCACGATGACCGGTACGCGTCATTTTGTTTTGTTTTTTTTAATTTCAAATTATTATTGTAGTATTTAAAAATTTAATCGATCTAAATGATGAAAATGAATTAAAAGAATTTCCAACAACAACAACAAAATTAATACGCATTAGATCAAAATAATAAACAATAATTACCAGATGTGTAATGGATACAGATGATGATAATGAAAAATGAAAACAAAATCCGAGAATAAATTATTACCAAAATGATGACGA